GCTGATGGTTTTAAGTCTCTCTCAGTCTGGTCTGCCATCGTTTTGGGAAAAGATCGGGACCAGGCACAACGGACGCACGTCAAGTATTTTTCTTAGCGTCAGGGGCGTCTGAACTCCAGTGCAGAGGCGTTTTTTTGACCCCGCGGTCTGAACAGACTATAATGCTGTAAGGTCAAACAGTTTCCACAAAGTGAAACTGGCTGATGAATCAGGCGAGTGGACTGGTGGAATGTGGGAAAAAAAAAAAAAGTTCCTAAAAATGGAAATGTATGTGGGAATGGCAGCGTGTAACCCCATAATATTGGAGAAACATACATTGTTACTCACTGCTATTTTGTTGAAGACCATGCACTTCATCTGCAGCCCAGACACGTGCTGATTTCAGCCACCAGGAGTCGTCAGCGGTAATTCTTGCACCAATTACAAATGTTAAGCCTGTTCTGTTGATTTGGACACCCCCACACAATCCCGACTCTATTCAATTGTATATTTTTGCACTTTTGTGGTTTTATTTTACAGTCCACTCACTTTTTGCTCTTAAACCAAGATAATGATGAGCACGATTTTGCACATTTCTAATGGGTTGCTTAAAAACTGTGTCATACGTTTTTCAAAATAAAACCAAAAATAAGAAAACGGAAAAACACAACTTTTTCTTCATTATTTATCTCCAAAATCAAAATGAAAACACGAATAACGAAATTTTTTTTTCAGTTTTCAATTTTGTTTTTAAATGAATAATAGAAAATAGGAAACTGCCATTTTCCGTTTCCATGACTTCCGTGACACCAGACTTTTGCACCGCATACGGACTGAACCAGGACTGAACCACGTCCGACCAGACCGGGACTGAGACCAGGACTGAGCCCGGGACTGAGACCGAGAACAGGACCAGGACTGAGACCAAGAACAGGACCAGGACTGAGACAGGGACTGAGACCGAGAACAGGACCAGGACTGAGCCCGAGAACAGGACCAGGACTGAGACCGGGGACTGAGACCAAGAACAGGACCAGGACTGAGACAGGGACTGAGACCAAGAACAGGACCAGGACTGAGACAGGGACTGAGACCGAGAACAGGACCAGGACTGAGGCTGGGACCAGACCAGGACTGAAAACAGTTTAGTCCTGGTTCTGTCCGTATGAGGCGCAAAAGTCCGGCGTTGCTGTTTAAGTCACAGAAACAGGAAACGTCTGTTATCCCTTTTCCCCATTATTCGTTGAAACACAAAATCGAACACTGAAAAAACTAATTGGCCATTTTTTAAATTTTGGTTTTGGAGACAAATAATGAAGAAAACAGTTATTTTTTCGTTTTCTTATTTTTGGTTTTATTTTGAAAAACGAATGAAAGAATGATACACAGATTCTTAAAACTGGCTGTAAATTGTCAAAAAAAAAAAATATATATATATATATCTTGAGTTATTATTATTTTTGATCAGTACTGCACACCTATAGCAGAAGATAAAGTAAGTAAACATGTGGTCTACTACCAGGACGTTCAGTACAAGGAAGACACCCGGACAATACAAGGCAACTGATACGGGTTTAATTCTACATTGTTTATTTTGTTTTTACAGTTCGGATGCAAAAGACAAGAGAAAGAGAATCCTATTTAATCCCGGATAAAGCTGAAATTTCATCCTAAAGAAGTAAACAGCCTCCATCCACCCACATTGGCAGCATTAGAGTCCACAGTGTCATGACATTCTCCAGTATTTTTTGCAGTTTCAAGAGGCACACATGAGACATTCTCTCAGCGAAAACATGGGTTAAGTTTACACATGGCATGCACAAAGATCAGGACAGTGTTTCCCCCCCCTGGGCTAAACCTCTCCGTCTCGTTACATGAAAACACAAACGAGACGCACACACATGTTAAAGAAGCAACAGTGACATTTCGCAGGCAGCAAGATCAATTTAAAGGTCCTATATTGTGCATTACTTTGAGAACATTCATTGAACATTTTTACTTTTACATTTGGGGATTTTGACCAACTAGGAAAAGAAGTTCAAAAGAAGGAAGTTAAGGACTATTGTGTGATTTTTTTTGAGCAATTTGTTTTTCCTTTCATCCATGGTAAGTATCCATGGAGTATGCAGTGTTGGGGAGTAACAGATTACATGTACCGGAGTAACGTAATCAGAGTACAAACTATGAGTAACTGTATTCAGTTACAGTTACTGTTTCAGTGAGTGGTAATTGGATTACAGTTACTTGGTTGAAATAAATGGATTACACAGAGGTATTTTCCTGTTTTCACATTTTGGGCTATATCCCTTTTTTTTCAGTAATTTCACTCATTGTCGGACACTAAACCAGGTCTAAACCAGGTCTAAAACCAGGTCTAAAACCAGGACTAAAACAGGTCCAAACCAGATCCAAACCAGGTCTAAACCAGGACTAAAACCAAGTCTAAACTAGGTCTAAAACCAGGTCTAAAACAGGTCTAAAACAGGTCTCCAAAACCAGGTCTAAACCAGGTCTAAACAGGCAGGACTAAACCAGGACTAAACCAGGTCTAAACCAGGTCTAAACTAGATCTAAACCAGGTCTAAACCAGGTCTAAACCAGGTCTAAACAAGGTCCAAACCAGATCTAAACCAGGTCTAAAACCAGGTCTAAACTATGTGTCAAACAGGATTTAACAGGACTAAATCACACTGTGTGGACGTGTCTCCTCCTCTTCTATCAATAATATTTTTTATTTGGTTCAGTAAAGTCTGGACTTTTATTTTCTTTTAGCAGACAAAACATCTTATGTGAAGATTTCCTTGTCTTTGCTTCTCTACAGCAAATCAGGTAATCCAAAGTATTCAGATTACATTACTCACTTTAAGTAATTTAATGGATTCTGTTACAAACTACATTTTGGGGTAGTGTAATCTGTAATCTGTAGGGGAATACATTTTAAAAGTAACACTCCCAACACTGCTTGTATGTGACTCCAGTGTGAACAATAAACGGCCCAATAGTGTCCCGCATGTGCACTGGAGACACGACGACGTCAACCGCAGCGAGCGTGCTCTGGGAAGTGAAGCCGGCGGATGAATCAGGCTATAAGTGTAATGCTGTACTGTGGAAAATTCCGTTTCAACAATTGGGAAAAACAAGTATGATAACAGAATAAAATCAATAACCTGGAATGTTCCAAAATGTGGCATTAAAACCCCGGGCTGCAATCGATGGAGATGAGTCTGCTTACACTAACTATGGCTGTTTTTTCAAGAGACATTTTAGCATCTTGCGTTTATTCACTGACTGAATGAATAAACGCAAGATGGATCATTTCAAAGACTGTACTTTACTGTATTGTGGAACATTCCAAAGCAAAGTGATAACATCTCCATGGAAACGAGCATAAACAATGGCAGCTAGAGTTGCTCGGCCGCAAACTGGACCCAATTCAAAACTAAACGTAATAATACAGGTGTGGTGAACTTGTATGGGCTTTAAAAACGAGGGGGAGCTCACAGAAACCTTTTGACGAAATTATCACATTCTATTTTGGTTCTGAATCTAAAAATGAAGTAAAAGAAGCAAAATATAGGACCTTTTAAGCTATACAAATAATATAGATTTGTACGGTTTTATCATTTTGAGGTAATCGAGTCGGACATATTCTGATAAAATTAGAAATTCCATAGAAATTAATTTGTTTATAGACTAGTAAACAGTAAACAACATTGTACAACTAGAACTCTGTATATAAAATCTTGTAGTATACTGCATTTGATCCCATGCCAAGAAAGAATACACAAAATAGACATGAATACATTAAATACAATAAAAAGAACTCTAAATTTTAAAAGTTAAAATCTCAAATCATAACAGTAGCGTACGAGCAGCAGCAGTAACCTGAAAGTCAGTAGAAACGTGTCCGTCTTCACTCGGACTAAAAGTGTGCGTTTGCAGCGAGAGTGAGTCGTCTGCGTCTCAGAGACAATCTTTGTGCAGGGGAGAGACAACACAGCGGAAGACCTCCCGTTCTCCTCTGATCTTTTCCATCGCATCTCAAATCGTTTCATCGTCGTTAAATAGCAAAAACACAACAACAAACGCACAGTGAAGTCGGAACAAAGAGCAGTACAAAAGGAAGCTCAGTCAAAACGGTCATTCAAAGGTGTGACACAATATTTCAGTATGTTGTCATAGATGTTACTGTAGCGGGATCCGTGTAAAATTTGTTCTTTTGAATTTCAATTAAGAACAAAAACAATAAAATAGGAAAACAGTTTGTTATTTAATTATTCCGTTTTAGTGTAAAAAAAAAAACAGATTTCAACCTCTATTTCCAATATTTGACTTAAAGTTGATTTCAAATAACACCAATCAAAATTATTCTCTCTGGTTTATTTGCCCCAGAACTACTACTACTACTACTACTACTACTACTACTACTACTACTACTACTACTACTACTACTACTACTACTACTACTACTACTACTACTAAAACAGAGAGAATACAATATCGAAACTGAAATAGGCAGAATGACTGTTTAAAGATTAGTTGTTATTTGAAATAAACGTTAAATTAAATATTACAAATAGTGGTTGAAATCTGTTTTTTGAAATCAGAAAAATTTAATAATAAACTGTTTTCCCAGTTTATTGTTTTTCGTTCTTAAATAAAATTCAAAATAACAAATGGTACACAGATTTAGCAGCATTAAAAGCAGCTGGAATTTTAGATTAGATTTGTAGATGTGGATTTGGCAACTCTTATGTTTCACTTGAAGAAAGGAAAACGGTTCAAAGATGCACTACGTAACTTTTTTGGTGTGGGGTTCACAAATTAACCAGGCACAACATGAATATTCATTTTGTTATGCACCAGCTGGTTGGTGGACCAATCACAAGCAGCATCGAGGTTTGTGCGGAATTTTGTTTGTGAAAAACATGCAGAGGGACGCGCTTTTGTTTTTGTGATTTGTGGACAGGGAAGATGTTTTTTTTTTCTCAACTGGATATAACAAATGTGTTATATCCAAACGCTGCTGTGACGCTTTGACCAATCAGATTCAAACATTTGTTATGACAGTCTGCCTTTTCTGATCACTTTCAGTGAGCAGTTCCACACTGAAGTGAGTTCTACACATTTATCAGAGAGACGCACATATCAGCCAGGGTATTCACAACATAATGAGTGTTTCCCACAGAAAATTGGTTAAGCAAGAAGCTGGTGCCGAAAAAGTCAGGAGCAGGGGTGCGCGGAGATTCTGTGAGACGACTGTAGTTTTGCGAGGATTCCTGTGGTTTGGAGGGACTTAGTCAAGGCGGGGGCCACTTGTTGTCAAGGCAGCCTTAACTATAGATGCATCACAAATTTCGGACTTCCGGTCATTGAGCGATGCAAACTGAGAAGGATTTTCTGAAAAAGTGAGCATCAAACCTCCATGTTTGATTTCACAGTGGGATGTGTCTATTGATATTTTCTTTTCAAGTCTTTTGAACCATATCACTTTTGTTTCTGGTTCTGTTATTGAATATTTTAGTTACAGGATTCGGACATTGTAATTGTGTGGTTGTTGGATCCTAACAGCAAAACAATCATCAAAGCAAAATTCTGTTTGTTAAGCAAGACGTGCAGAAGACAGACAGACTGAGCTGCACTTTTTTGTTCTTGTGGTTTTACAGCAACATCACGTCTTGGTCTCTTTGCAGTGGAAGGTGTTTTTTGGTGAACAGTTGGTGCCTTTTGCTTTGGCATTGACTTTTTAAATTCGTAATCGAGGTTGAGCGAGGGATCCGGATTTTTCTCCACATACAAAATGTTCACTGCAAACTTGGGATGATTTCTTAGACAGTCAAAAGTTTCCTTTTTGGTCCTTCCTGTGTGTCAGTCCTGCCCATCACCTTCACCTTTCACTATTTTTCTGTTCCGTTGGGAAGAGAAACAGTTTGAACAGAGGTTTACAGTCACAAAACATCTGATTCCCTTTGCAGTTATGGAGTTCACAAACAAATTTCTCAAGTCGTTTTGCACTGTTAGGATCCAACAACCACACAATTACAATGTCCAAATCCCAAAACTAAAATATGACAATATCAGAATCAGAAGCAAAAGTGATATGGTTCAAAAGACCAGAAAAGATCGACTTTGACAATAGACGCATCCCACTGGGAAAACAAACATGGCGGTTTGACGCTCACTTTTTTAGAAAATCATTCCCAGTATGCATAGTGTGATGACCGGAAGTCGGAAATTCGTGATGCATGTATAAAGTGCTGTGGGAAACACTGCTACTCATCTCCAGAGATTGGATTGCATTGCTTGTAAAGTTCTACAGAATGGCATTAAACTGCAGTTCATCTGGCATTTATACAGTTACAGAAGAAAAATACACAGAAAAATGTGTATTCTTACAGAGAGCTACCTCCCCTCTGCACAGATCTGACCTGTAAATTGGCTTGGTAGCATCGCCAACATTCCTCCATGGTTTAATGCCAAACTGTGGAACATTCCAAGCAAAAATGAAGACAAATGGAAACCCCACCAGAGAAGTTACACAGTGCACCTTTAAAAGAACAGAATAAAATTATGTATGCATGTAGTGCTTATACAAAACTATAAAAATACATTTGCACTATATGTACTATTGTAATAATATTATCAGTATCATAAACAAACCCCTGCCATCTTATCTTACAGACTTTATGTATGAAGGCCCACAGTGTTATTTACTAACATAAAATGCTGAATTTTAGAATAGTTTGAACAGAAAACGAAACAAAAAGAACCAAATTAAAGTTTAGTTGCCTTAAAAACAAGCCGCCTTTCTAATAGTATGAGTAAAAATAAAAGTCTGTGTGCGAGTATAAAATGAGTAAAAAAAAAGACAGTAGAAAAGTGATATGGGAGCGGCGAAGGAGGCAGACGGCTCGGGGTCTGATTTGGCCATAAGCACTGTCCCTGATTACGCCTTTGTTTTCAGATCATCGCATTTGAATCCAACTGAGGAGCTCAACACGGACACACGCTTTGGGTTCGACAAGCAAAATTCTCGATAATATTTTATTTTATGGACTTTTTGGACATTTTTTATTTAAAGGTTTAGATAACGGTTGGATTAGTGCACACTAGAGTTGAGTAAATTGACAAAAGTTAACTTAAACAGAGCTGTGTTGATACTTTGCAGCTGATGTCATCCAAATTTCCTGGGGGAGTGAAGCTAACTGAGGCACTGTTCTGTCTAAAGCTCTGTGACTTTAATCTGATCTTAGTTTAAAAAAAAATCTGACCATAAAGAACTGACTGACATTTTGTATTTTTCTTAAGAGTTCACAAAATCTTAAATCTTAAATAAAATAAAAAGTTAAAAAATCTTGACGCAAAAAATTATCAAAACATTTTCCGCATATCGACAGAGCCCCAGTTTTTAATTTATATTTATTTATTTATTTTATTTTATTTTTTGGTAAAATTTAAATAAATAATAATATAATAATAATAAATATATGTGAATTTGTGGACATAAAAAAAAACTCTAACTTTTTTTTTTTTTTTTAACAAGGCTATTAATGCATTGTTTTAAGTTTGAAATCCTGCTCCAAACACGCTTTTATTGCCTCAGAATTGGCTCTACTTTAAATTTAAAACTGTTATTTATTGCCGTCTGACATTAAACGTTAAATACTCAAAACTCAAACTCAAACCTTTTCAGTAAAATGTGCTCTTAAATCTTAAATCAGAAACTTGACAGTGACACTTATTAACAGAACCCTAAGTTACCCCCAAAGCTCATCAGCCTCCTTATACTTTTTTCTATATAAAAGTCAATGAGATAAAATGGAGTGTGAATTTCACTTGTGGAACCATAAGCCCCGCCCACTGTTTAAAGAGGGAGTATTAAACTTTTACTAACGGCTAACACGTAACATATTTAGATCACCATGTTACTTTTACTCCTTTGAAAATGCTGAAAATTCGCTGAAAACAACGTACTGACAAGTTTTATAAGTTTCATATTAAAATCGTCATGCACATGGTTTGTGAAGTCGTAGTGCATTGTTTTGTATCATGTTTTATACATTTATGTAGAATTGTCGTGTTGAAGCATAGATGATGTAGGCTTGTGGGCGGAGCTTTGGACAGAATCGTACTGCTAAACGTAAGGAGGGTTTGAACTAGGGCCCGACTGGTATATCGGTTGGCTGATATTTTTGGCCGATATGGGACACTTAGAGACATACCAACTATTGTCACATTTAGACCATGTGGACATGTTAAACCTCGTTATAAAACGTAGACTCTCTATATTATGTCCATTTAAACCAATTTACAGACAGTTAAAAGTCTTAATATGTGGCGCCTCGTCAATATTTATCTGCAGAGTGTGACGCCGTACTGCCCCTGAACACACCTCCAGAGTCATGTCACTTCCATGTCACCTGAGTCATGTCCACATGCACAGCACTGAGGCACTGTTTTAAACGCTCTTGTGTCTGATCCATGATACTGACGGTAATAAAAGTGAACTTCAGCGCCAGAGTTACTTTCTTTATCTGACGTAAACCCAATATAAAATCCAATAGAGCCAAACCTAAGTTTTATAATCAACTGATTTACAGTGAATTTTTACATCACTAAATATATCAGTTATCAGCACCTCTAACTCCCACTGTCTTAGTATCATATCGGCTGTAAGAAAAATCAGTTGGGCTCTAGTTCGGACCACGGGAGAGATCACTAAATTCCTCTAAAACCTCTTCATGCATGTTTTTGACGGGTGAACTCCGTTATAACATGGTGATCTATTTTGTGTAATACTCCCTCTTTAGTGGCGTTGTACATGGTTGTGTATGGGTGTGTATGGGTGTGTATGGGTGTGTATGGGTGTGTATGGGTGTGTATGGTTGTGTGCGGTCAGACGCCGCCCCCGCTGCGGTCCACCGTCACAGGTCCTCTCTGGTCCAGCGTCTCCTCCGCAGACTTGAGAAGGATGGCCAGTCGGCTGTCAGACACTTGGCCCTTCTTCACCGCGCTCATGAGCTGGAGGAGAACGCACACAAACACACACACACACATACACAAGGTTACCGAACAGAGGAGACGATATGCGAATACTAACATTAGTCACAAGCACAGTGGTAACATGCTGCTATTCGGACATTGACATCGTATTCCTTCCTTTCCTAGTTCCTTTGTTTACTGTTCTAATGTTGTTGTTCTGTTTTGTATCTGGCCTTTGCACATTATGCCTCATTTGCACTGATGCTCAGCTCTGATGCCCATAAATGTACAAGCACCTGACCTGTGTGAAATGTATGTGTGTGTTTTTATGCTGTGGTCTGTGACTGTAAACAGAATTGTTCCTTAGGAATAAATACATTTTTCTAATCTAATCTAATCTAATCTAATCTAATCTAATCGTCAGAGTAGCAGCTTAAACATTATTTTTCAAGAGTCTCACTACTTCGACATTTTTTTCCATTGTCGGAGTAGCTGCACATTACTATTCTTCAAACATTACGCTTTTCTGACATGAATAATACTAATGTGACAGCCTATTATACTTTACGCTCAAATATATCATAAAATGCTTGATCAGAAAATACTTGGGCCACATAGGAGATCAGAAAGTAGGAAAATGTCCTAACTGTTCACCGTGGGAAACAGTCATGCATTAAAAAAAAAAACAGCATAGGCCAGCCTTCGGGAAAATATCTAACGTAAAACGGAGGCTGCATGGGCCCTTTGTGCTTCATTCATTTCGTCATGTAGATTTTTTTTTTTTTCGGTCACCTTGTCACGATCTGCATGTAGGTCTGCAATATAGCGTAAGTTTAATTTTGTTCCAATATTGCTGGTTCAATTGAATGTTGAAAAGAAAAAGAAATGTTACACATTTAATGTCCAAATAGGCAACTTCTGGATCCTTTTATTGCTGCTTCAGTGACTGTTTTTTATTGTTTTAAACTTGAGTAAAACTAAATGTTCAGAGACACGATCAGTCAACAGTAAACTATCCTCATTAATGTTCAATAATGATCAAATCCACTTTTATTTAGTGATTTATGAATAATGTCTATTGACATGGATCACGAAGGTTTGTGACTTTTATAATATGGGTCCCCAAGAACATGGGGAAAAATCCCGCACACCGTCTTACTTGCAAATAGTGAAATTTATTAGGACATTCAGGTTTAGGCACACCCTCCCAACACCCCCTCCTAGGTTAAAGCTGCACTAGATTTAACACTGAACTAAAGTTAACACAGCTTCACACATTTATTTAGTTTATTTAAATACACACTTCCAATTTCTACTAAACCTGATCTGAAATTGATCCAAATGAGTCTAGTGAAGGTGGATGAACTCTAAAAACCCCAACATATCCACAGGTAAAATATGGGCCGCAAGGAGAAAAAGGTTGGGACCCACTGCTGTAAAGGACACATATGCAAAACTGATTGATTTTTGGTTAATTTTCATCATATCTGACATCATTTTAAGTTACAAAATGTGATATTGTAATACTATTATGCAAAGGTGATCAAATATTTCAGAATGCATTATATTCCCACTTTTAAAAAACGCATAAACAGGAATAAAATGGACCTTTCCTGAATAGTTTTAGAAGGTCTGGGTCTACATCAGTGTTTATTAAGATCATTGTCAACACTAACCCAGACTGATAATGTGAGAATGTGCCCCCTTCAGAGAATCTGTGTCACCGAGTCAAACATAATGACTTATTAGAGAGACAGAGGACAGAGGTGTGGGTCAAACACTGCTAATGAGCTGCACAAGTGTGTACGTGTGTGTGTGTGTGTGTGTGTGTGTGTGTGTGTGCGTGTGTGTGTCCGCCGTACCTGCAGGAACTCATCAAACTCCACCTGTCCGTTCTTGTTCAGGTCCACCTCGTTGAGGATCTCGTGGAGGGCGTTCTCATCGATGTGGACGTTTATGCTCTGAGGGGGAGGGGGCAGGAGGACAGGGGACAAGCGGAGGACATGTCAGCGGCGTGCTAATGAGACTGTGAGTGTGAAGGGGTGTTTGGGTGTGAAGTCAAGGTGGGCGATGTCGACTATAATTGTAACGGGACCATAATGTAGGGTTGTCAAAAGTATGAAAAAATCAGATGGTAATCAATACTAAAACTGTATAGAACTTTGATATTCATTTGAGCAGGAACTGATACAAAAAATAAATAAAAATCAAATAACTAGATAAAATGTGACCTTTTAAGAACATTTACATCTTGAGTTTTGAACTAGAGTACAAATGGCGTAATAAACAGATGGAGTAATAAACAAATCCTATTATTTAGTATTAAAAATGACAATATTGTCTAAAGAAGAGCTTTTAAAATGATCTTTGTGGTATGAAAATTGCTATCTAGTCTATTCTTTGGTTTTGAAATTGAGTTTGAAATGTTTGGATTGTGACAGCACTCGATTCTTGTATTACTTTGTCAGTGCATAGTTCAGTCTTTTTTTAAATTCTGGATGTGTTTAAAATGTGAAATTTGAACAGAATCTAATTATTAAAACATAAATGGCAAATCGAATCGTAGTGCTTGTCAGAAAAATCGACAAGTCGGCCACCACACACTACAGGATTTTTCGGTCTTGAACGATTTTAAAACGACGACATGAGAAGAATCTTATGAGATTTAAAATCTTTGATTGCAAAGACTGCTGTGGGATCTGTCTATGGACCAGAGGATATAAAGCTGTGAGCGTGATCGCATCTGTCTACAGTAAAACCAGTCGCTTTGAGACTCTGAAGTATTCAAAAGATCAGAGCTCTGCACTTGTAGTTTAGATACAAGTCAAAACTGTGTTATTATCATTTGTTAAATGTAGTGCAAAACTTCACATATATGAATTTTTACAGCATAAATGATTGGAGTCCACAGGAAGTAGAGTCACTATCACTAATCTGCAGTTTCACCACAATCCGTGAACTGTGTGGATGTAAACAGACACATTTTTTACTTCTAAAGAACAACTCAAACAGGATTCACAGCGCGGTTTTGTGGACTGAGGGTCATTATTTGCAGAGGACAATTACTATGGATAATGTGAATGAGAAGCTGCACTTTAAGTTTACCACTTTAAGGTAAATTTAGGAATAAAATCTTCTCAATATTTTCACTATATCCTGAGTTTGTATGTCGCATCTCTGTGTTTGTCACTCCTCAGTCCTGACGTTCTGTTTTATTGGCTGTTCTCGTAGCGTTGCTGATGTTTGGTGGTTATGATCTGACAGAGCAGCTCCGAGTCGCACTGACATCACACACATCAGAAGCACATGAAGACAAAAAGTCAGGTCACAGGGAGAAGCAAATCTCAGCCAAAACCGAGCACATTCTCCAGTAGTGTGTGGCGTCCGTGAGTGTGTCTAAGCACACAGAGTCGGGTCAGTGGTCTCACCTGGAGCACACGCTGTACGTCCACGGTGGTGATGAAGCCTTTGCTCTCCTTGTCAAACTTGTGGAAGCGCTTCTTGTACCTGAGCAGGAAACAGGCTCGTTAACACCACACCTCTGATTACAGCGTCGTTAGAAGGGCTGCAAAAAATGGTTGTCATAGTAACGGCTTACGCAAAATCTATATTGTTCGAATTAGACCACTTTTCCAATCTCTCCATTTTGACACAGACTTAATTTTTCCCCAAGTTTATTTCATGTGTTTAGTTTATTTGTGTGTGTCTGTGTATGCGTTGTTTGACTTCAAATGTACTCTTTCATAACCTCAACTGAGATCTGTTTTGGGCATCACTTGGGTGTGTATGTACATTGTTGTTATCAAATTAAACTCAACTGATTATGTCAAATAAGTCATCAAATATTGCATCATTCTCAGACTTTGTGCATATGGTTTTGATGATTCTCTCATTTTGATTTCATGTGGTTGGATAATAAGTGTAATTTACTACAAAATGTCATTTTACACCAATCAAGAAGCAATTCGTGAAGAAAAACATGTTGAAAATTACAGGAAGTAGAGAGTTCTGTTTCAGAGAGTTCCATATTGATGACATGACGCTAGGGAGAATTCTGTCCAAAAGTTTAACAGGATTTACACAAAAGAAACACATGTTTTCTGGCACTTTAAACATGATTTCAACAAAATAAAGGTGATTTCTTATATTTCTAATGGTCAAATAATAATTTCTGTGCACATTAGGAGTTTTTTTTGCTAGGTAACAGTTATGATATTCCCTAGTGCAGACATGTCAGACTCAGGCTCGGGGGCCAAATTTGGACCACGCTATAATTATATTTGGCCTGTGAGATTATATCAAATCTGTATTAGAGCTGTCCACCGGTACAGATAGACTATAGAGACATGATTGATTTAAAATTTTGTTTTGTCATGGCCATACCGGCTTGTGAAAGCCTGATCTTTTCAGATCTCAGAAGCTCAGCAGGGTCGGGCCTGGGTAGTACTTGGATGGGAGACACTGGGAATTCAAGATGCCAGAATGGGGCGACAGTGGCAAAAACTGTCGGTGTGTCATTAAGCAAGACACTTCACCCACATTGCCTAGTATGAAAGTGGTGTGTGTGAGTGATGGTGGTAGTCGGAGGGGCCGATGGCGCAGATTGGCAGACTCACTTCCATCAGTCTGCCCCAGGGCAGCTGTGGCTATAGTAATATCTTACCACCACTGAGTGATGTGAATGAATAATAAACTGTAAAGCTCTTTGGGTATCTTGAAAGGCGCTATATAAATGCAATGATTAATTAATTAATTCAATGTCATGGCTGGTGCTCCCCTCCCTCCCCGTGTGTGTGTGTGTGTGTGTGTGTGTGTGTGTGTGTACATTCTACCTGTAGTAAATAAATTATCCTTTTTCATTTTTGTGAACCGGTCTCCAGTCCATTTTTTGGGTCCCTCCATTGTTGCGCCACATAACATTAAAGTTATTATTTTATATTCTGCTTGTTATGGATTCAGTGTTTAAACAAAACTATTATTAAACATTTATTTTAATTAGAAAAGGTTTAACATTACATATCTTGAAAGAAGTGAAAACAAGCAGATGTTGTTGACATTTTTCAATAAATATTTAGTTTGCCCCATGACTTAGTCCCAGTTTTTAATTTTGGCCTCTGTGAATTTGAGTTTGACTCCCGTGCTCTAGTGTAATGTCATAATTTCAAACCAGGAAGAATTTGAAGCCTGAAAAACTGGGTAAAACATTTACATTTTTTAAGTAAAATCTAAAATACAATGATCTTAACTGTGTGTTGGTGGAATGAGTGATCTAAGATGTCATAGGTACGTTCATCATTACACAAACCAGACAGACTTGGAGCTATACACTAGAATATTTGCATGTCTGTTTTTTTCCCCCCAAATATTACCTGATGACTTCCTGGTAGTCGAGGTTGATCTCCGTGGTCTTGGACAGTTGTTCATCACGAGCCCTGTAGCCCATCTCGTGATACAGGAACTTCTGCGCCGCCTCCAGCTCCGCCTGCACGTGAACAGAACATGAATAAAACTGCTCCCACACTGGTTCAGCTCCGGTCTGACCCAGCTTTAGTCCCTCTCACCTTGGTCCTCTCCTCGCTCCAGTTCAGCTCTTTGGCCATGATCTGAGCGATGCGCGGTAGAGCCTCGTCTGCAGCCTGCACGTTGAGGAAGCCCAGGCGAGTGCGGCGCGCGATCACGTCTATCACGGTGCACGCGTACTCTTTGATCGCATACGACACCTGACGCACAACAGCAACAACACAACAGTTATATATGTACAGAAGATTGTATTACAGGGTTCAGACAACTCAGCTGTGACTGCAGGGCCCAAACGGAGGTGATAGAGTAGCCAAAAATGTGACTAAAGTAAGGGTAACATTACTTCAAAATAATAATATAACCATAAGTACAAAGTAGTGGTTCATAACTTGTGAGATTATTTTGAAAACTACTTCTCCAGGAAGCAACAACAATAATGCACAAAATCTGGTATTTTCAAGGGACAGAGACAAAAATTTGGTATATGGACTAAATCATATGTGAAGGAGCAGTGCAAGAAATTAAAGTTATTTCAATATTGGATCAGAGCATGCCTAATTGTAAACATGTTCTTTGTTTTCAATCAGCTGATGGACCTGGAAGTGACATTAGACTTAACAAAGCTATAGGAAAAATTGTCTCTTGCTAAAATCAAGAATCTGAAAACAGGTCAAATCTGTAAGTTGTAACAGCCCTAATGGTTCTCTGAGTCTGCATGTAGGGAACAGTGGGCCTCATTCATGAATCTTTTCTTTAAAAATGTTTGTAACTTTGACTTTAAAAAGATGCTGAAAGAACTCTGCGCCAGATTCAGAAAGCGTTTTTAAGCAGCCAAATTCCGTCTTAAGTGACAGTTGCAGTGAATTCACCAACACCCAGCTACGACCACCTCCATGCTCATTTACATTTTATTTACATAGAAATTTAATAAGTATTTGGTTAGAAACGCCCTCTGAACTTCCAAATATGGCCAGTAAGGGTTTGGCTAAAGGTTAAAGTTAGGTTAAGTCATAAACTTATTGAAATAAGCGGCTGCTTTCTTAATAGCAAGAGAGGAAGGCTGGGGTAGGGGTGCATAAGAGTGCTCTGGTCATGGAGGGTCAAGGGGGTGATGGGGGTGTTGAGTCCAGCATGATGACCAGGCGCAGGGCTGTAACAGAGGCCCATATGGAGGCACTGGGGCTGGAACAGACTGAGGCTCACTGCAGCCTGGAGAAAAACTCCTCATAAATGTTAATGGCTCAGAGAGTCATATGTTTATAAGAAATAATTTAAGAAAATATATAACTTACAATCATGGAGGAATTAGAATTTTTTGTTGCATTATCAGAGTAATAATATTCTAAAACAGTAGAATTTTTTTTTCTTACATATCTGCTGACTGTTCGTAGGATTTGTTCTTCCAGAAGAACATTTTCAGTTCAGAAAAAGTTTTTTGACTGCCAAAAATGTACAAAAGAACAATTTAAGTACAAATTTGTTCATAAGAACATTTCATGATTGAGGCCTATTGAGTTGTTTAAACTGGATCACAGAGCAGATGCATTACCTCACTCTCGATGTAGGGGAACTCAGACACCAAGCGTTGGCCCACGATAGGCCACCGCTGTCCGGTCACGTGTGCCATCTTAGCCACATCAAACGCCCGGGAGCCATATGTGGAGGCCAGGTGCTGTGCCACCTGCACACAAAACACACAGGTCAGTAGAGAGTTTGTTCAGGTGACACAAGTGTGTGTGTCAGCTCTGTCGTCACAGATCACAATGGTCCAGGTCACAACAATAGTCCTGTGTTCTGTTTTTGTGCCCAGTCATTGTAAGCATTGTATGAACCAACACAGTGTTTAAAACAGACTAGTGCACAAAGGAAGTTTCTGGAGAGGGTCCCCCACTTGCTTGTCTTCATGGAGATTTTATTGATTTGTCTAGAATGTTCCACAGTGTAGCATTAAACTTTAAATTAAATCTATGTTGCATTTATTCAGTTACAGGTGTGTTTATTTCTCAAAAATGCCTTTAAAACCTGCATTTACTCTGAGTGGTCTCTCCTCTCCACAGATCAAACCTGTAACTTGGTCTTGTGTAACTAGTGCTGTATCATCTTTCTGTTGAATGCTCATGTACATTTTTGTAATTATTTTGTAATGAAGCTAAACTCTGCCAGTATTTGCTGTGACATATGTCTGTTTCAGCACCAGTGTCAGGCTAAAAACACACTATATCATAACACACTGATTAGAACACTACAGACTCTGCACTAAGAGCGGCGTTTTGCCATCATGGTAAAGCTGACAACAACTAGCATCCTAACAGCAGTCTCACTTCTACTACAAGAGCTGCTGCTTATATCATTTATGGCAGCAGAGCAGATTATGGCAGAATCTCCACTTGGTGACATTTTCAGTACATCTTTATGATGTATGGTCTTGCTCTCTGATTCCCAGCCCCAGTTCAGACCTCCACTTCCAGTCCGTAGTCCTGCACCAGTCTGATGTAGAGTGTGGGGGTCCAGCCTCTGCCCCCCTCCAGCATCAGCCCCACAGTTCTGCAGGGCTCGGCCTTCAGCTGGTGCGCCTCCACCGCTGCGTCCAGGGTCTCCTCCGCCATGGAGCGGTATGTGGTCCACTTCCCTCCTGTAACATGGACAACAGCACGGTCACTGGGATGTGAAGGGAACGTCAGGGAATGTCAGGACGAAATGTGGATGGATTTTAAAATCATCATGGTACTTTTAAGCAACAATTTAGAATTTCCAGGGTAGAGATTTCATAAAATACTAGGGGTGTAATGGTACATGCATTCATGCTGAAACATTTTGGTACGGATGGTCAGTTCAGTGAAGGGAAGTGCACAAGTGAGCTTGTAAAATTTGTGTGGGGTTACATTTCGACCATTACATGTGCAGCTCCACTCTTAAATATTTACGAGGGCTGCACTTACTGCAGACAATGTGGACAAGTTGGTTTTTCTGGCCAAAAATATGAAGATTGAGTAAAAGTTCATGCTGGAACTGTTAGTGCTGCACTTTACTTTTTGAAAAGTTTTGTTTAATGTTTACAAGGAATTTATTTTTATAATATTTTGTATATTTGTTGCTTATTTGAGGATATTTTATTTAACTTATTAGTATTACCAAGCAGCACTTTGCATTTATTTTCAGTTTCAATGTTTCAATGTTAAAACTAATTGTTGGTTTAAGAAAAACACTAATAAATAAAAAGCAAATGGTTTTCCATTTTGTTTTCATACTATACCAAAAAATTTACGGACACAAAAATACTGAATCTTCACAAAAAGTACAATTTGTGATCAAGAGTCTAATATATCTGTCATTGTATCTGTAGATACAATGGAAATTTATTGTGAGTTATTGTGTTTGTTATTCTATTTGAATAAATGTATGTTTCATATTTGATATTGTTGTTGTGATATTCTCTGGTTACATTATGTTCCACTTCTGCCTCCAGTTCCTCCAGTGTGATATTTCGAATGAATCTGAACACACACTTTTAAATGGTCTATACACTTCGTGACACTAGATGTATTTCAAGGGTGGTGATTTCTCCTGTATTAGCTGGACTGAGTTACCTGCGATGGTGACCAGCCCGCTGTTGCTCACACTGACCACATGGTTGCGGCAGATGGACTGGGTGTCTTTGGAGTTGGGGTCGGTGACCAGGGGCCGGATGCCGCTCCAGGCTGCCAGCACGTCTCCTCTGCGCACTGCAACAGGCACACACACACATGCATTTAGACACAACACACACGTCCCGTCCGCACACTAACAGCCGGCGTACCTTCCACGTCAGGGCTGAGGTAGTTGCGTATCTCTGTCAGGATGAAGTTGATGTCCTCCTCTCCGGGGATGGGGTGGGCGGTCACGTCGGTGGGGGTGTCTGTGGTCCCCGCGATGGTCATCTTCTCCCAAGGCAAGAAGAAGATGACACGGCCGTCGCTGGTGGCCGGATCCAGCAGACCCATGTTGTCTGGACTGTGGGGACATACAGTAAAATGAGTCTATACTCTTTGTTATAATATCCTGAAATACAAAAATACACAAACTAAATACAGATTTTCTTTTGGAGATGATTCCTCTGTCTGGTTTATATAGCACTTTTCTACCTTCAAGCAACTCAAAGCGCTTTACATGAAGGGACCACTCAGTCTTTCCCACATCAGTGTTCACAGACACTGGGGACAAATTGGTTTAAGTGTCTTACTCAAATGAAATGGAAATGGAATTTCCTACGCCAACCTGTGGGTCAGTGGATCTGATCATTCTACTAGATTCAAGATTTTATTGTCATGTTCTAATATTGATGTTTATGTCGAAAGCAGGATTCAAACCACCAACTTTCGGATCAGGGATGATCACCCTATCAGTGGAGCTACTGCAACCCTAAATTATAAAATGATTAAGTACGTAAGCAAGTGATGCCACCAGGCCTCACGCTCCCCTTTAGTCCTTCAAATGCCACCTCTCCTCCTCCCTCACTCTCCCCTTTTGTCCCCTAGACTCTTCCCCCTCACTTACCCCTTTAGTCCTCCATACCTTGCCCGTCCTCCCCCCTCATTCTCCCCTTTAGTCCTCCATACCTTGCCTGTCCTCCCTCTCACTCTTCCCTTTAGTCCTCCAGACCCAGCCCTCTCCTCATCCCTCACTCTCCCCTTTAGTCCTCTTGAAATGTGGCTGTGGGCCGAGTTTAGGTGTTGAGTCTCTCTTTAAATATGGAAGCCTCGTGAGATAACGTCTGACCGCGCACGAGGGCAGTGACCTGGAGGTGTGAGGCTGAACTTCAGGGAGATTTCACAACCACAGCACAGCCTTTTAATGTCGTCAGTCGAATCTATTTCAGTCCATGAAATGTGAACTTTCTCTCGGTATTTGTCCCATACCATTAATCTGATGCTATTTCTGTTCAGATACAAATGTTTACTATGATCTGAAGACTGACACTTTGGACCACTTTATAATTTTAAAGTTGAACATTTGTGCATCATCAGTTTAGATATAAAAACAGTGACTCTCCAATAAAGTTAAGTTCTATGGTGGAATGTTCAGCAATGTTGTATCATGTTTACATGACGTTTACATTATGTTTTTGATTCCGAATGAAGTATTTTGAATTAAATAGTTTTGAATTAAATTATTCTCCTCCAAGTTTACATGGAAAAAATAATTACGAATTAAGGTTTATCGGGCATCTGTTTCGGATGCCTCCTGGACGCCTCCCTCGGGAGGTGTTCTGGGCATGTCCCACTGGGAGGAGGCCACGGGGAAAACCCAGGACACGCTGGAGGGACTATGTCTCTCGGCTGGCCTGGGAACGTCTCGGGATCCCCCTGGAAGAGCTGGAGGTGTGTGTGTGGAGAGGGAAGTCTGGGAGGCCCTTCTCAAACTGTTGCCCCCGCGACCCGACCTTGGATAAGCGGAAGAAAATGGATGGATGGATGGGTTTACATGGAAAATACATAAAATCCACTACGCACTGGTCTTGCTCGCCCCTGTCCAAAACCAGCACATGGAGGACGGAGCCTCTGGACCTATCTCAAGACACCAACACATGAAGAACAACACAAGACCAAGGACTGTTACCTGAACTCAGAGCTTCTGCTCCAGGTTGATGTGCGGTGAGTTGTGTATAGTTAAAGTTATAGGCCACATGCTGTTGTTTTATGAGTTCATGATGATAATCATGATGATGAGGACAACTCGCAGTGTTCCTTTTTTCACCATCTTGCAGTGCGTCATCGTGTCAGAAAGACAACTCAATGAGCATGCACTAAATAACCAGAATGATTTTTAAGAGGAATAAACGTTTACATGATCGAAGAATAAATTAATTTGGCTTAAAATCCTAATAAATCACTCACTTAATTCAAAATTATGTTTAGTTCCAAATAATCATTAGGAATAAAGGGTTTACATAGTGTTTTAAAAGTGGAATACATTTTTATTCCAAATTAAATTATTAAAGCTTTCATGTAAATGGGGCAAATGTCTAAGATAGTTTGATCTATGCTTGATAACATGGATTATGGAACATTTTCAGGGGCCTGTGATCAATACAGGTGTACAGTCGTGGTCGTCTTTAGGTGTCTGATTTTCAGCAAAAAGGTGAAAGTGACTAACTGAAAAACTGTGACTGTGAGAGGGACTTGTTTAACAGCACAAATCAGCTCACATGTTCCAGCTAAATCAGTTCTTTGTGGTCACATTGTGTTAAAATTACACCTACTTTAAAGTCTAACAAAGTTTCAGACAGAGCAGTGCCTTCAATTAGCATCAGGCCCCAGGGAATGTTGATGACATCAGCTGCACAGTATCAATAAGCTCTAAGTATATGTCATATATTTTGCCTATGATGTAACTTTGAACTTCAGCAAAACTGTCAAACTAGAAAAAACAATGGAGTTTATTTTCTCAAATCTTTGAATAATCATGTTAACTATGTTTCAGTGAAAAGAGTAGTCTAACCTGTCACATGAACATTAAATATGAAAACTTTAAGACATTTTCAGGCTTTTTAAACTTCTTTAGAGGCAGTATCAGACTCGAGGGAGGGGCCTTGTACCTGTAGTATCCCGGGATGACGATGTGCACCCCCGCGCTGGGCTGGCAGATGTTGGCGGTCTCCTGGTTGTCCATCTTCCTCAGAGAGTCTGTGAAGGGCCCGGTGGCGTTGATCACACACTTGGCCCTCACGTCAAACTCCTCTCCTGGAGGGGTCAAGCAGAGGTCAGGTAAAGTTCAGGCAGAGGTCATGAGGTCAAGACAAACGAATTACAAAAAAAGACACAAAAATATTCCAAATTTCATCCCGTACCATCTTGTGTTTGCTCCAAGCAACATACTTTTAGTGACAGAGGATTTGGCTGTAGACTTCTTCATTAAAAACACCCAAGTAAATTAATTGGAGATTCCTAACCATTATTTATTCAGCCAATGTAGCACATTATAGAAATCAATACATAAAAGTGCACTATGTAACTTTTCTAGTGGAGAGAGCATAACCATGGAAGCATTATAAGATCTGGAAATCCAGGGTCCATCCATATGAAATTAGTCATTTTCAAGGAATCTCCCCTATGAGCCATCTCATTTGGCTGAAAAAATCTCAAAAAATTTCTAAAATTGCCAAATGAAAGAATTTAAGACTTTAGCTCAGTTTCTTCAGTTGTTCCTGATTTATGGGCCATTGACATTTTGGGGCCATGCTCACTTTTTTGGAAACCTTAATTTATAAGGGTGCTTGAGGGCCCCCAAAGTCTCAAATTTGGTTGCCACTCAATTTATTTAATTTTTTTTCAGTTTTTCAGCTGTTGAACCTGAATATTTGAGAGAATGACCATTTCTGACAACAAACTCACACTTTTCTGAGCTTTCATGCGGAGGGTGTAGAGCCCCAAATATGGTAAAAAAATTTGACCTATCTGGCCTCTTATTTGGAGCCTCGGTTCCCCATGTGGGCACAGTTAGATGCTGATAAATTTTTTTACCAGATAAACTTTGGCATATTCTGATTAGTTTAAAATAATAAAAACATCTAATATTAACTTCCTTCATTTCAAAAGGAATTTTTGAAAATGAGCTCTCATGGGTCATTTTTGTTGGAGCTTAGGGACTTTTCCACCTGCAGAAAGGTTCAATTATCTTTAATAGACTTAAACACTCAGTGCTTGTTATAAGGAAGACAATTGGAGATTATTTCTGGCTACACTGCTTGTGATGGCATTGGTAGCACAGTAAAACGCTTGGCTGTGTTAAAAATGTGTTAAAATTGTAATTTGTGTCAAACTTTTGAAGAGAATTCTCGTGTGATGCCATTAATATGGAACTCTCTAAAATACAACTCTCTAGTCTCTTTCTTAATTTGTGTAAAACTATCATTTATATCTACAACAGGATATCCCACCAAATTAAGTCAAAATTGGAGAATCATCAAAACCTGTCACACGTATCATAGAAAACACGCAGTAGCCTCATGATTTGTTTGGTTTGACCTCGTGGTGAGTACTCTGACAGATAAAGGCAGTATTTATTTACTTTGTGTGATAGCAGGTCACCCAGGGGAACTCATATTCTGATAGTGGAATTGATTGTCCCAAGAGGTAGAGCAAACGATTGAGTGAACAAAGAAATTGATTAACCACAGCTCATCCATAATTATCTAGTGCAGTGTAGTGTATGGGAGTGTTGGGAAGAATAGTACTGACCCGTGAGCACGTCCCTGCAGCGCGCCCCACACACTTTCTCCTCTCCAGTTCCAGGGTCGGTGCGCTTCAGCAGGGACACCACCTCTGTGTAGTTGGCCATGGCGGCTCCGTGACGCGCTGCCGTCAGAGCGATGGCCAGGTTCATGCGGGCGTCATTGTGTTGTCCTGAAAACATAGAATAAACACAGGAGATTAGACAGGTGTTCAACAACAACGATTCAAAGCTTCTATCCATAATTAAGACCGGCCATGTTGCATTCTCACTTATCACCTATGTCTACGTTGCAGTTTGACAGTGGGCCAGTTTTGGAAAGCACAGGTGAGCCTGAACAAGGCAGGGGAAGGGAGGAAGCCAGGTGAAGGGAGGGATTAGGTGAGGGGAGAGGGGATAGTTTTCACGTCTGACATCTCCTGGTAGATGGTTTCTATACACACACACACACACACACATTCTTACATTCCTATTTTCTGCTGCTACTATTTAAGAACTGTGTAGAATCCCTCAGTCATCCAGGTGGAATCTATTGCAAAAGAAGAAATTCAATTTGTCAACTGGACAAAAGTTTATTGAATTTATTATCAAATACGTTTCACAGCTCATCCAAGCTGCTTCTTCAGTTCTGTTCAGAACTATTCAAAATTGAAGAAGCAGCTTGGATGAGCTGCAAAACGTATTCAACCAAAATAAACTTGTGTCCAGTTGACAAATTGAATTTCTTCTTTTGCCACCATTAAAGAACATTCTCAGTTCATATGGTCTCCTGATTCTCTGACTGGACTCAACTGTCCATCCTGGCTGCTCCAATCAGCATTACTCTTATTAAGTTAATAAAAAGACCAATAAAAAGACCAGTTCACACTGCAAGACCACTTAGTAATATTTAAGAAAGTACTATGATTTAATGTTGAAATCACATTCTGTTGTCTAAGAGTATCTTGTAGTGTCATCTTCGTATCAGAATCGGTATCAAGTATAAAGTCTTTTGAGTTTTGAAATGTTAGTATTGAGACTCCACTATTTTCTTCCACAATAAGGTAAGTACTTGTTCACAACAGCTGTGGGTTCACTGTGTGTCCGGGGTGAGAGCTGAGAATCAGACACTTGGTGTTAGCTGCTGCTCGGAGGCACAGCTCTGTGTCTTGGTTCTCTGTGTTCCCTCAGAGAAGGTCAGTTTTCCAAATGCCACAGCCCTTGCTCCAGACTGGAGATTAGCACAAAGCCTCGGAGCCCGGAGCCCGGTGGAGGGAGCAGACACAGCCGAGACCAGCACATGCTCTCTATGTCCAGACAGAGAGCAAGTTTTATACTTTTCTGAGCTCTAAGCAAACGAGTTAGGTAACAGTTATTTATCATTTAAAATAACTATAGCACAACTCTGAAAATATTATGGGGGGTTTTGAGTCCACATTGTCCAGTAAAATCGTACAATTTCAGCCGCTTGTATCTGCAACCTTGTCCTTTCAGTCATTACCCAGAGCTCATGACCATAGGTGAGGGGAGGAACGAAGACTGACCAGTAAATCAAGAGCTTTGCCTTTCAGTTCAGCTCCTTATTCATCACAACGGTCCAATACAGCGACCGCATCACTGCAGACGCTGCACTGATCCACCTGTCAATCTCACACTCCATCCTCCCCTCACTCGTGAACAAGACCCCGAGATACTTGAACTCCTCCACTTGAGGCAGGGACTCTCCACCCACCCGGAGAGGACAAGCCAACAAACCAATATCCAGTCCATCAAAACTTTAAATATCAGTAGCAATAGCCAATACCGTCATAGTATCAGTGCATCTCCATAAACTACACCAGCTTCCAATGAGACATTTAGGCGCTGCTGTCAGCAACAGGAATTAACATTAAAAACAACTGAAGCTCACATCTCCAGTGAATTATAGAGCCATGCAACTGACTGTGGTCCAGTGATGGTTTATGGGCTTAAAAACAGCACAGAAGGTTGGACTTTTATCTATGACCCAACAAAACTGGCTATATGCAAACAGAGCATTTTTGAGGCTCAGAGAATTTTAAATTAATGAAACCAAAGTGAGTGAAGCAAAAATACTACTCCAGGTATGTTTCTGATGAGGGGACAATGGTATAACAAGATTAAAAGGTCAAATAAGTGAATTTTGCATGTCTTATTATTTTAAAAATGCTTTATAATGATTTGAGTACTCCTGTATTGTGCAGCATTTGAGGCTTGAGTGCTCAGAAAATGTCCGTTTTCACCTGCCCCCTCTCCCCACCCACTGCTCTGTCCTCACTTGTAAACATGAGCTGTTATCCCAGCTGTCCACACTCACTTAGCCCTCACTCACTGCCAGAGTGACTGCCCGTTCTCTTGTGTACAGTTTGTCACAACAGCCACAGGCCAACACAGAACGCAAAGCTTGTCCAAGAACACTGTGACTTCTTCAAAGATTCTCATAAGAAAGATTTATTCTGCTATGATGTAGTTAGAGAGTCAGCAAAAATAAACATTCCTAGTGACACATTAAAGTTCGAAATGGAAAACGTTTTGTACAGGTTATAATAGTTTTGCAAATACATAAAAGTGAACATTATTATTTTTAAGGCCGTGCAATTAATTGAATTTTGATCGTGATTCCAATTTGTCAAACAATCAAACAATCTGCACACTCATATAATCGAGTTGAAATGTTTAAATTAGTGCTGTCATGCGATTAAAAAAATTGAGAGATTAATTAATTATGATCTGTAATTAATTAATCTAATTAATCTCATTTTAATCTCACCTAAAAATTGCTGAGAAAAGCCTTCAGTTTGAGGTATTTTCATTTAAATTCATTATTACATTATTGTGGCAGATCAAAAGATTGATATAGATTTAAAAAAGTGACTTTATAAAGTCATTTATTGTTTAACAAATCTCTCCAAATTGACTGTTGAGCCCAAGTCTCCATGAATAAGAAACTGTTTGTTGTAGCAAAGACGAGGAAATCTGAACATAATAACCTTTGTCTACTTAAAGACAATAAAAAGTCCAGTCTTTCCTTAACCATATGAAAAATATTACTGATAGAGAAATGCTTTATATATGACATCACTGGTTTTAGTCCTGGTTTAGACCTGCTTTAGACCTGCTTTAATCCTACTTTAGTCCTAGTTTAGTCCTGGAATGGATTAATCCTGGTTTTAGTCCTTGTGTTAGTTCTGGTTTAGTCCTGGTTTAGTCCTGGTTTAGTCCTGGTTTAGTCCTGGTTTAGACCTGGTTTTAGTTCTGGTTTTAGTTCTGGTTTAGTCCTGGTTTAGTCCTGGTTTAGTTCTGGTTTTAGTTCTGGTTTAGTCCTGGTTTAGACCTGGTTTTAGTTCTGGTTTTAGTTCTGGTTTCTGGTTTAGTCCTGTTTAGTCCTGGTTTGGTTTTAGTTCTGGTTTTAGTTCTGGTTTAGTCCTGGTTTAGTCCTGGTTTAGTCCTGGTTTTAGTCTTGGTGTTAGTTCTGGTTTAGAGGCGCACAGGAAGAAGCGTGGTTTACGCAGCGTAGCGAGAAAACACGATCCACACGCGGCTCACGGGAGGACAGCGATGTCCGCGCAGCGTCTACGGAAGGAAACGTGGTCCGCGCGTTCTCAGGTTAATGACGATGATGAAGGTGTGTGTTTGTTTGTGTGTGTTTGTGTTTGTTTGTGTGTGTTTGTGTTTGTGTGCGTGTCCCCTCATGTGGCAGGTCACTATAGGACAGTAGTGCAGACATCATGAGCCTATGCAGGTTGTTTTCAGGCGATATTATATTTGTTATTTTCTTTTATATTTCACGTCGGGAGAATAATTTCCAAGACACGAATGTGTTTTTACCTGTGCACTGCTGACTCTGTTCTACTGGCTCTACAACCTCGTCCATTGTGCGACTGACGGCGCCAACGTTAACATGACGTTTACATCGCTCTTACTTTCATGAGTTTTTTACACATTGAGAAGATGAGATTTACCTTTGCAGGTTCGACCACAAAATTTGAAAAAACATGGCAGCCATTTTTGAAATACATGGACACATAAAATGGGCACCATACCTTAGCATGGTTGTGTGTGTCTTTTATATATATATTTTTGTTCTATGTTTTTTTGTTTTTTCTTGGGGTTATTTTTTGGGGAAAAAATTGCATAAATATGATGTTTGATATATAAACTCTGTAATGTGCTACCGAAATTTATAAATAAAATTGTAAAAAAAAAACTGTTATTTAGTATCGAGTGTATTCCTGTGGTGTGGTGGAGTACGTACCATCATAGTAGACGATGGCCCCCACCAGCTTGTCCTTCTTGAGCATGGGGAACAGCTCCAGGGCCTTGGACTTGCTCAGCACGTAGCTGCTCTTCAGGCACTGGATCCCTGCCACCAGGTCGTACATCTTTATGCCGGCCCAGTAGTAAGGCAGCTGCCACCATCTGAAGGAAGGGGGTCATCATAAACATACTTGTCACTGTATGCCCAACGTGGGATAAATATAGTACAAGGGACATTTCAATAACTTTTCAAAGATAGATTGCCTCATTATTAAAGTGAGGAACATAAGATTATACCAATATAAATTCCATTGTCCAATCCACTTATCAATCACCCTGCTTAATGGTTCTTTCACTAGCTAAGACCACGCCAACGACAACATAGTGCGAAGTAGTTTATTGATAATGTACAAAGCGAGGCAAAGATGGCTGGGTTGAGACTATGGGTGGGACCCCCCTTGTAGGGGTCTTATGACTGAAAGACAAAATAGGGGATGGGAGGGTGGGGTCGAGTTCGCCGAGACAAACTGGGATGATGGGAAAGGCTGCTACATATAGGCTTCTGGGAAATTAGAGGCGTGGTCGAGGTGAGTTGTGGTTCGCCGGTGAGGAGAGGGCGGCTGAGGCGTGGTCCTGCTCCTGAATCTCAGTTAATCGTATTAACTACATATATTACGCAAAATTGACTCTTATGAGCTTTAAGTCATGTTACAGTGTTGTTATCTCCTCAAAAACACCTGGAGTTGTTTTGTTTCATTCACATGTTTGAGTAACTCTTTATTATTAGTCTGTCTATATCTCCAAAGCTCAGAATGCTCTGCTGCACCTTGTGATGTCATGAAGCGGTAGTCTTCAAGTTAACAGCTACCTTTTACCTAAACAAAACACAACTCCAGGTCTGTTTGTAATGAGGAAACAACATTTTAACATGATCAGAAAACAGCTTATCTGTACTATGACGTCAATAATTGTTCCAAATGTTTATATTTGTTAACTAAACAAAGCACTACAATTCCATTCCACACCAATATTTTCAGGGTTTTTGAAAATTTTCTCCAACTCTTTTATGCAGTTTTATAAATAAGTCTTAATGTTAATGTTAATAGTGTACGCTTTAAAGAGCTTATGAAATATTTTGATTGGATGGATATCTTAATTTTGCGTTTCCATGTGTGTTTAGAGCCGCAACTAACAATTGTTTTAGTTGGCGAGTCAATGATTTTTTGTTTTGTTTTGTTTAGTCAGCTAGTGAAATGATTTCTATTGTACTATTCTTGTTCTATTGTACTATTGTTTCTGTTGTGTACTGAGAATTTTCAAACACATTGTCAACCAAATAAAAGTAGAAATTTGGGGACTGAAGGTTTATACAGGATATTCCAGAGCACGTACTTATACACAGGCAGCATGATGGGCAGTGGGGCTGACAGGTGCGGGGCGATCTCCAGCAGGTTAGCTCGTTCATGGAGGGCCTCTTTCACCATCATGTACTGTAAAATCACACATGTACTGTAAAAATGTATTAGAAAAATCACACATGTACTGTAAAATCATACGAAAATCACACATGTACTCTAAAATCACACTTTAAAATCAAACGTACTGTAAAATCACACTGTAAAATCACACATGTATTGTAAAATCTCACACATACTGTAAAATCACAGTGTAAAAATCACACATATACTGTATAATCACTCATGTACTATAAAACGTACTGTAAAATCACACATGTATTGTAAAATGAACTGTAAAAATCACACATGTGCATGCAGTGTAAAAACATACACACATATGCCTACTGTATCAGGCATGGAATGAGGTATATGTTTAGTGTCATGATTGGAGTAATTGTGACTAACGATAAGACTGTGCAATTAATCACAACTGAATCAAAATCACAATTTCAGTTGCTGCTATTATCAAACAGCAAAGCCTGCTATTATTTAGATTAAAGAATGTATACTGCCTGTCTTTTTATAGAAATATCTAGTTATTGTGGTTTAGGACTCTACAAATATGTTCTGTAAAGTCCTTGTGTGTCAGATGCCCTACCTGTGTCTCTATAGGGTCCTATTCTACGTAAAAGCTGCACCCTGTAGGTTAGATCTGTACAAACATGTTCTGAAATGCATGGGATTCTTGTATAGGTTTATCAGTTCTCAAATGTGAATACTCCATGTTTACATTGTGCAGTCTGAACAGAATCTTGCTCTTCAAACATAATTCACAAATGTAATTCCAGCCAAAATACTTCTCCAAAAAAAAAAAATACTTTTTTAATCAAAATTGTTCAGCCCAATAATGATTAAAATAGCTCACTGTTCAAAAATATGAGTTGTGTTTTCTGCACAACTGAGTGGTATGATGATAATTATCTTTTTTCATGATGCAACAAACTGTACCCCGAACGATTCTAGTCTTCAATTTTTATCACTAAATGAATATTACTGTCCTATCCCTACTGTACGTGACTGGTCTGGTAAAGGGTCCAGACTAATCCTAGTCCGAGTACCTGTTCATAGTCCAGCTTCATGATGGCCTTCTGCAGGTAGCGCACCCCCCCATGGATCAGCTTGGTGCTGCGGCTGCTGGTGCCAGAGGAGAAGTCACTTCTCTCCACCAGGGCAGTCTTCAGGTCTGGAAGCACACACACAAACCACAAATCATGAGTTTAATCTGCCCTTTTTCACTTATAAATACCAAAATATACAAAATCTTCAGCTAACTCACTCACTCAATAAATGATGATCCTTATCATCTAAATGGTAAATGGTCACGTTTTTATACAGCACTCTTCTACCTTCAAGATGCTTTATATCAAGGAACCACTCACCCATTCACACACCAGTATAAGCAGACACTGGGGGTGAGGTGGGCTTCTTCAGTGATTCTAATAAGAAAGATCTGTTCTGCTATGATGTAATTAGAGGGCCAGCAAAAATAAAGATACCCAGTGACACTTTAAAATTTGAAATGCAAAAAGTACAGGTAATGAACAAGGTTATAATAGTTTTGCAAATACTTAAATGTCAACATGGTTATTTTTTGATTGTGATTCCGATTTGTGTGTCAAACGATCTCCAAACTCATATAATCGAGTTGAAACAATTAAAGCTTATGAAAGTTTATTTTGGGATATTTTTAATATTAATAAGTATATTTATTTTTTAAATATAGAGAGTGTAGAACAGCTGGATATATTGTTTATTTTGGACACATTTAAGTGTCTTGCCCAAGACCACGACAGCATTTACCTGTGTGAGCTGGAACTGCACCAAACTGTGAGTCCATAGAACTGACCGCTCACCAACGATGTTTATGTTGAGAGACAGATTAGAACCGCCAACCTTTGGATCAGTGGACAAAGGCTCTACCAGCTGAACTACTGTGACTGATGACTAATACCAGTTTTGATCGATTAAGACTCCAGTGACCAATTATTGATTAAACGACTAAAAAACTAAATAACTAAACAGACTACAGTCACAGGGTCATTGGGTAGCTGAGTGTGTGGATGTCTCTTACTGCGTGTGACAGCGTCTAAGGCACATCCGGCTCCTGTGGCTCCTCCCCCCACGATCAGCACGTCAAACTCCTCTGTGTCCTTGAGGGCCGATAGCTGGGCCTGACGAGAGGGCAGCTCACTGGAGAAAGGGATCTTCAGATCTGCCTCCGCGGCCACATGGGCTAGCCGCGCCTGAGGGACAGATGCAGCACAAAGTTATGAAAAACAACTTGTTTAGACGTAAAGGACCCATATGACGCAGTTTTCTGATCTGTGTTATAATGTTGTTTCCTCATCACAAACAGACCTGGAGTTGTGTTTTGTTTCATTCTCACATGTTTAACACAAACACTGCATATTTATGGATGAATTCTCTCAAACAAAAAAACACTCTGTTCCACCTTGTGATGTCATGTGGTAATACAGGAGGTGTTCCATTGTGTTTTTAAACTCCACACACCTTCACTAGAATCTTTTGGACAATTCCAGCCCTGGAATTGCCCAACTCTACTAAACAAAAGACAAAAGAAGCTGAGATGTAGACAGACTACTAAATCAGGATCAGAATTAACATGTCTATGAAACAAAACACACCTCCAGGTCTGTTTTTGATGAGGTAACAATATTACAACATGGTTTAAAGCTCAGAGCAGTGAATTTTGCGCAATATAGGACCTTTAAGTCTTTTGAAATGATTTATTTTAAGTGAAGATTAACTCAAATGTTTTGTTTTAGATTAGGAAAACATCATTGTAATTTAGTTGACTAAATTAGAAAACACTTTTTGTATTTTGACTTTGAGAGTTAGTGGGGAGGAGGGATGGGGTCTGGGGTAGGTATCCACACTTCAAACTCGAGCTCTGCAGCCTGGCGTTTCAGAAAGCCACTATTGCACTAGATCAGGGCAGTCTTGTGTGATGTCACATAGTACTTGAAATCGCAGAGGCCTCCAGAGGCAGCACAAATTTAGCTTTTGTCACTTTTAGACTTAATCGTATTGTGAGGAGTAACCAAAACTTGCTCAATGATTTTGAAAACTACTCCAAGAAGTACCATTTTATTACTCAAGATACTCAGTAAATGTATCGGAGTACTTCCAACTCTGATTTCTAAAGAGTATAGTCATCATATGTATACAGTGCTTATATAGAGCCACTGTAAGAGTATTTTGTATGACCATAAAATGTTGACATGTAAAAAAATATTAAAATAAAAACTTAACATAAATGAACAAAGAACAGAAATGTATTATATTTTGGATTTTTCATATTTTAGAATGAACTAATGAGAAGACATTACACAATCTTTTTTACAATAACAATAACATAGTGTCATGATGTCTTACGTTAAGTGTTATAACAAAATCTACATTAATGATTGATTAGTGAAAAACTAAAATTAAAATGGAAGACATGCTGCTCCATCTGTGAAGAACACCACGCACCCACAATTTCAAAATTAGAAAATATAAAATTAATAAAAAATCAGATACAATCAATGGTCAGAAAATTACAGCTTGTGATACGATGATGTGATGAAATATTTATGCTGATTTTAAAATGATTGCCCCTTTCCAAGCCACAATTTGACTTGCAAATCGGTGGGCGTTTGCAACCGTGATCCACCGCAAACAAGAAAATGGGAAAATGATGGTCTATTTTTGCCCAGCGGAATTAAGCGCAGCCACTGTAATCAAACTAAGATGCTAATTAGCTCGCTAGGCTAACACTCGGAGCCGCGCGTCCTTGCTAAAGAGGGCAGGACGGTCAGACGCTCCGCTAGCCTCATCAGTGGTGTTACTGCGGGGATTAGAAGCATGCATGATTGTCAGCTATTATGAAAAATTAAGAGTTTTATCAGCGCCGATGCTTACCGATCCAGGCTGAGGGGGAAAGGGAGGACACAAAACAAAAGTGGCATTAGCATAAAGACAAAAACGTGGTCAGGTATAGCTGCTAGGACGTCTACGGAATCATCTCTGCTTTTGTTAGACGAGCTGAGAAATGGGGAGTTTGTAAGAAAAGATTTGGAAAGAATTTACTTTTCAAAATAAATATGAACTACTTTTTCAAAATGGCTCTTTGCTCCCAACCAAAGACTGTGTTATAGGACGCACTCACACTAGGACTTTAGAACCCTGCCATGCCTAAGCGGGATTGCGTTGGGTTCTATATTTCGCACGAACCGAGCCACGGTAGGCCTGTAACGATAACAGATTTTGCTGGACGATTAATTGACCCAGAATTCATTGCGCTAAACGATAATATTGACATTTTGAGACCAATTTCAACTAATATAAAGACATTGGAATAAAAATGCAAATACACGCTTTCAAAGATCAATAAACCTTACTTTCTAAAAAAACATTTAACACAGGAACTGCAAAACAAACAAAAACAACAGACCTAAATAAAACAGACTTGTTAACATAGGACTAGCCTAATGTAGTCTGGCTCACAGCGAGGACTTGCTCACAAAAATGCACTTGAATAAACCATTGCTAAACCAAACACAACCAAAAAAATCAATAAAATTGATTTCTAAGTTTCTGTAACAAAATTGCCCTCAAAAGTTATTTTAGTCACTGATTTAAATTGGAATATTGTGTCTCGTCTCTCTGTGGCTGCTGCTGTGGCCTCGTCATTTTGGTCTTGAAGTGTTCGTATAAACCCGCTACACAGGATCCTGTTTCGCTATGTTTATTTATTGTTTTTAATTATGACTGACTGTCTTTTATTGTATTAATTTGTCTGTGCAGCACTTTATGCACACTTCATGTTTATAACGTGCTATATAAATAAAGGGGATTGGATTGAAATATCTATTAAATTATGAGGCAGATATGAGTCCTGCTGCAAGACGCGCTCCTCAGTGAGTTTGTGGAGATAATAAGAGCACGAAGGAGTGAGGACAGCCGGAGACGAGGTTGCAAAACGTTTGTCGCTGTCCACAGTTATTGGAGGTCAGGGCGGATTCACTGTGTTTTAGAGCGGAATTTATTCACTGTTTTTATCGTATGAGTGACATCAGTGCACCTGACAGGTCATGCGTATGAGCATATATGAGCACCTGTGCCGTGCTTTGGCCCACCTCCTCCAACCAAGCCAGTTCCAATCGCGATGTGCTGTGCCGTTCGATTGCGCTCACACTGGACAAACGTACCACGCTTTAGGGGCTATTCATGCTTGGGCACAGTTCTAAAGTCCTAGTCTGAGTGCACCCATAGACTGTGCAATTTCCCCTAAATTGTTGTTAAAAAGTTGTTAAAATTGTTGATTAAAAAAAAAATTATAAATTCAACTTTTGATTCTATTTTCAAATTCTTCCCCCTTCTCTAGAAATGCTCTGCAAACTTCAAATAAATGTCAAAACAAAATGATGTGTAATTGTTTCCAGTGAAGTTGCAGAGCAGTAAAAGGTAAGCTCCTTTTGGTTATAATGTTCATTTTTGTTGTGATCTGTAAATAGAAACGGCTTAAACACAGTACGAAAGTTAAAAGCTGCTGAATAATGTGATGTTACTTCTACATTGTATTCATGACATTTACTTTGACGTAGCTGATTTCAGAGCAGTCGAAGTGAACCTGTGACTCACAAAAACATTTCGAATATAAGAAAGTGGGGGAAAAAACATTTTCTTCCAAACAAATCGATTTGAACTTCTACGGTAATTCAGTTATCGATTTATCCGATTTTTTGCCCAGCCGTAGTTATAATGTAGTCTCTCATCCTTTGCACAAACACGGCATTATTCATTTACTCTTAATTTATTAATCTGACACTGGTATTGGATATGGGCGTTGATACTGAAAAATTTGCTTCCAGATATGAATTCAGTCCATATCCTGGCTGGACATATGGACTGACGTAATAAGAGTATTTACTGGTACTCGACCCAGAAACAATATTTGAACTTTAACTTTTACAAACCGGTTCTGTGCTTACTTTAGATATAAGTAACAGCTACACCTTTGGAGCAGTTTTGTCTTAGCGTTACGGTTAGGATTGCTGTTTTCAGTCTTTGCACTGGTATCGGCTGATATCGGGTATCAGCAGATACTTAAAGCCATAGCATCAAAATCAGTATCAGAACTGTAAAAGCTGGATCGGTGCATCCCAATCATTTACATACTTGTTAGTGTATGTAATGATTCTGGGGATGTTTTTATATCGGTGCTAATATCGGCTACAGTGATATTGGAGGGTTTTCAGTATCAGTCCAATATCGAACATGTCGCTAATATTTGGCATCATGATATTTTTTCAAAGCAAAATCATGTTGATTTAAGCTGGATAGAAGAACAATGAAGGTCCAAATGTGTTTGCAAGTTTACACAATCATACAACAAATCCTTTTATATACCACATAAATACATGTTGAAACTCTTGAGTGGTGAACTTAAAGGTACAGTGTGTAACTTTCTGAAGGTGGCACATCACCTGCATGATTCCATGGAAATAGAAAATTAAAACCATACTTCGAAACATCTCCATGGAGGTAGATACGTTTTATGCGATATTGTGGAATATTATAGTCAGAGGGACAATGTTTCCATGGAAACAAACAGACAAAGGCCCTCCCCCAGACCAAATAAGAGTCAGGTTTGTGGAGATGCAAGCCCAACCACATTGAGGACACATGTTTTACAATGTTTTTCAGTGCATCTATCATGAATAAACATGCTTTAATTTTAGACATTTTTTTTGACAAAAATGTTACATCCTGGGGCTTTAACTACAACTAAAACCACTTGTTGAAGTTGCCTTGAGTTTTATAATGAATATGTCTTGATATGTATTAATAATCTTGATTTTGAAACAGTTATGTGTACTTTCTGTTTCACACACTTCAACTTTTGGATTGAAGTCAAATAGTAAGAACTGATTAACCATGGGAGTAATCTTGATGACGTGTGGAGTTCCTGGTCCGCCTGGCAGCTAAAACCTTTTACCACCACAAAGAATAGGCCTAGAGTGATTGAATAATGCACTGTAAAATGACTAAATGTATTTTGAAAGACCCTAAACTGAACCAGGGTTAAACCAGGACTGAAATAATAGACTTAATCTTGTGGTGATGTCATTTATTTGCATTAGTCTTATCGTAAGTGTTGTGTAATTTAGACTAATTCTGGCCCTTAACAATATGGTTGCTGGGGAACAGTTATGAAATTACCTCTGTTTATGTCACATCTCCAACTAAATTATAAACACTTGACTTGTTGAACCTGTTGTAGTTCCAGCTAAGTCAGTTTTTTAAGGTCAGATTTGCCACGTTTACATGAGAGCTTTAATTCCGATTAAGAGTAATTTAATTCTGAATAAAAATTAATTCTGCCATGTAAACACTTAATTCCTAATGAAAAATATTACTCAGAATTAAACTTAATTCCAAAGTAAGTGGGTGGTTTGATCAAATTTTCATTTATTCCTGGATCATGTAAACGTTTATTCATCTTAAAAATAATTCTAGTCGTTCAGCGCATGTTCGTTGGATCGCCCTTCTGACGCGACGATACGGACGATCCGGCTCCACCAGTCCTGGCTTCGGACTTTCATCCACGTCTCTTTGGATTTGTGAGTGGGATGTGGGAGTGGGCTGAGGTAGAGCAGCCTCACACTCAGTTTGTCTTCTTCCTCCTTCTCTGACACACCTCCCTTCTCCTCCTCAGCTGACAGACATAAAGCCTGATGAGAGAATTCTCCAGCTGCTGCAAAATTATCATCGGAAAAAAAGTTTTGACCGTGTTTGTGTCCGTGGCGTAACGACAAACCGAGATGACAAAAAGGCCAGTAGCAGCTGAAGTGTGTGTTTTCTTCCGATCGACGTAAATACGTTGGTGTCTCTGTCCAATCAGAACCTTCCGCACCCCCAGACACTGAGAGGAATTAAATAAAGGTGATTTAACGTGTTTTCCATGTAAACCTCAATTCGGAATTATTATTTCCATGTAAACTCAAAAGAGAATATTTTAACAACAGAACAATTCATTCAGAATAAAAAAAAAAAACATAATGTAAACGTGGCAAACACTGTGGTAAAAATAAAGCTCAGATTAAAGTCTAACTTGAGTAACAAAGTTTCAGACAGAGTAGTGCTTCCAGTTAGCTTCACACCCAAAGGGAATGTCCATGGCATCAGCTGCAAAGTATGAAAAGCATGGTACTGGTGGGACTAGTGCGTCGTGTGTGATTCCCGTCCAAACTGGAGCTGACCTTACCTGCTTCTTCCTGTACTCGAGTAGCTGAGAGAGGCCGAAGGCTGTGACCACTGCCCCTCCTCCGAGCAGGGCCGTACGCCTGAGGGCCCTCCTGAAGGCCATGCTCCTGAGGGGACACCAGACACGGGTTAGGCTCACACCTGCTCCACTCACTCACACACACGTACAGCTAAGGCTAAGCTAAGAGCTAATGGTCACCACAAGAAGGTCACTGGAACTGGAAATTCTATTATTATTTTTTTTATTGGGAGTTTTTATGACACGTCAAAATATATGAAAACCAATTCTTCAATCAAGAAATACTTACTGTTTTAAAGTAATAATATGGAACTTTCTGGAGGTGAAAAGTCAACTGAATGATTTAAAGGAAATAAAAAGTTAAACGAGCCAAATACGAGACAGGCTTGTGGAGATGCAAGCCCCACACATTGAGGACACATGTTTTTTCAGTACTAAAAACATCCATAATGAAAATACATGCTTATAATTTAATCTATTTTTGGTGAAAAAAGTTGCATAGCTTGATTAATCAGCCGGTTTCACATAGAAACTGTGACCTAGTAGCATTAGGCTTCATTCACTTAACATTAGGAGGATACTTTCTTTCATTTAAACAATCACTGCTGTTTGGTTGTGATGGGGCTAACTGGTATACTAAGCTTTTTCCAAATTAAGGACAATAACGTCTTTCCCCTTGATAAAATTCACTAAACATTCTCTTTGTTCCGGCTTTAAATCCTCGATCTCGGGAATCGTTCACAACACAGAATATATAACTCTTCGCTGATTGTCTGGTGCCCGAACTCGCACTTCCGGGATTTTTGCGAACCGCCTAGTGTATTCTGATTCCTCAACTAGTCGCTGGAGACAAATGAAATTGAACTGAGGAACTAGGTGGCATCCTCTGGAACTCAACAGGCCACTGAAACTGTTCTGTACTTTACATTATTACAACAACAACAGGACTGTAATAAAATGATAACTAGTGATGATGAACTGTGTTTCCCAAGTATCACAGTGAAAATATGAACTGACCTAACGTGTCATTTACAGTCTGACGTATAACAAGTAGAAATTGTGAGAGTCTCTATGTAATCAGCATGTATGTTCTGCTTTCAGTTGCCATGATATGTCCATCTTACAGAACGTTCAATTAAATAAATATATCACATAATCTGCAGGTTTTCATTGTAAGCACTTGTCACTGATTCCAAAAAAATCATGGATCAGTCAAATGAAGTGAAATTTCCATTGCTTGACTCATTTGTACTAAAGACAATACCGGGGATGGGACAAGATTTCATGCCTCTAGATCTCACAAGGTCAAAACGCCTCTAGAGCAACGTCCCTTCTGCAGAACTCTCTTGGTACATTTTCCATTTTGATTTGCAGTTTGGTGCAGCACTGCAGCAGACAAAGTTTCTTCTTGGGGACAATAAACGTCTCTTATATAAAGAGGTGCTGCTCTGATCAGGATTTTAGAGGCCGATCACTGATACGTTCATCAGAAATCACAGCTATTACTGATCACATGGACTCTGATATAGTCATGCAAACTATTTTATTGTTTGAGGGAAAAATTATATAGGCTCAGTGGAGTTTTGTTGACATTTGAGGTAATATTTAGTTTCCCACATGGCTGATCACGTTATTATTGCCTTGACTGGCTGATTGATTGGTGCGTTAGAGTCCAATATAAGTACAATAATCACAAAAACAACTGGCTGGATATTGTACTCAATAAACAATGCACAATAAAAATATATGATGTGACATAAGTGCACAAACATTTGTGAACTAAATATTTCTATGGATTAATTTATGTCAACATCTTTTTATTCTAGAGGATCCAATATCGCACCTTGTATAGTCTCATGGGTCATTTATTAATAAGCTCTGACAATAGGTTAATAATCCACCAGCAGGTATTACCATTAAAGTGTAATTAGTACTTTGTGGACGTTTACAGCTGTGTAGTCACACCTAGTGGAGCAGAAGAGGATTTCCCTTGTCGTAACACGTCCAGTGAATACAGTGAAATAAACAGAGGCCAGAGTCTCGCTGAGGGAGTCCCAAAATGGACCACACTGACAGCACCAAGATCGACTTCACCAGAGGAGGGTAGTACTCTGTTACATTTACTCTGTTACATTCACTCAGTAACTTTTTAAACAAATGACACTCTTCAGAATACTTTACTAGCAGAATAGTGATAGGTCTCTTTGCAGAAAGAACAAAAATGTGGCTGTTTGCTACAGGTGTTCCAATCAGTAGGAGCAAGTAGAGGGTGCTCTTGGAAAAAAAGGATCAAAACTCAAACACAACGGACTCCAGGCACTCCAAAACAGTAGAAAAAGTTAACACATCGCACGAGGAAAAATGTAGTTAAAAGGCCTTTATTTGAATGGCCAAAGCCAACATGTTTCGACCTTAACTGGTCTTCATCAGGGCTTAATCGAATTATCGAATAATCGAATCATTTAAGCCCTGATGAAGACCAGTTAAGGTCGAAACATGTTGCCTTTGGCCATTCAAATAAAGGCCTTTTAATTATAGTTTTCCTCGTGCGATGTGTTAACTTTTTCTACTGTTTTGGAGTGCCTGGAGTCCGTTGTGTTTGAGTGATAGTACTCTTACTTGAGTCATATTTTTATTTAAAAAAAAATACTGGAGTAAAGTTTCGATTACTCTTCCCACTATGAATAAATCTGCTGGAGACAAATGTCCCAACAGCTACTCCTTAAGTTACTCTCACTTGAGTAGTAGTTTTCCCATATACTTTTTTTTTTTCTCTTGAGGACCACTACTTTGTACTTTGAAGTAACTTGAATACACTTTTTGGCTACTCTACTACCTCTAGTAGCGAATAGAATAAAACACAACACATTTCACTTTGTAGATTTACACAAAGTAATGTCAGACTCAATATAAAAAAAATAAATAAATAAATAAACCCTCAGTAAAGTACAAGTAGAGGTGGTAGAGTAGCCAAAGATTGTACTTAAGTATGAGTAACAATACTTCACACAAAATACACAAAATAGTGTTCCAAGAAATTACGAAATTAAGTTAGTAAGAGGAACTTAAAGAGAAATATTGGAATTATAAGTTGAAGTGAATGTAAACGATAAATAACTTACAAAATCTGGTATTTTCAAAGACACAAAAAATGAGACAAAATGAATCAGATCTAAAGGAGCGGAGAAAGAAACACAAATGTTCAAATCATTTCATATTTATCACTAAACTTTCTCACAGTGGGAAGAGGAACCACAACTTTTACTCAAGTAGGAGTACGGTTACGTTAATGAAAGTATCATCCAAGAAGGGGTAAAAGTATACTGCTAGAAGTACTCTAAAAGTACAATTTCTAAAGTAAATGCAAGTGAGTACTACCCACTTCTGTAAGTACTGTAAGTGAAATGACCAACCTGGAAAATATCTTGAAAAGTTTACTTCTGAAATCTGACTAATGATGAGAGGAGAGCCAGACTAAACATTCGGGGGCCCCTAAACTACTCCGGATGCCCACCCACACCACAACCCGCTGCTGTCACTGTGAGTCAGCACAAGACCTTATTACCATCACTCCTCACACGTGGTTACTTCTACTTCTACTACCACAGTCCATAAACGTGTACTTGTTTTTTTTTTTTTTTTTTTTTTTTTTTTCTGGTTTGCTCGAATAGAAATTACGCACAAATTTACCAAACTAAACTGTGTCAAGACTCGGAATCTCGAGATGGCATCCACACCCCTACACGTTAAAGCCCCTCTCTCTCACTGATCAACAACATAACGCGTGTCGTGTACGTGTAGGAGCAACCGAAAATACCTTCCCCAAAGTGTTTACAGTTGGGGCACGCAAAAATGCAAAGGAGTCAAGTGTTTCCAATGCGCCCTAACCTGAAGTGTCCTTCGCTATGAGATGTGGAGACACGGATGTTTGGAGAATGATCGTGTCTTTTACGTAAATCTTAACGAGTAATCGCAGACGTATTCTTACCGGGTTTGTGTTCGAGGGGTGAGAGGGATGCGGGGCGTAGGGGCATCTGGGGTTCTTCCTCACTTTGACAGTCAGAGCCAGGAGGACCGCGGCCAAAACCAGGAAACGGGGGAAACTCCGAGTGACGGGGCGAAGAGCCAATGGGATGGGAGTATGCCGGGGAGAGGAACCAATCGGATTCGCGGGAAGGCGTAGTAAGGCGGGGTCAAGGGTTGTTGGAGTAATCCGCAGAGCGAGGGGGGATTGTCCCGCCCCCACCCACTGCAAAAAAAATAAAAATAAAAATAAAAATAAATCACCCCGCTGCTGTCAATCACGTCCACTATAAATTAAAATTAAAATTAAAGTAAACAAAATATAAATACAAATACAAAATAAAAATCCAAAATAAAAATAAAAAACAATCTCTTTGTTGCTGTCAATCACATCCACTGTAAATTAAAATTAAAATTAAAGTAAAATAAACAAAATACAAATACAAATACAAAATAAAAATACAAAATAAAAATAAAAAAAATCTCTTTGTTGCTGTCAATCACATCCACTGTAAATTAAAATTAAAATTAAAGTAAACAAAATACAAATACAAAAAAAAAATAAAAATAAAAATAATCAAAATCAATCAATCACTGAAACTGTAAAAATCACAAAATTAAAAATAAAATAAAATAAAATAAAATCAAAATAAACAAAAAAAATAAATAAAAATAATCAAACTGCTGTCAATCACAACACAAAAATAAAATTAAATAAATAATAATAAAATAATCAACTGCTGTCAATCACATCCACTGTAAATTCAAAACAAATAAAAAAATAAAAAAATAAAATAAAATAAATAATAATAAAAAATAAAAATAAAAATGTCAATCACATCCACTGTAAATTAAAATTAAATTAAACTAAATAAAAATACAAAATAAAAATAATCACCCCACTGCTGTCAATCACATCCACTGTAAATTCAAATTCAAATTCAAATTAAACACTGCTACTGTCAATCAAGTCTGTTAAGAAGTTGTTTGCGAAGTAGCAAAGTGGCAAAAAGTACTTAAGTACAAATATTAGGTATCTGTATTTGCAGAGGTGGGTAGTACTCCTTTATATTCCTACTCATATACATTTATTTGAGTAATTTTTTTAAGAAATTGTACTTTTCAGAGTATGTCCCACTTTTCTAGCAACATACTTTTACTCCTCTGTCAGATATGATTTAATTTCCAGTCACATTTTGTGCATTATTTCATGTTCACATTATTTCAATTATTCAGATAAGTTCAAATATAAATGACCTGTCAGTTACTCTTTAAGTTACTCTTTCTTGACTAAGAGTTTTCTCAAATACTTTTTCACTCTTCTTGTCATTGTCATTTCTTGGACCACTACTTTGCACTTGTAATTGAGAAATTGTATTTTAAAGTAACGCTACTATTACTTGAGTACAGTTTTTGGCTACTCTACCAGCTCTGGGTTGTTGTTCAGGAGCCCAGTGAACAGAGGAAGCCTTTCACAGACTTTTGTAACCCCCTGGTATTATTAGCCCAGTTGTTGCAGTAAATAGATTCCTTGCCATTCTAAACACGTGTGCATGTGCTGTCCCAACTGTTCGTTATAATGAACATAGCATGACACTTTTAGTCAACTGTCCTTTATGTTTGACTGGCCAGAAGTTAAAGGGCCCATATTTCACAGTTTTCTGATCTGTGTTATAATGTTGTTACCTCCTCAAAAACATACCTGGAGTTGTTTAAATAAATAGGGCACCAGCGGGAGGTCGGTCCTTGAAGTCCTCAGAGTGTGAGATGGTTCAAATGGCACTAACATGTCACAGAGAGACATGAATCATGTACTAGTACTTGCATAACTGAGCATCTTGCTGTTACATATTCTCGTATGTGTCAGAGTACCATGGGCTCATATTTTGTTGTTTTCTGATATGTTTTAATGTTCTTTTCTGATCAAAAACATACTTGGAGATTTTCAAAATAAGAAATTGGGACACCCCCAGTCTGGAGTGTTTGGTAATAATAAAATTGTGAAACGAGTGTGTAATTGAGGAGAATTGTGCACTCGGGCCATTCATGTCACATTTTCTTTGTGTTTTGGTCATTTTTAAGCAGCTTTTCTGTATTTTACCTAAACAAATGACAATTTATGCGTCTCTTTACTATTGGCAGTCCAAATCACAGGGTTTAAAAGTTCACATCTTGTGGAACGACTTCAGCAGTGTGAAACCCTCATGAGAGGTGACTGGATTTCAAACAGGCTTTGATTTTCTTGCGATCTACAATTACCGATCAGGAGCAGGACGTGAGGTATTAATGTTTACTACACGAAGCACAACACACGATGAAGCCAAAAGTCAGCCTGATGATCCCAAAACCAGTTGCACAAGTGAAAAATCGGCAACCTGGAGTTGTGTTTTATTTCATTCACACGTTTGATACACAAACCCTGCATATTTAGGCTCAGTTCTTCTCTCAAACAGAAAACACTCTGTTCCACCTTGTGATGTCATGTGGTAATACAGGAATTACTCCACTGTGTTTTTAAATGGCAGACACCTTCACTAGAATCATTTGGATGATTTCAGCCCTGAAATCTCTACTGAACTAAAGATGAAAGGTAGCTGCTGACCTGAAACCAACACTAAATGACATCACAAGGTGGAACAAGGAACAGAGCATTTTGAGCTTTGGCAATGCATTAATAAAGAGTTACTCAAACGTGGGAAAAAACAAAACAAAAACAAAAACACACAACTCCAGGTTTATTTTTGAGGAGGTAACAACAATCTAACATGTCTTAAAACTCACAGAAGTCAATTTTTCATAATATGGGACCTTTAAAAACTGTATCTGATATATGGATCACTAACTAACAACAAAGTTCACATTTGGGCTACATATAGGTCACAGTTTGCATAACTTATTTGATAATGAGCTGCAGGTCTCTTAGAATACCATAAATAATGTTTTAAGGCAGTCACAACTCAGGAAACATCAGTGATATCAGTTGCAGTCCCCAAGAAATACTCTTTTTTTTCACATGAAACACTTAAAAAATTAAACTTTGCCACAGCAGTCATCATGTTCAAGTTCAGAATGCACATGTGTCTTTGGCTCACAGTTCTATTATTAGACACACAAGCTCAGGACAACAGTCAGCGGTCTACACTAATACAACACAGAACATGATATAACATTAAAGTGTGTGTAGATAAAGTGACAAGTACACACTCCACATTAATAATAAATTACGCTATAATAATAATAATAAAAATACTCTATAATGTGTGCCGGCAAGGTCAAAAAATGCAAGACAGTCTGGATTTGTTAGGCAAAACAACAGCTGTTGGAGCAAAGGAGAATGTAAATGGTTCTGGTTGTGGTGCTGATAACGCCCCCTGAAGGCAGCAGCTCATATTGCAGCGTCATGTTCACTGTGCAGTAGTGTGAACGATCTTTGACTCAACTGTCTCCATGTGCTGGGACTAAAGCTTGAGTCATTCTGTTAGGAGGAATTCTTTGTATTTATTAAAATTTTTCATATTAAAGTATTCATAAAACACATTGAAACAAAAACAAACACACACAAACATAAAAAATAACAACATTAATCGCACACAGAAACTGATCACTGATGATAATGAGGTGCAAACTTGTAAATATTCATTTAACATCCAATATTGTACAAGTCACTATAAAAACATTACTTATTTTTCAAAAAGTCTACTAAGGGTCTCCAGATGTCCTCAAAGCTTTTCCTCTCAAAATAAATGTAAGTCTTTCCAATGCAGTGCAAGACGGAAAAAGATCATCTAAACTTTTATAGGAGGCGAGTCCACATTTTTCCAAAATAAGGCGATAGTTCTACTGGTCTGCAGGAGACCAAGATCCACCAGTGTGGCTTGTTTTTTATTAATAACAAAATCTTTGGGATACAAACCCAAAATACACAGCGTCGCCCAATGTGGAAACTCTACACCAGCTCTAGAGGATATGGTATGAATCACAGATTTCTAGTAGCTCTGAACTTTCCAGCAATCCCATAAACAATGGAAACAAAGTGCTCTTATCATTTGCACATTTATTACAAATACTGTATCTGGAATGTCAAGAGCCCATTGATGTCATTAACCATTTATACTGTAACAACTGCACTGTAGTATTATGGTTTGTTTTAGGGGTTTAAGATGAGCTTTTCCCCAATCAGCAGCTTCAGTTTTCTCTTGAGTGTCTATAGTCCATGCTTCCAACCTGTCCTTTATCACGTGACATTAAAGTTTCATAAAATAGCGACATTGTTAGGAATTTCTGGTCGGACCCAAATATGCAGAAAGAAAAAAGGTATTTCATTAACAAAAATAATCTTGGAGGGGCGATAGGTCCAGGGGAGACAGGACAGGTCCAGATTGGCTGCAAATGGGAGGTACGTGATGATGGAGGTTGACCAGAGGCTTACGGAAACAGGTGGCAACGGGATGAGGCTGGGGGGGGGAGGGGTGCTGGTGATAGGACGAAAAGAAACTGGTAAGTATCAAAAAATCTTCAGAATTCTCAAAAAACAAACAAAAAGCCTGAGTAGTTCACCACAGAATGACGGAATGATCTGGCACTGGAGAGCAGGTCTTTTATGGCAGGAGATAATTGCTTGATGAGGATCGGGAGCTCAGCAGGTGTAATTGGGGACCCGCCTAGGAAACGCCAAACAAGGTAAAGAGAGAAGGGAAGAGGAAGCAGGGAAAGGAGGGGTAGGAGGAGCAGGATGAAACCCTCATGACATCTGCTTCCTTCTATTTAAACTTGAGGAGACACTATCCTCTATACTAGATGAAGGAGGTTCACAGAAAATATTTTTAAGCTTTGATGACATAAAGTGTAGGAACTTAAAATTTTTTTTCAAAATGTTACAAAATTTCAGACAACTTTGATTAAACATCAGTGCTTCACCATTAACATATTGCTGATATTAATTTTACCCCTCTGAGCCCATATTTTAAAACCCTCATCTGCCCTCCCTGGTTTGAAGGCTGCATTACTCTATATGGGAGAAAAACATGAGAGTAAAGGAGGAATTCTTATAGTACATATTTTAGACAAAAAATTGTGTTTATTGGTCTGAAAATATTAGAAAAAACATGAGTCCTTACTGGGAATTGGAATGTTATTCCTTTGGCTGTAATCTTCCACAGTATGACTCAAAACTTGTCTATCTCCATGGAGAATGTTTAGAAGTATAAAGAAAAGAAAGTTACAGGCTGTATGTCAGAAATGAACTGAACAGCTGAATAGTTTTAGAATGATGTTGATCTGTATCAGAACAAGTAGAAGAGCACATATACTAGTATACACACATGGACACTATGAACTTACCTGGACCACAGAGGATAACACACATGCTACTGTTTGGCTCACCTTATCACACGAGAGCGGACTGCCTCTCCAGGACTGCCTATTCCAGCTCCTCCTCTCTGCCGTCACTGTGCGTAAAGCTCTTTGGCACAGGAGCGCACCGTGGTGGACACTATCAGCACACTGTTTACAGCGGGACACACGCACAGGTGCACGGGCTTTCTCCTGCTCCACGGATCTGCTCCACACGGACTCTCAGGTATGACACGTTTAATACATAATTAATGTATATTCAGAGGTCTGTTGTGCTATGAGCCCAAGACCACAATGAAGTGTGAGTCTAGTCCTTATGAGTCTATTTTTATTGATTGATTCGCGTACTTTGTGTATTGTTTTAGGGAGTAATTTACAGTTTTACTTACTTTACTAACAATTGAATACCACTGTCTTCTCTGTTTCTTTGTTTAGTCTACATTTAATCCGTTCCTATTTTATTTATTGTTTTGCTGCTTCACTTAAAGCAAGAGGGAGAACGCGCGCGCAGAGCGCATTAAAAGACGTGGAACAAAAGGAGATGAAAGTGTGCAGTCGTGTTGGGCTCAAAATGCTGCCAGTGTAACAGCCTCTAGATGGGAGGAAGTCAAAAACACAAATAGCACTAATATAAAGGACTGGGTGTTTGTTTCTTCACGATCATCTCAGACTCGTTGTTGGTCTGTTTTGTTGCAGATGCGATAGAAAAGTTGAAGTTTGGGTAGAGGAGGATCTGGCGACAGTCTGGGCAGCCATGCCGTGCCTGCGCACGCACCTCTCCTCCAGTGGCGCGCTGGGGGACTCCAGGTGTCCAGACTTTCTCACTCCGGAGTTTGTTAAGTTCAGTATGGACCTGACCAACAGTGAGCTGCTGTCTGCGGCCCCAGCGCTCAGCGGCTCCCCGGGGCCCGCGTCACCGCTGCGCTGTATGTTCCACATGCACATCCCGGCCGAGGAGCCGTGCGTAAAGGCCGAGGAGACAGACATGTCCCCAGCGGAGGAGCTGCTGTCCTCCTGTTGTCCCCCGTGTCCACGCGCAGTGCTTAGCACCTCCGAGAGCGTCCCGTGGGAGGACACGGGCTGCCAGTGCCTTCAGTCAGACCTCAACAGGACGCACAGTCTCCCCAGACTCTCGCTGTGGTCCGTCCAACAGCACAGCGGCCAGAGACCGGCTCCGTGCCACCCTCCCCCGGAGCCAAAGCTGCGCGTGACAGTGGGCTTTCCTCACGCGCTTCGTGGAGACGCCCTGTGCGCGGTGTGCGGAGACAGCGCGGCGTGCCAGCACTACGGCGTGCGCACGTGCGAGGGCTGCAAGGGCTTCTTCAAGGTTTGTCCCTCACAGGTTTGTCCCTCACATGTCTGAAAGTGTCTTGGAACAGGCATGCGTCATGCGTCCTGATCCATTTGGGCTTCACTACCATTTATTTTCGTCCACCTGGTGCCAGTGCGCCAGGGGACCACCCTGGTGGATTTGGCACAGGCTGAGATGATAGAGCCTGTGCGCCCTCCTCATGATGAACACGGCTGTCTGTTGTGTGCAGCGCACGGTGCAGAAGAATGCCAAGTACGTGTGTCTGGCGTCCCGGAGCTGCCCCGTGGACAAACGCCGGCGCAACCGCTGCCAGTACTGCCGCTTCCAGAAGTGCCTGGACGTGGGCATGGTCAAGGACGGTGAGCGCACGCCCTCTGCTGGTGACGTACATAAATACTCCAAAGATTGTCACAAGTTTATTTGTTTGTTTATTTAGAACTTTATCTCTCTACGACTGAATGTTCTAGTCTAATCATAAATGATCAAAATAGACTGGAGACAATCTACTATTGTAATAAATAGGATGATATGGAATAGAATAGAATAAGATGAATTGCAAATTACGACATATTTAAATACATTTTTTTTCTTGCAAAATGTATAAAAACACAAGTTTCCAAAATGCTGCTGTAATTGACATGTAAAAGATTCTCTATTCAGTCGCCCTGATGTTATTATTAACAAAAACATATAATTATCAAATCAGAAAGAACTAAGTTTTCCCATGTCTCCTAAAACTGCTACTTAAATAAGAGTAAAGGGGTTGTTGGTGTAACATGCAATTTATAAAGTAATTTTTCTATGTTAATGCAATAATAACTGTAAAGACAAAACATAAAGTTATTTTGTTTTGTTTTTGTGGTACAAGAAACAAAAATGGTTCACATCATTTGTCACTAATAGATTTACCCACGGACTTACTGACACTGTACAAGATATTACTCAAGTAGGAGGAAAAGTATGGTGTCTGAAAACCTCTCTATGTACAATTTTATTAAAAAGTTACAATATAAATCAATATTTAGTTGTTACATACATATTACAGAAGTCTCTATATCTTACACATATACATCACATATTTAATGTCTTTTGTGTGTGTAACATTGAGAGGATGTATCCAAACTTTTGCCTGGTAGCGTATGATAATTATTTACTACACACACTCACCACCAAATAGAGAACATGTCACACACTTGAACTTTAGAGCTCTAACGTTTGATTCGACTGTCTCCATGGTAACCCGGTGCTTGTGTGCAGTGGTCCGGAGAGACGGGCTGAAGGGCCGGAGGGGACGTCTTCCCTCCAAACACGTTCCGGTCCAGGCCTCCAGCTCCCTGCTCCGCTCCCTGATCCAAGCCCACCAGGAGACCAGCGCCCAGGCCAGCAGCTCCAACGCTCCACAGGTACGGCCAGACCAAAGACGAGGAGGTGACACGTTCAAACAGGTTTAAGTGGAAATGTAGATGAATTAGAATTTATTTATTTGGAGGATAAGCCCCTTGAGATTTCTTGCCATCTCATTTTCGACGGGGTCCTCACAACAATGAAAGACAGATACAGTAGAGCAGACAATAGGATAAATAAATATGAAAAAAAAAATCAACACAACCACACACACACACGCTCACTCTTGACTGTTTGACATATAATAAAACAAGTTTGAGGGAAAAAAAACAAAAAGCAAAAAAAACAAAACAGAGTCCAAAAATAATCACAACAAAAATTCAACAAAATGATCAAAAACAATGACATGGGTTCTGTAAATATTGAACAAGAGCATTTTTATACGAAGGGACAGAATCCACGAATCGCTGAGGGAAGATTATTTCAATCAAAAGCTTTATATTTAAATGAGTTTTCCTGTTTTTGACTCTTGGGACGACAAAAAATATCTCATCTGCGTGACGTAAACTGTAAGAGGGTCTGAATGGAATTAAATACTGTTTAAGAGCTTCATGAGAACTGAGATTAATACATTTAAAGATAAATAATAACAGTGAAGTTGATGTCAGGAGAACAGAGTGAGCAGGACAGTTGGTGATACATCGTACAGTGGTGAGTTCTGAAGGGACAACGGAGAATGAATCTGCACAGACTGTTCTAGAAAACGTTGAGTGGTGGGAGGACAGAAGTTGTAGTATACTGATAAATAATCACAGTAATCTAAAAGGGGAAGAATTAGTTGTGAGATAATCTTTTTCCTAACAGAAAAGCTAAAACAATTGATGGGCTGATCCATGAGAGTGAATGAGAGTGACGGGTCAAGCAGTTATTATTATTATTGGTCATTATTAGCAGTTAATACCTTTTAGAAGTGTAAAATGTATTTGTCTTCATCGTCATACTCCTCTGCTCCCTGACAGTGTGACGAGAGTGTCCCAGAGGCAGCGGATGACTCGGCTCACGTGCGGCTCTTCTACGGCCTCCTGACCCGCTCCATGGACGTCCTGCACAGATGGGCCCTGAAGATCCCAGGCTTTTCCTCTTTTCCCAAACAGGACCAAGACCTCCTGTTTTACTCCGCCTTCCTGGAGCTGTTTGTGCTGCACTTGGCCTACAGGTATGAGACGAAACAGAGATCCTGTCAGTCACCAATCCATGTATTTTACTACACACATGCAACAGTGAGAACACGAGATTAAGACATTGTTAAAGAACCGTATTATGCTATTTTCTGGTCTATATTGTAATTTTGTTTCTTCATCACAAACATGTTTAACACACAAACCAAACAACAAAACATATTTAGTATTCCACTGTGTTTTTAACTCCATACACCTCCACTAGAATCATTTGGATGATTTCAGTCCTGGAATATCCAATCTCTACTGAACAAATGGTAAGGTACCTGTTAACTTCATAAGTAAGTCAGTCTTTATTTATATAGCGCTTTTCACAGACATTTTTGTCACAAAAACACTTTACAGATCATTATTCAGTATTATTCATTCACTTCTATACCTGCTGATGGTAAGATACTGTTGTAGCCACAGGTGCCCTGGGGCAGACTGACAGAAGTGCGGCTGCCATGCCAATTGGTGCCATCGGTCCCTCTGACCACCACCATCACTCACACACCACTTTCATACTAGGCGATGTGGGTGAAGTGTCTTGCCTAAGGACACAACGACAGTTATTCCCACTGGCACCCCCTGTGGCACCTGATTTTCCCAGTGTCTCGCATCCAAGTACTAACCAGGCCCGGCCTTTCTTAGCTTCTGAGATCTAACGGGATCAGGCTTTTACAAGCCGGTATGGCTTGTAAAAGTTCATGACATCACAAGTTTCGCAACCTGAGAAACGTTTCTCCCAAAATATTCCATCTTTTCAGGTCCTCAAACTGTTGCTTATAAGTTGAAAACATGCTCACCTTGCTCATCTTTTTCCTGGTTAGGTCGAGTCCAGAGGAGGGCCGGCTCTTCTTCTGCGACGGCTCCGTGCTGTCGGTGTCTCAGTGTGAGCGAGGCTTCGGTCTGTGGATCCACGCTCTGCTGGAGTTTTCCTTCAGCCTGCGCGCCATGGAGCTGGACACGCCCACCTTCTGCTGCCTCTGCGCCCTCGCCCTGCTCACCGGTGACACAAACCTTTACCACCAACAGTGTCCAGAGCTATTCATACTTTGCAGCCGGTGTTATGAACGTTTGTGATGCTAACTGGAGGCACTGGTCTGTCTGAGCATCTGTTAGGTCGTAGTTTTTGTTGAAACTCATTGATCACAGGCTTTCCACCGTATTTCTTCTTGAGTTTTAAGATTTATATGTATTGTATTGTGTCACCATAGTAACTGCTGTACATTCTGCCATAGACATTCATGCAGACCAACCACACCCACCCCTTTCCCACATGATGTCAATGCAGAGTATCAATAGGCCCTTTAAAATTCTCTGTGACAATGCAAAAACTAAAATCTAGCCCAGTTAAGATGACCTGAATTAAGAAAGTTTTATCAGGATTTGAGTCAATTTCACTTGACAAGTAAAATGATCTACCAGTGGAACAAGACTTTTTGTACTTAAAATAAGAAAATACATCTTGCCGCACTTAAGATAAGAAAAACAACAACTTTTTGCACTTAAAATAAATAAATAAAATTGAATGTTGCCTGAATTAAAAAAAAAAAAAAATCACACTTATTCCATTAGTAGATCATTTTACTTTTCAAGTTGAATCAACTCAATTAAAGTCAAATGTTTAAGTAATTTGAACTTATATAGATATTGTTTTTTGCAGTGCAGGAGAATGTGTAAAAGTCTGGAAAGGAGGCAACTAGAGGCAAAGTGAAACAGATCATAATATATTTTCAATAATTAACTGACATCAGATCTAAATGTTGATGATTTTAAAGGCTTTATACAAGAAAAGCTAGAATTTAGAATTTTCAGAAGGAAGGAATCTCTGTTTGCTTTTCTCTTTCTCTGGAAAACGTTCTATTTTCTAGCTTCATAATAATATATTTGTATACAAAATTAAAAACTACAAACAAATACTGTACTCTGATTGGCCCATGCATTAGGGATGTAATGATATCCAAATCTCTAGGTATGATAATATCATGATATGCATCTCTGTACAATATTTATTGTGATATAGAATTGTAAATGGGACACTTTTTTGCTTTTAAAATACTTTGACAAGATTTTGGTGTGAATTATTTTTGTCATAATCCCAAGAATTCAAGTAAAAAACATATTTCTTCATGTTTTCTGCACTGAAATGAATCATGGGATATGTAGTTCCTGATGTTTATAAGCTGTTGCTTCTATAAAATCTGCATTTAAGCAAAGGAACTTGTGATTCGATATATTGTGACAGCCCACGATATTATTGTGAGATTTTTATATCCCTAATTATAATACATTACAAAATACATTTTAATGCAGATATTCTGTATTCTGTTACTATATACAGTACATTTTCAGTATGTAAGTTTTCTTCCCATCACTGGTTGCGATCCCGTACTAAAATGACAATTGCGTACGGAATAAATAATAATAGATTTTCAGTGTGGTCCGTATAATTTCTAACCTGTCTGTCTTGTTTTGCGTGTGCAGAGAGAGGAGGCCTCAAGGAACCCCAGAAGCTGCAGCGTCTCCAGAGCCGCGTGCTCCAGTGTTTGAGGAGCACCGACCCTCGACTGGATGGAGGTCTGAGGAACGCTGACCTTCAGCTGGATGGGAGGTTTGAGGAGCGCAGACCCTTGTCTGGATGGAGGTCTGAGGAGAACAGACCCTCACCTGGACGGAGGTCTGAGGAGCAGTGAGAATTGGCTGGACGAAGGTTTAAGGAGCGCTGACCTTCGCCTGGATGGAAATCAGAGGAACACTGACCCTCACCTGGATGGAGGTCTGAGGAGCGCAGACCCTCACCTGGATGGAGGTCTGAGGAGCGCAGACCCTCACCTGGATGGAGGTCTGAGGAGCGCAGACCCTCACCTGGATGGAGGTCTGAGGAGCACTGCCCCTCGCCTGGATGGAGGTCTGAGCCTGCTCCTGGACGGGTTGCCCCAGCTCAGAGCTCTGTGCCTCCAGGGTCTACAGAGGATCTTCTACCTCAAGTTGGAGGACCTGGTGTCTCCACCTGCTGTTATAGACAAACTGTTCCTGGACACACTTCCCTTTTAGAGAAAAAACAACAACAATACAACAGGGATGGAAAATAAAATACAAACTCATGTTACTGTAATTGAGTATGTTTTTGGTATTTGTACTTTTTGGAATAGAGATTTAAACATGTACTAAACCTCTAATTGGTTTAATTATTTCATAGTAGGAATTAGATGCATTTAAAATAATAAAAGTTACAGAGTACAAGTGTCCAAATAGATCATTTCATAGATCAAGATCACTGGGCGAGTTCTGGTTGTTTCGTGATTGTTCCATTCATTCTAGATTCATATTTTCATCATTTTGTATCAGAAAAGCTGTTCAAATGCAAATACTCATTACACTGAAATGAAGTTAGCACAGATAAAGATTTGGTGACTGAACATACAATACGTAGACGTTACCATGTAAACAAGGGCCAAAGCTAATTTACACATTTATTTATTGAACAATTAAAAAATATACTACACCTTTATTTTCGTGAATCAGTGTTTAAACTGACAGAAAACCAGTCCGTGATGATAAATATTTAGGACAGAACAACATGAAAAACCCATTATACACATTTAACGTCTAGGTCAACATCTCCAAAATAAATATAAGGCACGGTCCAATATGGATAAGGCGATACCGATATCTGATATTTGTCAAGATGTGGCTGATAACTGATATTAAGCTTTTAAAAAACTATAGTACAGAGCATTTAAATTAAGTTATACTGAGGTTTACACATTGAATATAGGCTTATTCATATTGTCACTCGTGAGTCTGTTCAAAAAGACAAATGTGATGCTCTGAGGACACACAGACCGAGGAATTGCAGAACAAATATTGGTGCTAAATATCGGCTAGATTTCCACATCGGACCAATACCAATAACTGATAACTGATATACCGTCCCTAATGAATATCTACAAAACAATTACACTGACCCAAGAAGAGTTTAGGAAGTGAACTGACCAGATTTACTGTACAACAACTCAAAGTCAGTGTCTCTGGAGCCAGTGTCTTGTGGAACAATTCTACTGCAATCAAAGATTTGGAAAACTTTGTTCCAATAGAGCCCAACAGTGACCATGTGGCCCTGGTTCTGAAAGTAAAAATTTCATTCATTTTCTTACAGACTTTCCAAAAATAAAATAAATAAAAGCTGAATCTTTTAAATGTACTTTTTGGACTTAAAACAACCACATTACTGTTAACATGTAGTTGGTTAAGAGTGACTTGAAAAGAAGTACCTTACCACCACGTGAATATACAGTGAATATACAGCACAGCACCTACAGAGACTTCATCAAGCCTGTAAAAACAGAGCAATACAACTGCAAGTCATTATTTACTATTACTAAAGTGGCAAAGCAAAAGAGCCCTCCCTGAATTACTGTTGGTTTTGAGAATTGTCGTCACAGATTCCAGGAAATTAGAATACAGAAGTATGATATGAATGGTGTCCAAACCTTTGCAATCAGGTTTAGAATAATGTTTAATGGATACAGACAAAGTAAAACAAATCTAATTCAGTTCCTGAGGGTGATTTTCAGATCCGGTGGGGTTTGCATGTTCTCCATGTCAGGGGATCTGGGTTCTTCCATCAACATAAAATAGTTTTGGAAAAATAAATAAGACTTAAACAAAAAATAAAGTCACTACTTCTTCAAATCCATAACTTCCCATGGTCATTTGGGGGTGGTGCTGGTGAGGCTGAGGGGCCCTCTTGTGTAGCCGACTGGCCCTCTTCAGGAGACGAGGTGGAGGCTGATGCAGTGGAAGGATCTGACAAATGTTAACAGTAGTTGGGTTATTATTAGTTCCATTAGTCTATTTTTTAAACAACAAAAGACATTGTTCACTTACTATGAAGAAGCAGCTCATAGAGTCTTTGCATTTCTTGAATGATTTCTATATTTACACCTTCAGGCTGGAGGAAGTGGATAAGATCCCCTTTAATCAGGCCACATTTGGACTTTTGGGTCAAAAACAAAATGGGTTGATAGCCCAGGGCATTGAGCTTTGACATCTGTAAAATGCATTACACACGTTTAAGACATTTCTGTTGATTTGGTGTAAAAAAAACAAAACAAAAAACAAAACTAATTTGATTCAGTGAGATTGACCACATCCAGCAGAGTGGGCATGCACACAATCAGCTACAGTAGGTCAGTCTGCTGTAATCCAACCCAGGGTCAGCCCAGTATTAGACCTTCTTTCTATTGGACTTTTTTTACACGCACTGTTGGATTACTTGTCTCCAAACAGGGAAGCTCTTTACATTTTCTTCTTATCACATTCTATTATTGAAAGAAATGTGCTTTCAGTTACATTGAACTGACATTACGTTTTCTAATTTGAATAGTTTAAATTGGAATGAGTTATTTTTTTGACAATACAAACTGCACCACAGCTGTGCTCTGTAAGTAAGAAAGTATGTAAATCTGCGAGTAAACCTGTTTCATAATAAAACTTAATTCCATGATTTTGAAATTACAATTTTGATTATTAAAAACACAAATTTACTGAATGAATTCAATGAGTTGAACAGGCCTAGTTTGGCTCTGACAATAATAAATGTTTTTAGGTATAGAAAGAAAAGATTTGGAGAGATATTTGTAAAAATACCAGCAGGAGGCATCACTGGCCTAAGTTTTAAAAAGAATGATGCATATCATAGGACCTTTTCTCATGAACTGAACTAATAGTAATAAGACAGAGTGAAACTCACCGAGATCAGAGCACTGTTGACCACTCTGTTTGAGTTGTGATTCTTTCTGACAGACTGTGCCCAGTTTTTAGATTTGAGATTATCTTGGAATTTGGTGATCTTATCCCTGACGGGCAGACTGCACGCACAGGTAGTGCAGGTCTTCACCTGGACCGGGTTTGGAGCTTGACACGTTGGGCACGGCTTGGTTTTTGGCTTGGTCATTTCTACAAGAAAATAAATAAATTAATTAATGTCTTGAAATATTGAAATATTTCTGTATTGGATAGAATGATCATTAAAACAAAATCTGGTAAATTCTCTGAAAAATGCGTACTATCCATCAGTCTCTATGTGCGTATGGATCTTACAATTTTCCTGAATCATCCCTTTTTTTTTTTTTTTTTATCTGGTCACCCATAACTTTATTATTACAAACTTTCATACCATAGCACATCGATAAACTCACCCTTTGACGTGATTTCTCTGATATGCACTTTTTTGAGAGAAAACTGTTTAGTGGATTTAAACAAAAAAAACAAAAACAAATCAGTCCTCCTCTGGAAATTTCTGCATAAATTCGTCAGATACAGTCGCATTGGCAGATGGTTGGCAAGTGAACGGAGGCGGATGGGAGACCATTGACGTCCTTATATGACTCAGACGGAGATTTTCGCGTGTACGGCCGCGGAAGGACAACGCGTCGCCATTTGCCGCTTTGGGATGAGAACGGAGCAGTCACGCAGCACGGAGGCGGGGTTTTAACACGCGGAAGCCAATAGAAAGCGGCAATGCATCAATTCATGTCCTCCCAATAGTGTTTTGAACGCAAATTTCAGTCAATATATACTTTTATGTTGGTCTGACAGTCGTTTTTTTTCCCTTTATGCACCTCAAACACTATTGACGCAAGTCTCTGATTCACAGCCCGTTTGCTATACGAAAGGCGCGACTCATTTCTAAACCCTTACCTCCTGTACCTTTAAATTCCTCGTCTCCTTTTCTTTCAACCACACCCACTGAGTAAGTTTAGCCAATAGGAACCCACATACGTCTATTCTCATTGGCTGCCTGTTCTGAGTGGGCGGGATTAGTGCGGAGGAATCGAAGAGGTGAGTGTTGAGGAAGCAAGCAAAAGAAATAGGACGCACCCCGAGGAGAGACTACGGAAACAGTAAAGGGAGGCTTCCGATTGGTGGCGCGGGAAGAGGACACGACTTTTGGATTGTTTTTGTCACGAAATATAAAATAAAGACACGTTTTTGTTTACGTTTTGTCCCGAACGTGCATGCGGAAGAGACGTGGAGCAATGCCCGGTGCGGCTGCGTGACACAGTAAGAAAAGTTTGTAAAAATAAGTGTATCTGTAGCGATAATTCTCACTCACGTAGTTTTAATCACGTTTTGCGTAAAAATATAAGGTCCAACTCGTTTTATAACTTAAGACTTTCACCAGATAAGCAACGTTTGTGTTTTTTTCTGCTAAAATGATTAGTTAAAGTTCACAAGGAAAGTAGCCTACAAAGTCTGCCTCTGTAAATATTGTTAAATTCAACTTAAAGAGTAAATGTTACGCAAAATAGACTCCAGTGAGCTTTAAGCCATGTTATAATGCTTTTACCTCCTCAAAAACAAACCTGGAGTTATGTGTAGTTTCATTCACACATTTAGCTACCTTTTTACTTCAGTAGATCGGCAATAGCAGGTTTGAAATGATCCTAATGATTCTAGTGAAGGTGTATGGAGTTTAAAAACACAGTGGAGAACTTCCTTTATAACCGTATGGTTATAAAGGAAGGTGTGTTTTTCATTTGACAGAGGGACTCCTAAATGCCTAAGTATGCAGGGCAACTAATACAAGATACATTGTGATCGACTGAAACACCATTGACCATTAAGCAGGGCTGGTCTTGGTAGTAGTCAGATGGGAGCACAGACTGTATAAAAATATGTATATACATGGATCTCTATGGATGGGAAACTGCTGGGAATTACTGGGTTTCAGATGACACCACAACTTCTATAGGCCCATAATGCACATGGGGGCAGCTAAAATGAATATTCTCATTAAATTGACATTCAGCATTTGTGAATTTTCCTCTGTACAGTTAACTTGCTCCTCCTCCTGGGACTATGACATCATCACCAGATTCTACTCTGTTCTGTACTGATGTACGCTGTTGTACACCAATATATATACTGTTGTACACTGTTGTACACTGTTGTACACTGTTGTACACTGTTGTATACTGTTGTATACCATTGTATACTGCTGTACACCGCTGTCCACTCCTGTCCACTCCTGTCCACTGTTGTCCTCTGTTGTCCTCTGTTGTCCACTGTTGTCCTCTGTTGTCCTCTGTTGTCCTCTGTTGTCCACTGTTGTCCACTGTTGTCCACTGTTGTCCACTGTTGTCCACTGTTGTACACTGTTGTACTCTGTTGTACTCTGTTGTACACTGTTGCATATTGTTGTCTACTGTTGTAAACTCTGAGCTGTCTCCCTCTCTGGCTCTACAGGTTCACTCTGACCACACCTGCAGGGTCACATGTGACTTCTATGGACCTAACCTCTGGAATAATGTACGACATTTTCAGAGATCATGTATGGAATGGTGAGTTCTCTTGAGCAAAAATTCTCTTAACATGTATCATTAAGTAAGTGTGACAGTAGCCTAGTTGGTGAAGCGTTTGTCCAATGATCTGAAGGTTGGCAGTTGGAATCCCGCTCTCGATATAAACATCATTGGTTGAGCGTCAGATCCACTGACCCACAGGTTGACTGGTGTGATTCCAGCTCCCACAGATGAATGCTGTCATTGTGTCTTTGGGCAAAACACAAAACCCACCTCGCCCCAGAGTCTGTGGACACTGGTGTATGAATGTGTGTGTGAATGGGTGAGTGGTTCCTTGTGGTAAAGTGCTTTGTGTGAGTTGAAGGTGGAAAAGTGCTGTATTAAAATGTGTGACTATGACCATCACCAAACTAGTTGTGTTTTTCTCATTTTAAGCCTGTTTTGTGAATAGTTTTTATTCAGCTCCATTGCTCTTTACTATTCCATTGTGTTGTAGATTTGGGACCACTAGACCCTGACTGGTTTGAGACACTTTCAGCAGAAGCATCTGAGGAAGGAGATGTCTTGGATAAAGATGAACTGTGTGCCAACCAGGAAGCACTGCGCGCCAACCAAGAAGAAACTCCTGTGGCTGACAGGAGACACTACAGTCCAATGTCCTCTACCCCCAGAGTCTACAGACTCAACCACACTCTGTCCCCTGAAACAGATCAAGACTCTGTGACTGTCCAACAAGGTAGCAAGTAGTTCTTTCTTTGAAACGTTTACTGTTTATATTGTGTTTTAGCCCTACTGTTTTTAAGGACATTTATATATTTTTTTGCTTTAGCAGAAACACCCTGGAGAAGTAGAAGCCCAAATGCATCTCTGGAGAGGCGAGTTTTTATGCATTTTAAAGGACCCATATTACAAAGTATTTTGACCTATGTTTTGTGTTTCCTCATCACAAACAGATCTGGAGTTGTGTTTTGTTTCATTCAACATGTTAAACACACACCCTCTGTATTTAGACTGAGTTCTTCTCTCAAATAGAAAACACAGCCCTGGAATTGCCAATGAAACCATAATGAACAGTGCAAAACTTTTGAGTGCAAGTAGATTCATGGTTCAGTTCAGTTTAAAGTGACTAACAGCTGACAGGGAAGTTCTTATAACAAGAGGTTCTGGTCTGAATGGACTGTAGTCTCCTGCCCTTTATCACTGCTTGCGGCTTTAATTAGTTGTGTTTTTCTTTTAGGTCATCATCATTTGATTTATTTGCACATCTCATGAGTCCCAGTACAGGTAAGACAAATACAATTATTACTAACTTTAATTATAGTTATCCTAATTTGCATTCTGTATATATTTTTTACACATACTAAATAATTAGAATTTTCAGTTTTAATTTGATGTCTTGATAAACACAGGCAAAAATGTCTTGAAGTTAAAAAATATAGCTTTTATATAGCATTTTCTATAAAGCATGTATGCATTTAATTGTAAAAAAAAAATCAAATTTATTAATGTAAATTCTGAACTTTGCTCCAAACCACTTGCTTTTACTGATCATGGTTAAGACTAAAATCTGATCATGATTAATATCAATAAAAATGGGATTAATTCCACAGACCAACTTGGAGCACAAGTATACATACTGGACTGGAAATAGAGGTGGACAATATATCTAAGTATTCCAAAATAATCAAAATGCAAAATTTAAAGTCGGATTATATTGTTTATATGAAACTATCTCATAAAGAAGCAAACGACTGATTACTTTTGAAACTGAACAAACCTATTTGTTAATCATACAAATATTGGTATTCAAGTAATTTTCTACACTTTAGTGGCTAATTTTTCATGATTTTATGTTAATGCTTTGCTGAGAATGTTCCACAGTATGGCATTAAATGTATTTAGTCAGTTTCAGTTATTCTAATGCTGATAATGCCGTGAAAAAATGTATTCTTATTTTGTCTTCACCGCTCCACTGATTTTACCTGTTACTTGGCCTGATGGCATGACCTGCTTATCTCTATGGAAACAGATCAGTTTAATGGCATACTGTGAAACTTTCAACATCTGTTTACCCAAAATATTTTAATATTTTGAGTATGTGACAAATTGTATACTTTTGTATACCTACAAGCCCTGTGTGCTTGTAGAGTCTGTAATAGTGATAATATGTCATTTCTCTTTCATACATCTAGACCGACCCGGCAGCCCCGTCCAGTCCAAGGTATGTCTCTCACTTTTGGTACTCACAGTTAAGCTTAATATTGTGTTTTAAACCGCATGTGTTTTTGAACGGTACAGACCTGCTATATCCGAGACATCTCTGAAAGACTTGGTGCACACATGGGAGACATATCCTGGAGCAGCTCTTTAAACACCCCCCCGCCTGTGCCCTCTACTTGGATTTTAAGTATGTTTTATATCACATCACACCACATTTAATCACTTATGAACTGTTAAGTAAAGCCTGTTTGTTTCACTTTGAAGCCAGAAAAGAGAGTGAAAGTACTATCAGCCTTACTGAGGACACAAGTGTTGTAAGTATTAAATTACAAGGTAAACTATTATTTCGAAATCGCTTTTATCTGAATGACTATTAATACCCCATTAACATGTTTTATCATCAGATTAGTGTTACTTCATTTGAGAAATCTCTGTCAAATATGGAGTTATAATTATGATCAATAGACAGACGAACAGCCAAACTTAAAACATGCACAATAGGTCAAATCCTCCAGCTAAAGTAGTCCTGACCAAGACTCCCAACAAGGGTCCACTGCTCCTGACAGATTGTTCTAGAGGAGTTGAAGGACGGGTCAAATGCACGAGGACAAGAAAGTGTACTTTAACTTTAGCCTACTTATTAATTATAAATGATTTCTATGTTTTTTTTTTTAATCTTTATTTTGATCCTTGGCATGCAGTTTTCTTTAAACTATATCAAAATCAGTCTCCCACAGGTCAGCAAAAAAAAATTTTTTTAAATAAGTTCAATGTGTCCTCATCAAATATAGAATTGAGATCCCTCTCCCGAATAGTTTTAAGACTTTTATTCATAGTAATGATATTAGAAACCTTGTCTCGATATATAAGTCTATTTCCTTCTCTTTCAGTTAGCCCGCAAGCTCTTTCACTGTTACCCAAGTGTGCCTGCAGATGGGTTTATCCCGGAGGCAGCTCTCGTCTCAGAAGGTAACTTCGATATGTTCTTTATTTCACCTTTTGTCTAAAAACAAAGTCTGATAATTCTATGCTTATGCTGATTAATGGAGGTATTTTAAGTACTGAAATTATCACAGTAAGTTTGAAGATGCCCAGTCAAGAATACATGCTTTTAAAATATTTAATTTTCTTGCCTGGCGAGAAATAAATTTTTGGGTCTGATTGACCCGCCTCAAGAGAGCAGGAAGGAAAAAAAATGTTTCTTCAGGTCAATGTGACCCCCAGGAGAGCGTGAGGGTTAAACCTGTGACCAGACTACACATATTTGTTGTTTCTCAGTGTTCAGATGGATGTGATTGACAGGTGGATTAGCCAATAAGGGGCATGGATAGTTTGTCCGTAAAACATAGCTGTTTACAAGGAAAAAAGGATAGAAAAGGAAAAAAAGTATGTCAGAAGTCTAAAGAAAATGGGGAATTCTGCTTAAAGGTGCAGTACCATATTTTACTGTCTTAAAAGTGAAAAAAGCTATTTAATTTTAAACCGTTCAAACCCTTTTTTAGCATCCTAATTATCAATTGCTCTTTCCTAAACTTTCAGTGGCCAGAACAGAGTTTTACCATAACAGTGTTAACAACAGCTAGCATGCTAACAGCACTACATTCTGGTTTGCAGGCATTCACAGGCTTTATAACTGCATGCAGACAGCACACAGTGGTCTGATTTTGATCCTAAGACCTGCTTTTACATATTTTATATATTGACCCTTTATTACATGAAAAGACAACTCTGTTTTAGCTTAGCCTGGGACACACAGGTGGAGACCAGACTGAGAGATTTTCTGCTTAAAATATACAGAGAGAACCAGTCTGGAGTCCAAGCTAGTCTGCACTATAATTCATCAAAGGATATAGAATTACTGAAACATGCATAAAGGAAAACAAGATTATAACTTTTTAAAGCTCAGTTAAGTTCACTTTGCATAATGTCAGTCCACTTCTACTCCTCACACGGTATGTTCAGAAGGTCAACTTGTTCTCACTATTGTCTCTTCATTAACAGATGCTGAAGTGACTTCTTCGAACAGTAAAACAGCACAAAACCCCACCTGCAACACTGCACAAAGTCCTCTCCTCGGAACTGAAAACACCCCCTACACAAACCGTAGTGCTATATTTAGGAAAGTGAGAAATGAGAGGGTTCATAGAAGACACATCACTCAGACAAATGAAAGTGGCTGTGAAGATGTGGAGGCCTCAGAGGACAGGTCCAGTAAGCCACAAGCTGAAAACCCTGCTCTCTCCCAGTGGTCTCCTATAAGTTTGTCTCAAGTTCAGTCACAAAACTTTTCCCCATCTGTTTGCCTGTCTGCCATGAAGAGGACTAAAATGAGAGGAAAACGAAGGCTCATGATTCAACACGGCGAGAACATCGGTGGTCAAGACCCCGCGTTGACTTTGAAACCAAGCAACGCAGATGATAGCGGCTTTTCATCTGCAACCATTCCAGTTTCAAATTTGGAAAATAAAACTACGAGTGAAAAAGAAAACAAGGACAATTTTTCGGATTCTGTAGGTTTCAGAACGGCTTCCGATAAAAACATAAAAGTCTCATTGGCAAGTCTGAAAAAAGTCAAGAATCTTTTCAATAATCTAGATGAGAAAGAAAATGACCGACACACACTACCTGATGAGTTAGAAGCGAGCGTTACTGATAAAAATGGGGTTTCAAATAACGATTGGAATCTTACAGTTTCACAAAAAGCCGAGGTTAAGGAACTCTGTGAATTCCTAGAACAATCAGACAGCCAGTTTGACTTTACACAGACCTCAATCCAAAACGCTAATCAGGTGTCTCAAAACCAGGGCTGTCCCACATTAAAATCCGAAGCACTTCCCTCCTACTCACCTGCAACAACAACAACCTTGAATCAGTCAAACAAAGCCGAGAAGCGTCCAAAGTTCAGCGAGGCATCAGAAACCGCTTTCAAGACTTCAAATTCAAGAAATAATTTTGAAGGAAGAAATGTAAACGCTTCATTTACTCAAGGATTTAAGATGGCCAGTGGGAAGGGAATTACTGTGTCGGACCAAAATTTGCAGAAATCCATGGAGCTTTTCGAAGATTTGGTTCATGATCTTGATGGTGTGTCAACTTTTGGGAAAGCCTGTTTCAGAAATGAGACAAGTTCTTGTGTTCCATCTAGTCTCAGTGAATCCCAACACTCTGTATTGGCTATTAAAAAAGCAAAAATGTGTAAAGTGGAAAACAACGTCAAACCAGACCGTTCTAAAGTTCTTCTCAACGCACAAAAGACCCATTTAGTAACATCCTGTAGGAAGCCACTGGTTGTAACAGCTGAGGCTAAGTCCTCTTCTGTTGACACTCAAGAAAGTTTGAATGACACAGCCAGCAGTGAGCGCCCAAAACATTGCCAAAAATCTGATGCAGAAGAAGAGATTTGCCCAAAACCTAAAGACATTGAACAGCTTATTGTCCAAAGTGGTCAATTCAAAGAAGACCCAAGGGACAGTCATGTTTCAACAAAAATAAGTGAATTTTCATCAAACAATTCTGTCAAATTAACATCTAAGATTTCATATGAGAGTGACAAACCAGATGAAAGCGGCATAACAAATGTTGAGACTTTAGAGAGTTGCTTCAGAACAGCTCAGGGCACACAGGTTCAAGTGTCCAAAAAACACGCTGAACAATCAGACAGCCAGTTTGACTTTACACAGACCACAGTCCAAAACGCCAATCAAGTGTCTCAAAATTGGGGCTGTCCCACATTAAAATCCGAAGCACTCCCCTCCTACTCACTTGCAAAAATACCAACCTTGAATCAGTTAAACAAAGCTGAGAAGCATCCAAAGTTTTGTGAGGCATCAGAAACGGCTTTGACAATGAATTTTGAAGGAAGAAATGTGAACACTTCATTTACTCAAGGATTTAAGATGGCCAGTGGGAAGGGAATTACTGTGTCGGACCAAAACTTGCAAAAATCCAAGGAGTTATTTCAAGATTTGGTTCATGATATTGAAGGTGTGTCAACTTTTGGGAAAGCCTGTTTCAGAAATGAGACAAATTCTTTTGTTCCATCTCATCTCAGTGAATCCCATGGTGACAAACACTCTGTATCAGCTGTTAAAAAAGCGAGAATGTGTAAAGTGGAAAACGACGTCAAGGCAGACCGTTCCAAAGTTCTTCTGAATGCACAAAAGACTAATTTCGTAGCAGCCTGTAGGAAGCCATCGGTTGTAACAGCTCAGGCTAAGTCCTCTTTTGTTGACACTCAAGAAAGTTTGAATGACACAGCCAGCGGTGAGCGCCCAAAACATTACCAAAAATCCAACTCTGAAGACATTGAACAGCCTATTGTCAGAAGTGCTCAGTCCAAAGAAGACCCAAGGGACAGTCATGTTTCAACAAAAATAAGTGGATTTTCAACAAACGATGCTGCCAAATTAACATCTAAGATTTCATATGAGAGTGACAAACCAGGTGAAAGTGGCATAACAAATGTTGAGACTTTAGAGAGTTGCTTCAGAACAGCTCGGGGCGCACAGGTTCAAGTGTCCAAAAAACACATTGAAAAAGTGAAGCACCTCTGGAAAGACTTTGACTGTTTAAACTCTCCAAATGAGATCATTAGAGATACAGAAGAAAACTCAAACTGTCAGAGTGTGTCAATAGATGGGAATTGTGTCAGTGAAAATAAACAGAAGACACCCAAAACGGAGACTCAGTATGAGCCTCAAGCTGTACTACAAACACCCCTTCCAGCATCTTCAGTGTCACAGAGCTGTGCATTTCAGACAGCATCTGGAGCAAAGGTCAACATTTCATCTGAAAGCCTCATGAGAGCCAAACGTATGTGGAGTGAATTTGAAGATGGTCAAAGTAAAGCTCCAGTAATGAGAGAGAATGGGTCAGTTCCTCCCACCAGTGGCTTTCTCACTGGCAGTGGTAAAAAGCTGTCTGTGTCTGTGGAGGCCATGCTGAAGGCGAAAGCTCTGTTTGACGATATCGGTTCTACATCAGATACCAAAGAGACTCCAAAAATAATCAAGCCATCCATTGCTGAAAAACTTAAATCACTTTCTTCTCACAAACATTCAAGTGCACACACTCAACTTTCAATTTACCGTTCAACTGAAACCACATTTCCAAAGATGGACTCTAAGGAATATTGTGGTAGTAAAAATGGCTTTACAACAGCCAGTGGAAAAACGGTGAGAGTCTCAGAAGAAGCACTAAACAAGGCAATGGAATTGTTGTCAGAAGGAACAGAGTTAGGGAATGAATTGGAGGACAATGCTCTAAGAAAAGCTTCAATGAGCAAAAAGTGTGCTGAACCACAATTCCCAAAAAACAACTCTGAAAACAGAAGTTCATCACCTCACCTCACATCATCAGATGGGCCATGCTTAAGACCAGAAACCATGCACACAACAATGGACAGCAATGTTCAAACTAAACACGAGAAGGAGGGAGCATTCTTACCTCTTGAACTTTCAGTGAGCAGATTGGACTCTATGACAGCTCCAAACATGGAAGAAAACAGTGGATGCGGGTTTACCACAGCGAGTGGAAAGAAGGTTAACCTGTCAGAAGAAGCTCTCAAGAAAGCTATGAAGATGTTGTCAAATGAAATTGAATTGAATGGTGATGAAGGTAGTTGCACAGCTGAAGTCATGACAGAGGAAATGAATGCGTCTAAATCCCAGTTTAGGTCTGTACAAGCCAAATATAACAATGCTGCAAACAAAATTAATAATTTCACCTCAAATGTCAACCCATCCGTTAAGATGGACATAACCTCCAAAAAAGAAACTCATCCTCAGTTGTATAAAGACGGAAACGCTCATCCAGTGGTGGTGAACTTGGACATGCTTCAGCTTGGCGGCTGCACTTCCACACAGCAGCAGTTCCTGGCACAGGAGGCCTTGGACTGCACCAGGGCCTTGTTGGAAGATGAGGTCCGGGCTGCACACACGCTGACAGATGGTCTGGAACACAAGTCAGCTTTGACCCACTCATCAGGACAACTGCAGAACCAGATGGAGAAGAAGGAAGACCGAACTGGTATGTGCACATTTAACATGTACAAACAGGTGTGCAGGTTTTTATGTTTTTATAATAAATCTATAATCTATTAAGTTTTTATTGTAGATGTAAAGTGAAGACAAAAGTGTGGTTTTCATGTAGAATACACTACCAGTCAAATGTTTGGACACACCTTCTCATTCCATTTTTCTTTATATTTACTATTTTCAACATGAAGACATCAAATATATGTATAAATATTTACCAAGAATTATGTAGCAAAGAAAGAAATGTGATGTCCTGGCCGCCATTTGACATTTGTTTTTGAATCACTGCAAACCCTTGGACTTTTGTGAGCTTCATGGCAGTGCCTCTAACACGTTATTCACTCTCACTCACTCTGTTTTAGTGAAATCAGTCTGACCTGTCGTGCACTTCACTTTTTGATTGTATTCTATGTCTAATCTGTACCACAGTGATCGGCATTTGTTGTGTTTACAGGCGAGCCAGTTCTGAAAAGGCCTTCACCCGAGGAACTAGACCGCACTTGTGATATACCTAAAAAGCCCATTCCTAATCCTGCCTGGAGCTGTCTTGGTGGTAAATAGACATGGTTTTAACAGAAAGGGCAGATATACTTGGTATTGTTCTCACAGGGATCTCTCCACAGGTTTGTTGAAAGACAGAAGAGTTTTTCAATACCATGTGTCACGCCATCCAAACACCCCAAGGCCGCACGGGTAAGTTGTATCTACTAAAAAATTGTTCCATAAGCCCCTGTTAAGAGGATACAGGCACCTTGGGAGCTGTATATGATGTGTTGTTTTATAGGCAGCTGTTCCCAAGATCATCAGCACCTTCTTATGGGCACATCTGTTGTAGGGTTTTATGAAGATCTAGTAAAGACATCCAGCATTAGAACATAAAAAAATTGAATACTGTATTTTACACACTATAGGGTGCACTTAAAAGCCTTTAATTTCATCCAAAAACGACTGTGCGCCTTATAATCCAGAGCGCCTTATATATGAATTTATTGGAGTGTCTTAATACGACTTTAGTAAACTACAAAGCCACACCACTTGCAGCGTTACGGCTCCCGTAGTCAGGAGCATCAGGAGTAATACAGACTGTGATTCCTTTTAATATTAAAATGCACCTGTCAAGAGACACACTTACAACGGCCACTTTACACTCAAGGCTGTTATAAAGTTGTCTATAAAGGGAGACAGCGCCGAGCGACTTACGATCTGCCAATGGATCGTGGACGCCTGGGCTAAGGATCAGTATCAACTGTGGTCCGAGCTTTCACCAAGACCAGAATCATCACTGAACTGCCAGGGAACAGTAACAACACTGACTCGGATAATATCACCCAACTGTTTGAACTATTATGACTTATTGTGAATACACAAACAATTTAGCATCTCACACAGTATTTTTTTACGTGTTACAATTGAACAAAGTTGAGAGCTATTGTGAATGCGTTAAATGAAGTTTGACTGACTTATCTAACTGTTGTGTTTCGTTTAATACGCCTTATAGTCCAGTGCGGTTTATATATGAAAAAAGTTTGAAAGCAGACCATTCAAAAATCCAGAGCACCCTCTAGTGCGGAAAATACAGTAGTTGAATTTTTTTCTCCAAAAATGTGATTTACCATAAAATTTTCATTCTTTTTTATGTTGTAGTTCATAGTTGAGTAAAAAAAAAATGAAGCTACTTGTAATATGTTGATTAAAGACCCTATATTATGCAAAATTGCCCCTTGTGGGTTTTAAGCCATTTCAGAATTTTCAAAACTCTGTATTATTAGTCTGTCTACATCTCCAAAGTTCAAAATGCTCTGTTCTACCTTGTGATGTCATGAAATGGTAGTTTTCAAGTTAACTGCTACCTTTTACCTTTTGTTTAGTAGAAAATTCCACAATAACAGATATGTTCTTGATGAAGAAACAAGATTATAACATAGATCAGAAATGGTGTAATATGGGCCATTGCTTGGATTAAATGCTGCCTCTTGTCTTATCCAGGAGCATAAAGGAGCAGGCGAAACCAACTCCAGCGGCCCCTACACTAACCAGGAGAGGAGCAACATTTGTGCCTCCCTTCTTAAACGCCAAAGCTAAAGCCCCTAGAGACGACGCGCAGGAAGAAAAGGAAAAACCATGCACGTTTGTCCCCCCGTTTAAAAAGCACAAATCTGATATCCACGGAAATGTCACAGTAAACAAAGACGGCAGCTGTGACAAAGAATCTTCTACCATGCACACGTTTGTACCACCTGCCCCCAAAAGACCAAAGACACAGAATGACAGCACCAGCAAACAGGCCGCAGTTCCAGATCTTGATCAAGTATTCACTCCAGAAGGTGAAGCTGATAAACCGAGTAAGAAAGAGGAAACTGCTGCAGTCGTTCATAGTCCAGAGATGGAGCAGGATGTCAAAGGCACAGCAGACGCTTCTACTCACGGTAAATCACGCTCTTCAACTACTGATAGTACAAAGCAGTGTTAAATAGACAGAGTTAGAACAAAAAATAAGCACCAAGGTTTCTTTCCTTCTACCAAAAATACTACTTTCTAGAGTGTAATTTATTAAAGGTCCTATATTACACAAAACTGACTTGTGAGCTTTTAGCCATGATTGAATGTTCCTCTTCAAAAACAGACGTTTGGAGTTGGGTTTTGTTTCATTCATACATGTTTGAGTATTCATGTTTGAACAAAGTAAGTTTGTCACATTGGTCATGTACCAGTGGTGGAAATAGTGGTAGATGAGAGCAATGATGTCTTAAATAGAGGAGAATATCGATCACTCGGGTGTGAGTTACAGCAGTGCTGACAGTGTACTGACTGATATATCAGCCATCCCTAACAGAAAAACATGATCATTATACTCCCTGTGGACATGTTGGTTGAATTGTGTGTTTGCAGAGACTCTGGGGAGCATGGGGGATCTGGCTCGTGATCTGCAGGACATGAGGATCAGGAAGAAGACACGGCAGACGATCAAACCCCTTTCAGGAAGCTTGTTCCTCACAAGATCCTCCCCAGTGAAGAGGCTCTCCTTCAGAGCTGTAGTGAATGGAGAGAGCCCGCACAAGTACAGCCAAAAACAGGTATGCAACTTTTCATTATTATTTTCATTACATTATTACATTTACATATATTAATGTTGAAAATCACATTCTATTGTGTAAAAAAATAGATAGTGTTTTTTTTTGTTTTTTTTTAATCACTGTGGTATCAGAATATATATTGAGTACTGGGTCTATGTTCCAGTTGTACCAGTTTGGAGTTGATCAGCAGGTGTGCCACGTCACCAGTCAAACAGCTGAATCGTTTTGCTTCAACTTGCTGAAGTTCCACAAGCCCCAGTCCTTTCTGGAGTCAGGAGCAGTGCAGCTGGCGGATGGAGGGTGGCTTGTTCCCAGAAGAGATGGGACTGTGGGGAAAGACGAGTTCTATAAGTATGCTACGTTAACAAAATTGATACTTTGCAGTTGATGTCATCAACATTCTCTGGAGATGTGATTCTAACTGTAGACACAGCTCTGTGTGAAGCTCTGTTACTTAAATTAGACTTTAAACTGAGTTTTGTTTTAACACAATCTGACTATAAAGACCTGACTTGGTTGGAACTACAACAGGTGAGATGATTTGTGTTGTTAAATAAGTCTCACACATAAAATGACAGTCACAAGCAAACTAGCATTAGTCAACAGTATTTCAGTTAGTCACTCTCGCGTTTTTGTTGAAAATCAAACTCCTAAACAGGACCACAAACACTCGTATTGATCCCGGGCTTCTGAAAATGTGCTCTTTTCAGACAGATCTTTAATATATACATGTAGAACACCCCCAGCGTGATGTCCCTGCAAAGTATTAATAGGTGAAGTGGTATATGTGTATGTTGGTATGTGGATTAATGCAGTGTCCTCACTAGAGCGCTGTGTGACACTCCCGGTGTGGACCCCAGGCTGATCAGCCCACAGTGGGTGTACAACCATTACAGGTGGATCGTGTGGAAGCTGGCCTCCACAGAGAGGGCCTTCCCTTTCTACATGGGCAGTGTCTGCTTCACCCCAGAGCAGGTTCTTCTGCAGCTCAAGTACAGGTATGTAGATACAACTAGTGCCTCTGTTGGGGAAATCTCTGGTGAACCAATGACAGAGACTTTACAGAAGACATTTTGTGCTTGTGTCTGCTTTATCTATGACACCTGTGGATCATCTGCTTTAACCTTTTAACCTTTGTCTTCTATCAGATATGATGTAGAAGTGGACCATAGCCGTCGCTCTTCTCTGAGAAAAATCATGGAGAAGGATGATGCCTCAGCTAAAACCATAGTGCTGTGTGTATGTGGGATCTTCTACGATGGTCAGTCGAGCTCTGCACCTGCTCAGGAGGTTGGAGTGAAGCCCGACAGCTCCTGTGCCATTGTGTGGCTCACAGACGGCTGGTACTCTATCAAAGCTCAGCTGGACCCTCCGCTGACCAACATGCTGCACCTGGGACACATCAAAGAGGGGGTGAAGCTCATGGTGCATGGGGCACAGCTCTCGGGCTCCGAAGTGGCCTGCACCCCTCTGGAGGCACCAGACTCCCTACTCTTAAAGGTCAGCAGACACGCACGCACACACTGAGACACCCACTGCACTTGAATCATGTAGAAGTAAATGAGTGGTCAGTTTTAACTGTGTGGAGTACTTATTGCATAGAGTTTCCATCTCATAAAGCGCTGTGTGTTTGTCAGATCTGCGCCAATAGTACGAGGAGGGTTCGCTGGGACACCAGACTGGGCTTCTACAAGGACCCCCGGCCCTTTGTGCTGCCCCTGCGCTCTCTGTTCAGTAAAGGAGGAGCAGTCGGCAGTGTGGACATGCTCATACTTAGGATCTACCCCATCCAGGTGTGTGAGAGCAGCAGCCACTTGTGATTTCAGTCATTTTTTCGAGTAAATTTCTATTAGGGCTGTTCAACTGGTTGAATTTTCGGCGTATTATATAATTGAGTGGTAATGACTGATTAATTAATGGCAAGAGTAATGTCTTTATGACACATGCACAGTTCAGGGCACAGGCACACAAGGGTTCTGTCTTATATCAAGACTTGCTGCTCAGCCAAGCTTCATGCTGTCAAAAATGTGGAGAAATCACCTAATCAGGAGAAGTGCTGCCAAACCTGACTTCTTCAGCATTTTTCTTTGTCCAAGAAAAATGTGAAGTTGGGTTTTGAATATTTGCTCCAAACAAATGAAGCACACAAAGAATTACTATTTTCCCCTTCCCTCTCCTTGCTGCCTGTTTTTCATTTTTTTCTTCTTCATTGTGGTCCTCTGTTCTCCTCCAAAATGTACCTGTGGATCTAAAATACACCACTCTCTCCACCTCTCTGTGTGGTTAGAATTAAATGTGTGTAAAACGTGAATCCTCATGGCACTAAAATAATTAAGCTGTTTTGCACCTGAAAAACTTGATTTACTGGAGGAAAGGTTTGAACCCTTCTGCACACATCCTCTTCTGTGCTCTCATCTCATGTGTGCTGCTTGTTCTAGTGGATGGAGAGAACGGCCGATGGAGGGGTGGTGTTCCGCTCGGCCCGCGCTGAAGAGAAAGAAGCGAGGCGATACAACAGTCACAAGCAGAAACATCTAGAGGCCCTGTATTCAAAGATCAATGCTCAGTTTGAAAAGGAGGACAGAGGTATGGGGACCAAAGTGGATAGTTATTTTTTTCTTTCATATGTGAATCCAGAGATATGGAAACAAATGCAAAGTCAGTAGCAAGGACCATGCCACAACAGTATATGAAAATATTGGTTGATGGATAGTATAATGACATGATGAAAGACAAACAAGATGGGAGAGATGGGGTGGGCGGCAGGGTATGCTTGAGATACAACTGGTACAGATGGGTTATTAGAGGTTTGGTTTAGGTGAGCTGTGGTTCACTGAAGAGGAGGAGATGAAGGTTAAGTTGTGGTCCTGCTCCTGATTCATCATATGGATGTGCTAGGCTTTAGCAGTGCTGCTGAGACTGTGTGTGCTCATCTATGCACACAATAATAACTAACTACTACTATGTACTGATGATGTCCTAAAGCACCTGAGTTTACCAGCTGAGTGTGTGGAGTCCGTCTTCAGAGCTCCAGTCTTTGCTGAAGGAGGGCTGTCGATACCACACCTATAACCTGACAGCTTCTGAGGGCAGGACAGGAGCAGGCAGGGCCACCGTGCAACTCACTGCTACAAGGAAGACTCTCTTCACACGTCTACAGGTGAGGAATGACCCCAACACACAAGTGGTACTGGGCATTTGGTGGACTATTATATTTGGTCTTTTGTAAAAGCAGCACTTTGTGACTATATGAGCCTGACGTGGGCTGTTTACAGTTCCAGTGTTTCCCAGTATTAGAGGAAATTAAGGTGGCCCACCATAGTCTTATTATACTTTATGCCTGTAGTATTGTCATAAATATATAGTAATTATATTTCATCTGTATTCACATTTATTTTCCTTATAATGTGTTAAATAATATCATTCAAATATGAATCACTTGTGTTACCACAGTTCATAGAACAAAAACTTGGGAAACAGTGCGTGTCATAATGTATTTGATATTACCGATACACTGTTTTGTGAGCTCTGGTTTGTGATCTATGGTGGTGTTCTACTGTATTTTTTTGGCTCAAAACTCACAAGAGTCAATTTTGTGCAATAATATAGGACATTTAACAATGTACCAAAGGTCACATTGAAGTTAGCTACAAACTAGATAGATTACCTACATACTTTCCTCCTCTCATGGTATGAAATGATGGTACCCTTGCTTTGAGCTGTACTTGATTTATTTAATACAACAGCAGATTCTGTCTTCCAGTCGTTGTTCTGGTTCTTTTCTCATGAGAAAACAGTGTATGAATATCCAAGTGTATTTTTGCAGTACATTTAAGACATAAATGCCAAGGACCACCAGAGGTGGGCAACACCCGGAATATTTAAAATGTGATTGTTTTTTCCCCTCTATGATATAACCCTACATCTTTCTCCCCGTGTGTGTGTGTTTGTGTGTGTGTGCAGACTTCGTCTCACTGGCTGTCGGCACATTTTTGCCCCCGAGCTTCAGTCAGGTTTACAGAGCTTCAGAACCCAGACTTCGTGCCTCTGTGTGGAGAGGTGGACCTCACAGGATGTGTCATCAGTGTCACTGATCAGCACGGTAAGTACAAACTAAAGACAGGCTGTTAAAGGGCCTATATTATGATCAGTTATGCAAACTTGTAACCATGTTATAATGTTGTCATCTCATCAAAAACAGACTTGGAATTTTGTTTCATTTACTCATGTTTGAGTAACTCTTCATTATTATCAACAAAGATTAAGATGCTCTGTTCCACCTTGTGACCTCATGCAGTGCTAGTTTGAAGCAGTACTTTTCAAGTTAGCAACTACCTCTTTTGTTCAGGCTCCTCTCCGGTCATGTACCTGGTGGACGAGGGCTTGCAGGTGGTGAAGGTTCGTGCTTGTGGTAGCTTGGTTCGCTGTGGCTGGGAGGATGTGGTGGAGCCACGTGCTCTGCTGTCCCTGAGTAACCTGCAGGTCAGACGTCAGTGTGTGTCTGACCCTCCTGTGCTGTTCGCCGGAGACATGACCGAGCTCTCCACAAACCCCCGGGAGTCCCACCTGCAGCAGAGCCTGGGCCGCCTCAGACAAGCTCTACAAGTGGGCACTTTTCATTCATTTATTGACATCTATTCATACAAGTGACCACCCACTCTGGCTTCCATATGGAAAAATTGTAATCTTAAGAGCTACTTGCAAACTAATATCTATAAGATGGTTGTTTTACATCCAAACATTTTATTTAAACACAAGATTTGGCTAAATTCTTAAATAACTTTTAAGCATTTAGGTTTCTAAAGTTTCAGAGACAGATTTTACACTTGTAAATGTTTTTTTTATTTTTTTTTTTATTTTGTTATATATATTTTTATGTATTGTAAACAAAAAACAAGATTTGACCAGTTAATACAATCAATTTGTATTTATAATAAGTCAAGGCAGATTTATTTCTAAAGCATCCCGAAGTGCTTCACAAAGACACAATAGACAAAACAACAGAGTAAATAACACTTCATTATGTAAGATAATAAATGGATAAAAATACAATATTTTAAAATACAACTTCTCGTAATTTCAGGTAAATGCTGAAGCAAACATGGTTTAAATCAGACCTATTCTGCAAAATGGACTTTTCAAAGCTTTAACCTTAGTATACAGTAATTGTTTTCCTTCTCATTTACAAGTTGTATTTGGAGTGATTCATGCATGTTTGCGTCATCTTTAAGCACTTATTTTCAAGAGGCCATATTGTCGATTGAGCTGTTTTTACTGCCACTGACATACACCCACTGCTCTGTACTTATTTTGTTCTCCAATTTTATTTTCTTAAATTAGTGATACATGCAGGATTCGAGTCATTTTGGTACAAATGAGGAAAAAGTCTGCAGCTATCCAAAGGAGGGGCTGACAGCATTTGTTTGTTGTGACGAGAATTATGGCAATGTCCGCTGTTTTTGGTTTAAATGAATATTGTGATTTTAAAATATGCAAATTCTAACATAACGATCCACTGGTGTCATACACTGTAACTATAGAGCACAACATGTCTACTGTAAGTCTTATATGTTTCCTGTTTCCACAGGGCCAGGATGATTTCTTTCTGAGAGCTGAGCAGAGACTGATTGAAATCCTGACTCCTGAAGGCCAAAGTTTGTCAGCTGTTGAACCCACAACTCCACGGTCAACAACAACCACAGCACAAAAACTTAGAACTCCCAACTCTACAAAGATGACAAATGTGAGTAAAAGTGCATTTGCTATTTATTTTTCCTTCAATTTACGCAATACTAATTAAAGAAGGGGTAGAGCTACTATGTTATAACGTTGTGCCGTCATCAAAAACATGCCTGTTTGAGTAATTTTGCGATCTCTCACCTTTAAATCAACCAGTATATTAGGGGCTAGGCCAAGAATAAAATATAGAACCTTACAATTACCAAAAGATAGAGGTGGCCTGGCCCTTCCCTGTCTAAAGATTTACATCCAGGCGGCTCAATTGAGGGTTATATTGAATCTATGTGATCCTGACATTGAAGAAAGAGCTATAGAGTGGATCCAATTACAAGCTATATTAGTTGATTCAAAATTAAGATCTCATTGGAAAGTAAATGTAAATCCATGGTTGGACAAATATTATGAAGAAATATAACTTATTAAGTCAATGTCGATTTTTGAGGTGGATCGCTTACGATATTGATTTTGCACCAAAGAAAATAGATGGCACATTTAAAGCATGGAAAAACAGTCCAAAGATGTACTGGGAGTTAATTAAAAAACAAGGGGTGATGAGTTTCCAGGAAATCAAGGAGTGTTTCAATTTGAAAAACCAAGACTTTCACCAGTACCTGTAGATAAGGCATTACATAGAGCAAGAAAGTAAGAAAGTTACCCTAGATACATCGGGCGTCATAAAAATCATGATGGAAGCATACAAATCAGACAGTTCAGAAAACCGTTGCCAAATTGTATAAAGCGCTGGAGGAGTTAAAAGCAGACAGTACGGAATACTTACAAGAAAGATGGGAAAGGGAGGCAAATATTAAGATGTCAAATGAGGGATGGGTAGAAATTAACGAATACTAATGGAAAACCACTAATTCATCTTTTTCAATCAATCAATCAAACTTTATTTGTATAGCACTTTTCATACATTTGAAATGTAGCACAAAGTGCTTCACATGCAACAGAAAAAAATTTACAATATTAAAAAATAACAGCAGCCCCCCCACCCCATTATTTCATGCATATATACAACAATAAAACATAAACATAAAGCTCCCAAAGGTTATAGTAAATATATAAATAGAGAGCTAAAAACAGATGGAGACTAAATAAAATATTAATGGAAATGTAATTAAAAGCAAATGGTAATAATAATAAAAATAATAATAATAATAATTTAAAAAAGTAAAAGTTTAAATTAAAAGCTAAATTAAAAAGATATGTTTTGAGTTTACTTTTTAAAATATGAACAGTCGCAGCGGACCTCAGATCCTCAGGTCGACTGTTCCACAAACGGGGGCTGTAAAAGCTGAATGACGCCTCACTGTGAGTTTTAGTCTGGACTCTTGGGACAGTTAAAAAACGACTACCTGAGGACCTGAGAGTCCGAGAGGCTCATATGATAAAAGCAGATCAGATAAATAAATAGGACTAAGACCATTAAGAGCTTTATAAACCAATAAAAGAACTTTAAAATCTATCCTGAAGCTCACAGGAGCCAGTGCAGAGACTTCAGTACTGGGGTGATGTGCTCTCTCTTCCTGGTCCTTGTCAGCAGTCGTGCTGAAGAGTTTTGAAGGAGCTGCAATGGAGCTGTAGATTTCTTTGGAAGACCAGAAAGGAGAACATTACAATAATCAACACGGTTTGTGATAAAAGCATGTATTAAAATCTCTGCACTGGCTTGAGAGAGAAATGGTCTGACTCTGGCAATTTTTTTTAGATGATAAAAACCAGATTTAGTGATGGACCTGATGTGTGGCTCAAAGCTAAGCTCACTATCAAGAATAACTCCTAAACTTTTCACCCTCTCACAGGGGTTCAGTGAGGAGGTTTGGAGCTTAGCTTTGAGCCTCTCTCTCTGAGCTTCAGGACCAATTATTAAAACCTCAGTTTTGCCCTGGTTGAGCTGGAGGAAGTTTGCTGCCATCCAGGACTTAATATCTAAAATGTAGTTAAAAAGGGTGTCGATCGGGCTTAGGTCATCAGGAGACACAGTGATATAAAGTTGGGTATCATCAGCGTAGCTATGAAAGTTAACACCGTGTCTCCTGATGACCTGTCCTAGTGGCAGCATGTAAAGATTAAAAAGGGTTGGACCTAAAATTGAACCTTTTTGGAGGGAGTATGGCTGGAAGAACACTGTAAGGTATTTTGTAACGCCGGCACAGAGAAAAGGGGGGATATCAAATGTTGAAGGTCCTGTGGCACGGATATAGCGGCTCACTTGCATATCTTCTGGGGATGCCCCGTAATACAGCAATATTGGCTAGATATAAAAAAAAAAAAAAAGATTGATGAGGTCTTTAAAATGAATATTCCAACGACTTTTGAAATTATGTATCTTGGTATAATTGATATTCTGAATTTGAAAAGATGGGAAGATTATAAAATGTTAAGAATTATGCTGTTACCAGAACACGGCGAAGTGATCTGAGGCCTAAAATGGAAGAGTGGTTTGATATAATATTAAGTATTTATAATATGGAAAAACTCACTGTCTCAGATTGGAAGGTCATAAATTTAAGAAAATTTGGAAAGGATGGTTACATTATATTAAACAACATAGATCTGATTTTGTGTAGAAACTGTATGAGTGTCTGGATAACAAAGACTGAACTTACACCCCAGTTTAAAGCTACGATGTTTTATTTTATGTTTTGAATGACTTGTTCTTATGAAAATGACATTACAGTTTGTGTAAGTAAGAATGAGAAATGTGGAAATGCTAAACTATATATATTGGACATTTAGACGTGACTTAATCTGGACAGTTTGTAAATTACTTTGTGTGTCCTAATTGTCATGTAAATCCACATAGAGACAATAAAATACAAATGTATGTAAAAACTGAACCAGTATGTTAAACCAAATGTGGGTGTTAAATTTCAGCAGAGTGTGGAAAACCGTCCCGCCACTCCCCCAGTGTTTAAGACCCCCGCCCGGGCAAACCTGTCCACAAAGAAGGATCCGCAGAGCCTGAGGAGAAGGAAAGCTCTGGAACACCTGAGCCAGTACCCTCCTCCTCCCCCCCTGCCCCCACTCAACACGACCGTCTCACCCAGCGTCAAAAAGACCTTCTGCCCCCCGCGCCGCTCCCTCGCCCCCGGCCCCCCCGCAGGATCGGCTGGCCCCGCCCCTGTGGAGGAGGGCTGGGTCCGCGATGAGGAGCTGGCGCTGATCGATACTCAGGAGCTGTGTGTGGACGATTTACCCATGGACTGACTCTGGTGTTTGTCTGTAATCAAACAGGCTGTACATTTGTTCATTTGTTCTGTGCTCTTATTCTAAATTATAAAGCTTGTCCACACATGTATGTATTGTTGTTGATAATAAAAAGATACACTATCTTTTCTACCTCTGGGGATTCATATAATATTTAAGAACACTTTTATTAAATGGCTAAATATTTTTGGACTCCACAGTCATGGTGAAATCTAATATAGTTATTAACAAACATACAGCCATATTGTAGGACAGAAAAAAATGACTTGTGTACGCTGAATTGAATTGGCTGTGACTTCTGCAGTTTCAGTTCAGTTGATTCTCATTGAAGACCAAACTACTGTACAGCTCGAACAGTGAAACAAAACCTTCCAAAACTATACATTTTACTTTATACATACACTGCTCAAAATAATTAAAGGAACACTTTGAAAACCTGTCAGATCTCATTGTCAGAATAAAGGATGCCACCTCTTTTAATGGAAATGAACAGGTGCTCTAGAGCGGCAACAATACACAGCCCCTAAAACAAGACTGGTTTTGTTGGTTTCATTTCAAGTTTCTCTGCTTTTCCTCTAGTGCTGCTTTGGCTACAGTGAAAATCACTACTGGGAGTATGAGCCCATTCCTTAACCATGCACAAGTTGCTCAGATTGTCCAACTTCTCCAGGAGTTTGACCCCCTCTCACCCCCCTCTCACATTTATGCTCCACTTTTGTGTGTGAACAGATCCATGCATTCCAAGTGTAGTGTCTGTCTGCAGATATACTTCCAGATGTGTAAATTGTCAAGGTTGCATTCTCTTAAATAACCACCAGAGGGTGCACAATTCAGAGAATTGACCGAAACAGGAATAAAATAGAAACCACAGCACTGTTACCAGTTGAGCCCTGTCAGCTGATTAGGGATAATCTTTTTAAGTTTGCAATGCAGCACATGCTCTCAGAAAATGGAAGAATCATTCTTTTAAATCTAAAACGGAGGGTAGAGTGCTCCAGGACCAGACAATCACACCTGTGACATATCACAATGACAGTGATGCAGGAAACAGTCCTTTACAGCTCTGTGTCAGCATGATTCTGCATCTCTATAGAAGGGTAAAAATGCTCTCAGGTCAGCTGACCAGCTCCCCAAGTAAAAAGAAAAAAAAAAGTATTCTAAAGTGTACTAAATCAAAGTACATTTAGTACACAAGTGTGCTTGAGATGATCATAGTAAAGCATGTTATTTTCAGTCTGCTATTTCCACAATAAGCACTCTAACAATATATCTTTAGCTCCACTTGAAACACACTAAAGTACAAATAAACACACTTAACTGTTATTTTGAACCCCCATAAGGTAGCACTAAAGTACACTTAAGTGTATTTCTTGGTGATGATTTCAAGTGTCTTTACAGTACAGTCTAGGTACACTTTAATACTATCGAAACATGTTTCATAAAACACTAATGTGGCTCTAAGTGACAGTAAGTGACAAACTCTCTCTATTGGTTAGAGCCTAAACAACACTGTACAAACATGCTCAAGTGATGTCGCTGCAAAGTGTCAGAACAAACAAATAACAATAAAAAAATAAGTGCATAGGCCTATTTGAAACATGCTGCAGGTGTGACTGTACATGATTATGACAGGATTTCTGAAATGCAGAAGTGGTACCAGGGTTTTGCATAACCACAGACCACAGGATGAAAAACTCTGTGTCTGACTTTCTCTTGATCCTTCTCGTGTGAAAGCAAAACCAAACTTGTTGAAAACTGCAAAATTTGCAAATTCTCACATATTCAAGGCCAAGTTGTTTATGTCACCAGAATTCAGAAGTAGAGCCTCTGTGTGTTTTGACAGCAGCCCAGCGACCACAGTGTGTGTCCTGTCACAGGCAGCATCTTTATCCCCTGAGGGAGGAATGTAAACACCAATGAACAGGACAGAAGTAAATATGGTTGGCAAATAATATGGACGCATTCCCAAAGCCAAAAGTTCAATTTCCGGTGAACAGATACGCTCTTTCACAGTGAAACGGCAGGGATTACACCACCTCTTGTTCACTAAAACAGTAATCCTGCTGCCCTTCTTCTTGCAGCTCAGAGGAGTGGTCAGTGGCTTTGAAATGGAGATTTACATCAGTCTGGGGTCCTGTGCTGCTCTCTCCAGTATTGGTACAGTCTCTTATGGTGTGGCTGTTTAGTTAATCCAAAGTAAATTATGGTACAAAAATCCAAATCTTAGTTTTACATCGTCAAGAGAGAGTGTTGGTCATTTATGGACTCAAAGTTTAAAAAATTATATAATTTTAATGACTGAATGATTATAATGACCTTTTTGTTGTAATGTTAGAACATATGTTTATGGATTTTACACTATTTACTATTTTTACAATATTTGACATTACCATTAACAGAATATACACCTTTTGTGAATGAAAGAGACACAAAACAGATGGACTGTCCCTAAGAGAGACATTATGTATCCTGATGGGACAGACACCACCGAAAAACCAAAACCAAAATTAAATCGTGTTCAGATCTTTATTTCTACTTTACTTTTTTGGCTAAAACAGTTACATATTGTGGCTTTATAATGTCCAAAATATAACATAGTGATCCACAGGTGTCATAGATTATAACTATATGCAGACAAAAGTACAATACGTCTTCCATATTAAAAATAAACAACATAATACAGATGCAGGTAGAAGATACCAGATGAGGTATCTTCTGCAGACCTTAAAGGGACAGTTTGGAATTTTGGACATAAGACCTCATTTCCTAGTGAGCCAGAGTGTTGGAGACGTGTGGAGACACTTTTTAAAATAATCCATCCATATCTTGTATTTGCAGAGGTCGCTGGTGCTAGGCTACTGCATGTCAATGGCCATAGTTAGCCTTACCCACTCCACAAAACACCTGAAGAAAATCTATTATAATGCCAGATATGATGTCGATGTAAATGTCTGCATCAAATAATTTTAGAAGTAAAACCAGCCTTGCATTTGAAGGATTTATATCAGAGCAGCAGTGAGTTGTTTTTCCTGACAGAGCTTGGCAGTGGCGGACTGATATATGAGAAAATAGTCCCTCAGCATGCAACGATTCATGCAATGTAAAGTTAGAATTAATGTTTGAAATAAAATCAACACAGACATCCACATGGACAGTCTGGTGTAATAATAAATTTGTTTTGGGTGTTTTGTGGAGTGGGTAAGACTGTTTTTAGTGGCAGGCTAACTATGGCCATTGACATGCACTAGCCTAGCACCAGCGACCTCTGCAAATACAAGGACTGGATCTAATATTTAAAAAAGTTTCTCCACACGTCTTCAACACTCTGGCTCACTAGAAAATGAGGCCCTATGTCCAAAATTTCCGAGCAGGCAGATGAGGACGGTCACATGTATCACTGGCAGCTCGTATCACATTTTAAAAGAGAGATTCTCCCTGATGCCCTCTGGATCCCCAGCAGGAAAACAAACAACTAATTCCTTTGTATGTACGCCTCATTTACACTTATGCTCTGCTCTAATGTCCATACTGTACAAGCACCTGACCTCTGTGTGTGTGTTCTTTTTATTCATTTGATTTAATTTTATTTATTGATACTTTGCAGCTGATGCCATCTACATTCCCTGAGGTTTGTGAAACTAACTGGAGGCTCTCGTGTGCCTGAAGCTCAAGTTTGACTTTAATCTGAGCTTTGTTTTAACATAATTTGACCAGAAAGAACTGATTTTAGATGGAACTACAATGGGTGAGTTTTGCAAAAAGTCAATCTAACCTTTATGTTGAAACTCAAACTCCTAAACAGGTTCATAAACACTCGTATTGATCACAGGCTCCTGAAAATGTTGTCTTTAAATACATTTTGTATTTTTTCTTGAGTTTTCAGACTGTTTTTGTCAGTGTGTTGCACCATGGTAACTGATAAACGTTCTGTCATATAGATAAATATAGAACTCCCCCAGCGCAATGTCACTGCAAGTATCAATGCAAAACAAACCAAACAGATACAAAATACTGACTAAACAAACAGGTGCACAGGTCCATTTGCATATCCTTTAGGCTGTGGTCTGTGGCTACAAACAAAACTCTGTCTATCTTTGTGTTGGTCTTCCCTTGTGAAAGCAGAACCACACTCATCGATAAACTCATCAAAATCCACATGAGAGATAAAGGAGGTGTTTCTGTGTGTGGTTTTGCTAATTCTGTCTTTCATATTCAAGTTACTTCTGCTTTCTCACAAGCTTTAACTCAACATTTACATCCAAAAAACTACAGATACAACTAAGTTACTACAGCTTACGTGTAATACTTTATACTACGTTTTAATTATTAAATTTTTACTGTGTGCTAATATACAGGGTGTCCCAAAAAATCTGACATCATTTCGCAGGCCACTAATTTTGGCAATTCTTGTTGAAATAACCTCAAATTTTCACAAAATATCGTATAGAAAACGATGTAGATTTTTGTTCTGTTTTCAGGTTGAGCCGTTACCTCCCAAAAAGAAGTCATTTTGGAGTCTGTTGCACACACTCACCCAAGACCGTGCAGACTTCAATGCAACATTTAGAGAAACTTCACCAGCTGGCAAACAAATTTGGGCTTGGTACCAAAAATGGGCTGCAAGACGAAGGGATCTGGTACCATCATCAACATCAGAAGAGAAGCTCGAGCAAGTTCATGAAAAATTCTTGTGAAGCCAAAAGAAATCCGTAAGGAGAACAAGTTTGGAAACCCAGATTCCTCGAATGATGGTTTGATGTACCAGATCCTATAGCCCCGCATAAGCTTTTCCTCTTAACATTTTTGGTACCAAAGTCCAAATTTGTTTGCCAATTCGTAAAGTTTTTCCAAATGTTGCATTGAAGCTGCACAGTCTTGGGTGAGTGCATGTGAGCAGATTCCAAGACGCAATATGACTTCTCTTGGGGAGTGAACGGCTCAACCTGAAAACAGAACAAAAATAAAAGATTAAATACAAAATATTGATCTGTTTCTATACATTCTGTGAAAATTTGAAGTTATTTCAACAAGAACTGCCAAAATTATTAGCCTGCGAAATGATGTCAACATTTTTGGGACAAGTGAAAAAGTTGCCTGCTTTGCTATGACACTTCTACTGCTTTAATACTTCTTTAAAGCTACTACAACTACTAATTCCAAGCAGCTCTTACTACAGCGTTGCCTGTGCTTTACATCAAGGAACCACCCACCCATTCATTCACACATTCACAAACCCGTTTACGCAGGCTGTGTGGGCGAAGGGGGTTAAGTCCTTTTGTCTTGTCCAAGGACACAACAACAGCATTCGTCTGTCACCTGGACCCAAGAGCAGGATTCAAACCACCAACCTTCTGATCAGTGGACCAAGATGCTACCAACTGAACTAGTGTCATCCAAGGATCCTACTGGAAGAGCTAGGAGGAAGTGTGTGTGGAGAGGGAACACGGCATATCTGCTCAGACTGCTGCCTGTGCAACTCAGCTCCAGAGAAACAGAAGAATATAGATGGGTTTGTTTGATTTTGGTGTATTTTTTTTGGGTGGGTCAGTTGTTGGGTCAGATGTTGGGGTGTTGAGTCGGTTGGTTGATGGGTTATTGGGTCGGTTGTTGGGATTGGTTGTTGCTTTAGTTGTTGGTTAGTCATTGGTTGGTTGTGGGTTGGTTGTTGGATGGTTGTTGGTTGGTTGTTGGTTGGTTGTGGGTTGGTTGTTGGGTTAGTCATTGGTTGTGGGTTGGTTGTTGGTTGGTTGTTGGTTGGTTGTTGGTTGGTTGTGGGTTGGTTGTTGGGTTAGTCATTGGTTGGTTGTTGGGTCAGTTGTTGGGTTGGTTGTTGGATTAGTCATTAGTTGGTTGTTGGGTTAGTTGTTGGTTGGTTATTGGGTTAGTCATTGGTTGGTTGTTGGTCAGTTGTTGGGTTAGTTGTTGGTTGGTTGTGGGTTGGTTGTTGGGTTAGTCATTGTTTGGTTGTTGGTTTGGTTGTGGGTTGGTTGTTGAGTTAGTCATTGGTTGGTTGTTGGGTCAGTTGTTGGGTTGGTTGTTGGGTTAGTCATTGGTTGGTTATTGGGTTAGTCATTGCTTGGTTGTTGGGTTGGTTGTTGGTCAGTTGTTGGGTTAGTTGTTGGTTGTTTGGTTGGTTGTTGGGTTGGTTGTTGGTCAGTTGTTGGGTTAGTTGTTGGTTGGTTGTGGGTTGGTTGTTGGGTCGGTTGTTGGGTTGGTTGTTGGGTTAGTCTTGGGTTGGTTGTTGGGTTAGTTGTTAGTTGGTTATTGGGTTAGTCATTGGTTGGTTGTTGGGTTAGTCATTGGTTGGTTGTTGGGTTGGTTGTTGGTTGGTTGTTGGGTTGGGTTGGTTGTTGGTCGGTTGTTGGATCGATTGTTGGCTTGGTAGTTGTCAAATTGTCAACAGTGGCGTAGAGGTGAACATGGTTCTCCACAGCGGTGTTCCCCACTAAGCTGTAGGTCACCTCACTCTGATTGATCTGAGCAGAGGGGACAAGACAATATAATTATAATAATAAAAAACAATGTTCCCACATATGTTGATCCTGATCATAAATAATTGAATCTGCTATATTATATTACAACATAAATCTGCATATTCATATTTACAGCCTCAGTTTTAGTTTCAAAGACATGAATATCTGAACTAGTCATTCCTCACATCATCTGCACGTCATTATCCAGTCTGTTTTGAATACAGTCACATCAGTGAGTCAGTCAAACCATACTAGTCTGTTGGAGCATGAAACACACCCTCCACCACATCCTCTTTACTCTGTGACAAGCATGTCGGGCACGAATCTAGTCCTGGTTTATTCCTGGTTCAGTTCTAATCTTGAAATACTAATAACCAAAGAGATCATTTGACTAGAAATATAAAAGTCCTTTATTTGAATGTTTGACATCTGGAGGTCTTCAGGTTATGACACAAAAAGAGGATTATATTGTGTTTAATGTTATGAACTAGATTCTTTACAAGAAGGATTGATTGGTGCACATCATTGTTTCACACTAGTCCTGGTTTAAAAATACTTTAGTCCCAGTTTAGTCTCGGTCTAGTCCTTACCTCAGTTCTTTGGTTGTTCGTACTGTGGCTGACAGTGGTGTAGGCCACTACTTCTTCAAGTTCAGCCTTTGAAGAAAACATTCACATGTATTTATGGATGTATTTGTCCTTCACGAAAATTATTACAACTCTACAACAACATATAAAGGAGCCTTTGAACATAGGGAGATATCAATCATGCCCAGGCAAATTCTTGGTAGTTTTTAGCAAAATAAATGAAGTTTGTTGTCGGGTTTTACAGCAGTTTGCCTGTTACACAATTAATACCAGTTTGGGTTCACTCTTTATATTTTTAGATTCTATTATTTGTCCTCTTGAGTCTGCAATGCTGCCTGTCTGACCCTCACCACCCCAAATGTCTCATTCACCATCACATAGAGCTCAGCATGAAGCATCATCAGCCAAAACAATGTAAAAAAGTAGCCTAAATGAAGATCTATGGAACAACCCCATAGTAAATATTCTCCAAATAAGTCAGATGATGATTTATCGACTCAAAAATGCACATCACAGCTACCTATGACGTCACAATTAGGGGAAATTTGAAACATGCTAAAATGTTATACTTATATAACATGGTTTAAAGCTCAGGAAATTATATTTTGCATGATATATCTTCATAGGTTAACTGAAAATGTCATTATGTATGACCTTGGTAAGGTTTTTGCCCAGTGATACAACAATTGAAATCACTGTACAACCTCTCTACCATCAGAAGGGCAACTTTGGTTCCATTGTTTTTCTCCACACATTTTTGTAAACTTCACACGATGAAAAAAAAAAAAAAATTTAACTTACAGAGGGGTCTCTTCTGGTGCCTGCACGCTTCTCTGTAAACAAACACACATGTATGCTATTATTCATAAATAAGGTAAGAAAATACTGCATTGTCAGATGTCAGAATAAAACTTTCAGCCCCCAACAGTAGCTTCCCTATGGATCTCATTCAGCAAAATGTGTTTTATAATGAACAGGCACCCAACAACTGTATAGTAGGACTGAGAAAATGTCACCCATGGCGTTCGGTTCCAGTCAAATGAAACTTATCGAGGCTGGCAGCTATAGACGTGAATCTGGAGTCAAGATCCATATTTGGAAAATCCTGGCATGTGCATTATAGCAAAAAAGCCAATTAGAAGTGAGGATGATGAAGGTGAAATACTTGAATAAATCGGCGAAAGAGGGCACCTGATTGTTTTGTTGCAAGTGAAATAAAAACACCAGAACCGTGTAGAGCGGTTTAACTCAAACATTTGAAGGTCAGAATGGCGAGCCTGAAAGCAGTTAGGCAGAGGGACGACGGTTATTCAATTAAAAGTGAATTTGAGCCAGAGTCGACAGAGCCTAATCACGCCCATACTCACTTTTTATTTGGAAAGCAGTGGTTAGTTTATGGGTGCACCATGTACTTTTTCCAGGCCAAATAACATCTCCAAAGATACAAGTAGGTGCACTGCAAAAAAGCTTGGCTCATCTATCCATGCAGGAAGGTCATTTTACTTGACAAGTTATCTTAAATTAAACCACCTCTAGACTAGAATTAAGTCTCTGAACTATTAAGTAGATAATAATAATCTGAAAACAAGATGAACTGACTGGGCCTCCAGCGCGTATCTCACCTACGTTCGTTATGACCTCAACGATCTCTGTCTCTGTCTCTGTCACCCATAGTCTCAACCCAGCCATCTCTGCCCTGCTTCGTACATTATCAATAAACTTCTTCGCCCTATGTCCTTGTTGGTGTGGTCCTAGCTAGTGAAATAAGTTTTAAAATCTTGGCCAGATCAGAGAAATTTGCCGCGTGTCAGAGCCTCCACCAGAAAAGTTACTCAGCGCTCTTTTACAAACCCACAAGTTCCTCCTCTAACCTCAGTCCTCTGTTGTGTCCCACATAAATACAGTTTTGTGTGTGATGTAGTTTCACCTCTGCATCTCCTACATGTGACTACGACCACCACAGTGACAAGCACAAGCAGAAGTACTCCAACTACAGCCGCTACCACTGCCCACAGCCAACCTGCACACAAAATCACACAGTAAAAGTACTGTACTTATACACACACAAGTTCAACACAGTAACAGTAACTAAGCATAAAAGTAAAAGTACTGTAGGCCTACTTATGCACATACACATTCAACATAGTAACAGTAACTAAGTATAAAAGTAAAAGTACTGAACTTATGCACACACACAGTTTACTTTGTACGTCTAAAGCAGGGGTCCCCAACCTTTTTCCTCCATTGAGCTACTTTTACAAAACAAAAATGTCTGAGAACTACTAGTTTTAGCAGTCACAAGAAATTGAGTAAATATAAGAGCCACGGCGAGCCTTAGATGAGGTACAACTAAATGCCTATAAAACATAAACCATTATCCACTTATTAGAGTTCAAAGTTAGACATCAAAATGATACATGTACAGTGGTAATAGGCATTTAATTACTGTATTTTTCGGACTATAAGTCGCACTTTTTTCATGGTTTGGTGTTTCCTGTGACTTATACTCTGGTGTGACTTATATATTAAAATGTTCACACTGAAGCGTCAAGAGGCTCTAGTCTTGTGTGTCAGTATCTGCTGCTCCTGTTCCTCCTGTACCACTGTCACTTCACTCTACTGCACATGTCTCCTGCAGAAAGAGCCTCTGTCCTGCTGCAAGTAGTGAAATTTTCAGCCGAAAACAGTAATGGAGCAGCAGAAAGAAAGTTTGGAGTGAGCGAGAAACTTGTGAGGAACTGATGGAAAGTGGGGTTGGAGAACACAACTTTACTGCAACCGGGAGGATGCACCATGAAACTTTCCTGAAGTCACTGGATGGATGGACAAAGCCTGGACTTCAGTGACACTGAAACCATCCTGTCGGGATTCAGAAAGACCAGAATAATTCTAACTGGAACTGATGCTGAGTCTGACGACAGCGACACAGAAGAGGAAGCGGCGCTCTGTTTACCTCCGGAGGTCGAGGAGTTGCTCAGAAGTGACACCGAGGATGAAGAATTGGGGGATTTAGTGATTTGGAGTGAGATGGAGAGTTTGGTAAACTTGTTCTGTTCTGTTGTTTATGTTAATAGTTTATCTGAAGAACTGTTCATATGTGACGTTTACAGTCTGTTGTTCTCTGTTCTGTTGTTATTACTACAACTTGACTTTCAAGATGAAATGTCGCTTCCTGGTTTCTGATTTTATCAAATAAATTTCCCCCAAAACGTGCCACTTATAGTCCGGTGTGACTTATATATGTTTTTTTTTTCTTCATTATGCATTTTTTGGCTGGTGCAACTTATACTCAGGATTGACATATAGTCCGAAAAATACGGTAATCAAATTTTACTTATTCAGCACAATATGTGTAATTCAAAAATCCCTTGGTGAGCTACTTGGAAGAAGGTGGACAGCTACCAGTAACTCCCGAGCTACAGGTTGGAGACACTTGCTCTTAAGAATCACAAGCAATAGTACAAGTACTGTATTAGGTGGTATTATTTACTGTATATGTCACCCATGAGTGTTTGTGTACTTTAGTGATCTCTCTCGGGTCCTGTTTCTACCACCATTAAGGATTAACAGTCTGATCCTATTCAAAACTCAGGCCACAAGCCAACATCCCCCACGACATTTTTCACAAATATACAAAAGCATGAGACAGTGTAATCCTTCATTCATTCAAGAGTCTTCAATGTAGAGAAGGTTTCTGGACTCTGTATCTTTCCAGTCAGTCTGTGATGGAGTGTTAGAGCCATTTGAGAGAAAAGCACAAACATCCTCAAACAAAATGGTCTGTGTTTCTTCTGTTTCTCAAATAGGTTCAAATACGTACCTCTGTCTGTTTTGCCATGTTTGATTAAGTTTGTTCGGGTGCTTCACCTTTGGCTTTGGCTCACACCTCTGTCATGTTACACTTGTCTACATGAACTACAGGAGCTTTAGTCGTGTTTAGACCTGCTTCAGTCTTTGGTTCTGGCTCACCTGGAGTTTCTCTGGTGTCTTTTTCTTCGTTCTTTGCCTGGGTTGTTGTAGTTTTCGTTATGGTCTTCACTGAAAAGAACAAAACATGTAAGCAAAAACAGAATTTTAAAAGTTTATGATACACACATCTATCTACAGACATTTTTAGTTTCACTCAAGTTTCACTCAAGGACCAAACAATCAACTGTAAGCCTTGTCTAAATTCAAATGGCACATATCTGGTTTTGCTATGAACACGTACTTCAATGTCCTGATTTTCACTGTTCAAATCTTTGAAACTTTATAGTATTTAGTTACGCTAAAGTGATCCTTTTTTCCCACACTGACTCCTGGTCTCACCTGGTTTGTTGGATCTGAAAGAAAACTCCTTCTTGTCCAGTTGATGAGACACTTTACATGTGAGCCGATCCGTGAGTTTGTAAACGCGATGTGATTTTGGAACTGGAACAGTGATGCCATTTTGAAGGTCTGTTGTGTTTAATTTTTCAATATTGACGTTTCGGCCGTTGAAGAGCCATTCTGTTTTGACACCAGAGAGAGCAGGAGACACTTGACATCTGAACTCAGTGTTCTCCTCATGTTCCTCTTTAGTCACTGTGAAAAACAAGACACTTCTGTCAATGTACATAACGTACTGAAAATCAGTTATTGTTCAATACTAAAACTAGTATCGAAACTAGATTCTAGATTTTAGATTCTCATTTGAGCAGGTACTGATAATAAAAAAGTCATGTTCACAGGACAGAATGAACCTTTCCTGAGTAGTTTTAGAATGATGTTGAGCTGTATCAGAGTAGAAGAGCACATAGACGAGTTCACACATGGACACTATGAACCTACTGCACTATGAGGGATTACACACATATAACACACATGGAATAGGAAAGAAAATACTACCATTTAATGTTGAAAATCATATTCTCTTTTCTAAAGAAAAAATGTTTTTTTCATCATCTTCCATCCGAATCGGTATTGAATTTATTCCATAGTACTGGCATGAAGTGACCACACTAGAAGGAGGTTGTGGGTTAAACTCCTGATCTAACAATGAAATACTCACATGAGACCACAGACAGATACACACGAGCCTCAGACAGGCCACGTTCTGATTGGTCGTATTGTTCGTAGCGTCCAGCATCCTGAGGATGGACATTTTGAATCTGCAGACCACACTTCTGTGTCACTCTGAGTCGATTTGACAGAGTCTGTGGGAGATTGGAGCTGATCTTTCCATTTGTAATAAGTTGTTTGTTTTTTAAAGTCCATGTGGTTCCATCACATTCTCTTTGTTCATCTTTTACATCGTTACAGGGCAAAATAATATGTTCCCCCTCTTCCACAAACTCATGTCGAGCTGCTGCTGATTCTGTAGAAAACAAACCATAAAAGAAAGAAAAGATTGGTTATATTACAGGAAATTAACCAGCAACCCTGAGCAAAACAACAGAGCTGCCTCAACATCTCACATCATATATTCTATCCCAGAAGTTCAACTGCTCAAGAGAGAGCAGTTGGTAGAGACAGCTGCTGGTTCAATTCCCCCTAGTGGCATTGCAGACTGCTGCCTTTGTGTCCTTGGGCAAAACACATCAACCATGTTACTGCTGGTAGATCAGTAGCAGGTACAGACTGAATGTTATTCTTTTTGGTACTTTCTGTTGTTAAATCCCACACATGAATGTACTGAATAAAAAAAGTATTCAATTATGTTTTGAAGGAAGAAAATATCTACCAGTAGAATGCTTCACAATATAGCATTAAACAGATGCCACCAGGTTAAGTTACAGATCAGATCTGTGGAGAGGCGACCCTGCTCACAGTAAAAATGCATAAGATCTCAATGGTGAATGTAATAAAATAAAATGTGTTTAAGCTAAAGTTGTCCTGCTCCAGTATGAGCAGCTCTTGGGATCAGAGGGATACAGACGACTCCTGTCTGTGTCATGTCAGTGTCTGTAGGATTTCAGCAGATTTCAGACTTTCCCGGGGGCGGGGATAGGTGTATGGATCAGGTATGAGTGAATGTCCAGACCCTGAACTTTGAGACATTTCTTCTCGTCATTTACGCACTCACCTGCATTTAACTTATATAAGTTATTAAGTGTATCTAGGGTAGTTCAGATGGATGATATCATCGTCGAGCCACGCCCCCCTCCTCTCTGAAACACGCACTGATCTTCTGTAGGCCTAGTTTACCTAAAGACTTTGCAGGGATTGTACTGTAAATTAAATCACCAATAGAACAAATATACAGCTCTTTGAAGTCCCTTCAGAGACATGACGTGTGTCTGTGAAACACCATGTGGCTACACAAATGTTATTCATCTCAACCTCATTGTTGTTTTTTACATGTCTTACACTAGACTTTTAACTAAAATACTTTAGAAGGTCCAATAATAACTGGTACTAAAATTACTTGTACTAAAAAGTTCAAGCTCTTCAGTTTGAGCCAACACATTCACGCATCAGTTTATGAGCAGTGCAGGTCTCAGGCGTCACAACTGAGCTCTGTGCTAATGTACTGCACAAACATGCTCATGTTTAACATGTTCAGCATGTTCTACATGTGTCCTAACAAAGTGCAGTGTGTCTCTCACCACTCAAACAGAAGAAACAGCTGCAGAGTTAAACTTATATCCACCCGAAAACATCCGTTTATAGTGTCTCAAAGCCAAAGTGCATCATAATAAATCCACAGCCAGTCACAGCCTGCAGTGCCAGCGTCAAATTTTAGCCAAACAGAGAAAACCAACCAAAACTCCACCAAAATCCTGCTCCTCATTGGTAAATATTTCTAGTGTGGAGCGAGTGTGCGTAAAGATGTATCCAAACAGGTCTGCATAAAGTTCTCCATAATTCTCCTCCGTCCAGGTCACGCGGAGTAAAGGTTTAAAGTTTTTCATCTAAACAAGAACACGTGCGTCATGATCTGCCTTTCATATAAAGAGAGAACAAGAGAAACAAAAGTGAAACTGAAGCACACGTCAGGCAGAAGCAGTGTCCCTCTGAACAACCAACTGCTGCACCGTTGGACCAGCTCTTCTTAAATGACAAAATTATACATTTTAAGTAGAAACCCCCCCCCCCCCCCCCCCCCCATTACACCGTCCACCACGATGATTCACTGTGAACATCGTCAACTGCCAAGGGGACACGCCCAAGACAGTCTATCCCACTCACTAATGTTCATTTAGCATTATAACTAAGTCTACATTCAGACTGCAGGGCTTAATGCTCAATTCCGATTTTTTTGTGAAATCCGATGTTTTTTCGAGGTCGTTCACATTTCCAATTAAATGCGACTTGTATGTAATCAGCTGTGTGAACGTAAAACGGCCCGAAAGTGTCCCACATGTGCACTGGAGACACGATGACGTCAACCACAGCGAGCGTCTCTGTGTTTACAGAAGTTGTCCAAACATGGACGCAGCATCGAGCACCTGGAGATTTTAAAGTTCCTCTCGTACCGGAGCCAGAACATGAACAACTTACTTGTTTTAAGGAGGAGATTGAGAAGGAGAAGGACGAGGTTTTTGGCCGTGGTGTTTTGTGGAGCAGCGGCAGCGACGTCCGTTGAAAGGAACGTGTGGAGTTCATTAACAATTTTCGCCTACTTCAGCGCAGAATAGTGACGTTTGTGTCTTGTTGATAACGTGTAGGTGGATGAATGCACTTTGACCGTTCAGACTGAAGTCGCAAGTCAAAAGATCAGATATGTGTCAGTTTCAGGAGCACATATCCAAGTGTCCTGGGTCACATTTGAAAAATTTGGATCTGTGCCGTTCAGACTGTCATTAAAAGATCAGATACAGGAACATAGAAGCCAAAAAATCGGATTTAGGTCACTTCAGGCTGCAGTCTGAACGCAGCCTGACTGTTTTAGTGCTGACAACATCTCTCATGTCTCTAGTGTTACAACTTCATGTGAAGCGCACAGACAGACAGCAGCGTCACCATCCACCATCCACTGTGCTGATAAACTAATAAACCATCTTGAAGTCTGCTGTGTCCTGTTTGCATCTAATTACAAAGTGATTACTTGTCAGAGTAATAGGAGGTATGTGGTTAGCATGCTAGTTTTTGTTAGAATTACCGTGGCAGCAAAACTCCACCCTGATCTGGTCTCTGAGACTGAAACGTGATTATTCACTTGGCAGTGAATCATTGAGTAAATGGGGAATAACTTTGGGCCACTGTAAACCGCCCTGATGGAGATTAAGTAGTCAAAATGCGTTGGCGTGACTATTAATAAATTCACCGCATCAAAGCAAGGGAGGGATCAGGATTTTGTTTGTTGTCGCTCCACATACAAAATGTTGGCTGCAAACTTGGGATGATTTCTGAGGCAGTCAAAGGTTTCCTCTTTGGTTCTTCCTGTGTGTCAGTCCTGCCCATCACCTTCACCTTTCACTATTTTTCAATTCCTTTGGGAAGAGAAATAGTTTGAACGGAGGTTTACAGTCACACACATCTGATTCACTTTTGCATTTATGGAGTTTGCAAACAAATTTCTCGAGCCATTTTTCACTGTTAGGATCCAACAACCACACAATTAACGATGTCCGAATCCCAAAACTAAAATATGACAACACCAGAACCAGAAACAAAAGTGATATGTTTCAAAAGACTTGAAAAGATCGACTTTGTCAATAGACACATCCCACTGGGAAAACAAACATGGCGGTTTGATGCTCACTTTTTCAGAGGATCCTTCCCAGTATGAATTGCGCGATGACCGGAAGTCCAAAATTCGGGATGCAATTATTGGATCATATTTGCCTGTTTGTAAATGTATGTGTATGATCATGTAACTGAAAACTGCTAAATCATTTCAAATGTACTTGTCAAAATGTTTCACAGGGTTTCTCATTTCAGGATGAGAAGGTTCCATCTGTGAAAGACTTCCCAGAACATTCACTGTGCCAAAAAATGACACAAATTTCACTTTCTCACTTGAGGCTGTCCAGGAGGTGGCCTGTATTTCAATGTATCAAATAAATGTAGCCCCTCTTGTATTTCTATTGTACAAGTGATCAAAAGGTTAAACCTAAATGTCTCAGAAGTACCCGGAATGCCGACAGAACCTTCTAATTCTAAAAAGACGCTAGGGTTAGAGCCGCTGCAGCTCCAGGTGTGACTCCAGGCAACTGTTTAAAGACCAATAACAACAGAAATAATGCACAATATTTGTTCTTTCAATGTCTGAACACAACATACAAAGGGCAAATTAAAAATGAAAGTCTCATCATTACTTTTAGAAAAATGCTTTTTTTTTTTATGATGTCCAGATGTGCTGCAGCCCTTTAGTCGTGTGAACAAGTGAAACAAACACATGAAACAAAATGCAAAACAGCAACAAGAGTTCACTTTCAGATGAAACGAAAACGAATCTTATCCAAATAGAAACACTTTTGGTTTGACATTTGAAATTTCAGTTGAATCATTTCACATTTGAGACGATGAGTGCAGCAGCATTTAAACAGGTGATGGTCTCTTACCTGAGCAGAGCAGAAGAGTCAGAGTGAGAAGCACAGGTCTGAACACACACAGAGACATCATGATTGTGACGCTTGTGCTTCTTTCTTTCTTTGTTTTTTTCTAACTTCCTCTAAACATGCTGCACGTCAAACCTCAGAGCATCCGGATGAACAAAGGTGCAAAACTGACTGATGTTAATGTTTTTATCATTTGATCCTGTGCAGTGTTGGGAGGGTTACTTTTAAAATGTATTCCCCTACACATTACAGATTACATACCCCAAAATGTAGTTTGTAATGTAATCCATTAAATTACTTAAAGTGAGTAATGTAATCTGAATACTTTGGATTACTTGATTTTATGTAGAGAAGCAAAGACTCAGATATCTTTACATAAGAAGTTTTGTCTGCTAAAAGAAAATAAAAAGCCCAGACTTTACTGAACCAAATTAAAAATCCTATTTTAGTCCTGGTTTTAGTCCTGGTTTAGACCTGGTTTAGACCCTCAGCAAAATGTCCAAAATGAGAAAAGTGGAGCCGAGTGCAGGATTTTCCAAGAAAAATGGACTTATCCCTATTTACATACAAGTTCATGTTAAAACATTGCGTTGAAATTGCATTTTTCTTGAAGTTACAGGTTGTTCATAATAGAGCCCGACTGATATGGATTTTGCTGTGGCCGATATGAAACCGATATAATGAAAGTTGGAGCTGCCGATAGCCGATATAATCGCCGATATATTTAGTGATGTAAAAATTCACTGTAAATGTTGAATTGTTTAAAAAACTTAGGTTTGGCTCTGGTGGATTTTAAATTGGGTTTATTTAGGCAACATTTATTGTTATTCTGCCTCTTTACATCATATTTACAGACAGTAGGTTGGTTTTAATGGCATTTTTGCATCACATTCTAGACACTCGTGATGGGTATTCCAGTTCTTTTTAGAGAACCGGCTCTTTTGGCTCGGCTCACTAAAAGCTGCTGGTTCTTTTGGCTCCCAAGCGGCTCTTCAGATTGTTTTGTTGCAAGCAGGTCCAAAGGAGGACTAAACCAAAACTGAACCAGGACTGAACCAGGACTGAGCCAGGTCTAAACCAGGACTGAAAAAGGACTGAACCAGGACTGAAACAGATCTAGACCACGTGTAAAACAGGACTAAACCAGAAGTGAACCAGGACTGAGTGTCGGGACTCGGTCTCTATCTCGTGCCCAAGATTAGTCCTGGTTTATTCATTTTATGCTAAACTGCAGCCAAATATGCTCTCTTTTTTTTTTTTTATCCTATGTACACACAAATTTCTCAAAGTTTCGTTTTCAGCCGCTGCCGCTGTCAAACTACGAGTCTGCATGCGGCGTGAAGATAAAAAAAGTGAGAGAAAGAGAAAACACGGCTCCCAATAAGGATCAGGCTCCTGTCATTCCCTTCAAAGAGCCGGTTCTAAGAGCCGCTTCGTTCGCGACCGACCCATAACTAGTAAATAAACAATAGCTATTAGCCTTTAGCCGTAAATACGTGCGCGCCGCGGTAATTAATTATATGCTCAAATGTCATAATTCACACGTCTATTCACAGCTCATTTACATATCAGTGCAGGTCCAGTAACAAATATACGGCCAATATAATCAATTTAGAACAGACCAATAGAAAACAGCCTGTTTATGTGCGGGAGCTACAGCAGCTAACCCATAACAAATGACAAAAACTAGCTTCAAAGTCGACATATTTCCAACACTCACCGCTCATACAGGCTCCTCCCACATCACAAATCTGCACTAATAAATGTCCTTTTAATCCAGACTCAAACCGATTGTCCGTAAAAAGAATATAATCTCAGTGTTTGGATCTGTGTCTGCAGGTGTAAACAAACACACGTGAGTGACGCGACTCTGTGGTGTGTTCAGGGACAGTACGTGACTCTGTGGTGTGTTCAGGGACAGTACGGACGCACACAGACAAATGACTCCACAGATAAATACTGATGTGGAGCCACATATGAGGACATTTATCTGTCTGTAAATTGGATTAAATGAACAGAATGTAGAGAGTCTATGTTTTATAACGAGGTGTAACATGCCCACGTGAAATATCGGCCCCTATCAGCAAGAATATCGGCCGATACATGATATGCCTCCAGGTGCCTATATCGGCCAATAATATCGGCCGGGCTCTAGTTCATAATATTATAATATTTTATAAAAGAAAGAGTTCATCAATTTAAAAAAAAATCTGGAATAGATTTGTGTTTCTCTGCACAAATATTTGAACTTATTATTATTTTTGGAGGTTTATTTGCTATGAGTTTTCTGATCCGACCCCTTTGGGATCAAAGTAGGTTGGATACGGCCGCCAAAATGAGTTTGACACCACTGGTTTAGTGTATTCTGATTCCTGACCTAGTGAGAGAAATGAAATTGAGCGGAGGCACTAGGTAGCTCCAGCCTGACTACCGAAATACAAGGACTGGATGGAATACTCAATACGTCTCCAACACATGCTTTTGTCATAGGAGCTAAGAGGATGTATGGTGCTGTCACAGTTGATACACATCTAAATGACCAAAAACTATGATTTCTGTCTTCTGCTTATTTAAACTGAGAATGTTTGTCTGCATCCATTCTTGAACCTCAAAGCAGCTGGTTTGAAGTGGGAGGTAGATTTGCTTAACTAAATGGAAGTACTACTCGGCTCTAGTGTCTGAAAAGAGTTCTGTGATGTCTGCAGGTAAAAAGGAGAAGTCTAGAGTTTACAGATAAACACATTTTAGGTGTTAAAAACTTTCAGAGAGATGAAAATAACACAAAGACAGAACGTCCAGTACAATCTGTTTCTGATGATTCTGCACTTCACAGGTCAAATTCTGTTTTTCATTTTATATTCTTATGTTTACTGTGACCATAATATGTTAAACTGGTGTGCACAGTTCTTCACAAGATTCTTCTTGTTTCTTCTGTAAATGAATTCTTTCCAGGTCCAGTCTCTGGTTGGGTCTTAGAGTAGGCTAGACGTCTTTGCTTAGTTCTGGTTGATTCTTGTTTTAACTGGCTCTGGTTTCATTTTATTTTATTTTTTTATCTGATGAGCCAGTCCCATCTACAGTTTTTTTTTCAAATCCAGAAGAAACTGGAATCAGACCATAAAGCGTTAAAAACTCTGTCCAAACTTGAGATGATCCGACCACAGCTGCTCAGTTGTAACACGTGTCACTCAAATGAGGCAGACAGCTCATTTTGAACATTCTCTTATCATTCAGAACAAAAGACCACAGCAGGACTAAACCAGAACCACACCAGGACTAAACCAGAAACCAGGACACTAAACCAGAACCACAACAGGACTAAACCAGAACCACACCAGGACTAAACCAGAACCACACCAGGACTAAACAAGAACCACACCAGGACTAAACCAGGACTAAACCAGAACCACACCAGGACTAAACCAGAACCACACCAGGACTAAACCAGAACCACACCAGGACTAACCAGAAACCAGGACTAAACCAGGACTAAACCAGAACCACACCAGGACTAAACCAGAACCACACCAGGACTAAACCAGGACTAAACCAGAACCACAACAGGACTAAACCAGGACTAAACCAGAACCACACCAGGACTAAACCAGAACCACACCAGGACTAAACCAGGACTAAACAAGAACCACACCAGGACTAAACCAGAACTAAATTAGGACTAAACTAGAACCACACCAGGACTAAACCAGAACCACACCAGGACTAAACCACAACCACACCAGGACTAAACCACAACCACACCAGGACTAAACCACAACCACACCAGGACTAAACAAGAACCACACCAGGACTAAACCAGAACCACACCAGGACTAAACCTGAACCACATGAGGACTAAACCTGAACCACAACAGGACTAAACCAGAACTAATTTAGGACTAAACCAGAACCACACCAGGACTAAACCAGGACTAAACCTAAGCCACACCAGGACTAAACCAGGACTAAACCGGAACTAAATTAGGACTAAACCAGAACCACACCAGGACTAAACCAGAACCACAACAGGACTAAACCAGAACCACACCAGGACTAAACCAGGACTAAACCAGAACCACACCAGGACTAAACCAGAACCACAACAGGACTAAACCAGAACCATGCGGGGACTAAACCAGGGACCAGAACAGAACTAAACCAGGACTAAAGCAGGTACTAAACCAGATCCAGCCCAGAATTAACCCAGGATTAGACTCAATTTAAAATAGAAAGAGGGTTGAGGATGGGAGGGCATCTGATACAAGAAGGACTATCTGTTTCTTTTTCCCGTCAACAGGAAGAGCGATGGGCGCTGAGCCCGTGTGTCCCTCGCCCCACTGCGCTTGTGCTGTGCGCCGCCGTGTCCCTTAAGCCGCGGCGGCAGGTAAATCCAGCCCTGCTACAAAGTGCCACCTGTGCCAGTCTTTCTAAACTGTGTTATGTTTATAGCGTGCGCCGGTCCACGTTGTTTGGACCACGTCTGGACGCAGTAGTGATGCGTAAATGCGCACTGTCACTTCAACTGCGGTATGTGTTTATCCCAGAATCTTGTACTGCAGGCTCAGATTTTAATTCCAGCAATTAACTTTGTGGGTGTCAGCGGGGCCTGCAGCGGCGTGAGCACACCGCCTCTGCTGTTTTGTTTTGCTTTAAGTTTGTTTTAGTTTAGTTTTAGTTCTGTTTTGTTTGTTTTGTTGTTTCTGGTTTTGGGGTTTAGCTTTTTGTTTTCAATATTTTGTACCTGTTCCTCCCACTGTCGGGTTTTACAGTTTTGCCTATTTTTATGGATGTAGCCACTTTTAACAACTTAAATCTGTCTTTTAAAACAGAGAAAATAAAGATTGTGTAAATGATGGAACCTGGCTCTCCCCTCTCAATGATACACTTACATGTGTGCCTTACATATTTAGACTCTATTTCCATCCATCCATCCATCCATTTTCGTCCGCTTATCCGGGGCCGGGTCGCGGGGGAGCAGCCTAAGCAGGGACTCCCAGACTTCCTTCACCCCAGACACGTCCTCCAGCTCCTCTATTTCCCCAAACTAGATTTGGGGTGGTGTTGTTGCAACAATTTATTATAAAATTTAACATTCCCCGAGTGTTAACCCCTCGTGTCGCCACACTGGCTTAGTCCTGGCTTAGAGCTGGTTTAGTCCTGTTTTATTCCTGTTTTAGTCCTGATTTAGTCCTGGTTTAGTCCTGGTTTAGCCCAGAATGTGAAAACAGGAAAAAAAAAAACGCCTGTAATCCATTTATTTCAACCAAGTAACTGCAATCCCATTACCTCTCACTGAAACAGTAACTCATAATTTGTACTCTGATTACGTAACTCCGGTACATGTAATCTGTTACTCCCCAACACTGCATGTGACACACAGGACACAGGAGGAGGATATTTTGTACTTGAATAGCCCAATAGTCGATCATAAAGACGTCTTCATCTCACACATTCTTCTGGTTCAGTCTTCACTCTGTTTTTTCCACTTCTTCCATTAACTTGGAGCAAACGTGCCTCCAGCCTCGTGTCATCTTGACCCGTGCGTCACCGTACGCGCACACTGTTCATTATTCATGCGCTCTGGAGACACGTGAGCGCGCGCTGTGGAGGAATGCGCGTTTGTTGACCGTCTCCAGGTTACGCACCGGGCCGGAGCAGATGCAGATGCACAGCTCGGCTCCCCTGCTCCCTGAGCTCCTCTGCGGCTGTGATTTGGCCCTCGCGCTCGGGACCAGACAGAATCATGTCTTGGAGCTCCATCCCGCACTCCGTAAAGCGCTGGCAGCTCCACGGCACAGACTACGAGCCGCCCCGGAGCCAAACCAGACAGAACGACACTGTGTTCAGCGCCTGGACTCCTCTGCACAACAAGAAGGAAAACCTGCAGGTGAACAGCTACAGCCAGAGGAGGCTCAGGAAAACGGAACGTGCTGGCTGCTTGTTGGAGTAGATTCGTTTACTTCTAGTGGGTTCTAAAAATATGAGTTAGGGCAAAATACGCCTCCAGGTCTGAAACTGAAACCTGCAGTGACAAAAACTTCATGTTGAAAGAAACAGATGTGTGTTACTTCACTCATCATGTTTTTCACTTTCAGTTTTCATGTTTTTTGAACATATCAGTTTCTGTGTAGAATGTTTAGTCTTTATTTAAATGATAAATGATGAGTTCTTAACCCCGGTGGTTTGCTCCTGTCAAAATGTGTCACCCTTTTCTTCCCCTCACACTTTGTCTACACAATGTGAATGAAAGAACGTAAATGGCTTCAGAGCTTAAATACATGTATAATGTTAAAACATATTGCCTAAAATTAAATTAAAACCATTATTATTATTGAAAAGAAAAAAAAATTGCAGAGTGGAATGCTTTTTTGACTTTACTGGTAAGTCGAGACTTGCACGTTTAACAAAAATTGCAAAAGAATAAAGAGATCCACACTGCAGTTCTTTGAAACTCCCAAATTTAGATTTTAATGACACAATGTGACGTTTGGGGTCAAGTCCTTCTTCACACATAAAAGGTTCAGTTTCACACCTGTTCTATAAATGTATGTTATTATACAGGCCCAGATTGAGTCACCTGACCCACCACGTGATCAGTCTTAATAGTTTGATTACAATTGGTGTTCACTCAGTTTTAAAGTTTTAAAGGAAATAAATACTGTTTTCAGCACTGGTTAATATCAAGTATCTGCGGATAATCGATATTGGAAGTGAAAAAACTGCATCTGTGCTCACTCGACCCTAATCTGTGGCTGTAGTTGAGTTCAGATTAGACAAGTGTATTTCATGTATGTAGTTGTGTGACATGAGTGTGTTTGTTGTTGTTCACGTGTGTTTTTCTTGTGCAGTTGTTTGAGAAGAGGATTGGTCTGGTGCTGCACTGGTTTGACCTGTGGACAGACACACAGAGGAAACATCTGCTCCATTCACTGCTCTCCAAGTGCACCAAGTCACAGCTCAAGTCAGTTTAACTCCCAATTTATATTGGATATTCAACACATTTGACACAGATTATTTTAACCTTCTCCAGGCAGGCGTTGCAGATTTGCAACAGCTTTATGAGCCTTTTTTACTCAGGAGCCTTTTTTCACATCCATACTGATAAACGTGGACGATGCAGACTGTGCAAGAATGACTACACACAAACGACCTGCCAGAAGTGCAAAGTACTTTTGTTGTTTACAAAGGATAAAAATTGTTTCTTGGAGCAACACACGAAAAAGTGATGTTGTTCTGCCACTGTAAAGCTGTTACACTGTGCTTTATGCATTGTTATAAAAAGTGGTTTACACATAAAGTTAACGTTCATATCATTTTCAGCCTTAAATTCAGTGTGTTAATTTACCACACCGGACCAATGCTGCAAATCTGTAACATCCCAGAACACACTGGATGTGAAGGTCTCTTTCAAAAAAAAGTCAGGATTGTATATTTCTCCCCCATATGATCATTTTCCCCAAATATCAGATTTTTCCTGTTACTGAAAATTAATTTGAGCCTGAGAGGAACTTGTGATGTCTTCATAATCATCCAGAGTATATATATATAGCACAAGACAGGAATAATTTAAAAAAAATCAAACTGTGAGCTGATTGAATGTATATTTGTGAATTCAACACTCTCCTGTGATGTACAGATGTGGACAAAATTGTTGGTACCCCTCTGGTAAGGGTGTGATATATAGCCTGGATGATTATGAAAACGCCACAAGTTGTTTGAAAAAAAACATCTGTGATATACATCAAAAGTTAAATGAATGTCTTTGAATGTGTGAAATATCCAATATCCAATATCAAACCAATTCAATCGTGGTTAGGAAAGAACTACCAGTCTACATGAGGTTATTAGAGATGAGCATTATTGAAGGAGGAAAAGCGCTCTATAAAAACATGACCATTTACCATTTACTCATGTGTAGTAGTATATGTGTATAGAAGTGTATATATTGTCATTTTGGACTGTTTTATTCAGATATTGCAGGGATTTACTGATCGAGACTGTCCCTGTGACGCGGGTGGACTTCACCACGGTGCTGCCCAGGTTCTTGTCTCTGTACATTCTGTCCTTCCTGTCCCCACGAGACCTCTGCTCCGCCGCTCAAGTGAGCTGGAGCTGGAGGATTCTGTCTGAACAGGTTCGTGATGAGACTTTCAACTCTTTTATTTCTATAACAGAAGCCAATGTGAGAACTTATTTTATCTACAAACTCATCACAGAGAGAAAGACCAAGGCTCAGATTTAGTTAAAAGAGTTCAAATGATGGAAATCGAAATAAAACAATGTACTATTTACCACTCCGGGGTGAAGGAAGTCTGAGAGTCCCTGCTTAGACTGCTGCCCCCACGACCTGCCCCCAGACGAGCCGAGGAAACTGGATGGATGGACATTGCACTATAATAGTAAATAAAACTAACTGTATGACTTTATTTGTCCCCAAGGGGCAGTAAAATATAATAATTCGAGAAAAGTGCAAACAAAAGTCTCAGTGTAGCTCAGCAGGTAAAGTTCAGATCCAGTGTCTGGGCAGTTTCAGGAGAGTAACAGCTCTCAGGACAAAAGAGTCCAGTCCTATGTGTCCTCTGGTTCTGCAGCGTCACAGCAGCCTACAGGGGGCGTCACGTGAACTGTGAGACTAATCTAATAGTCACTGCACACGCTGCACTTCTTACTTGGTCAGAATCCCCAAATATTTAAGTTATTAACATAAGTTAAAAATTTAAGATGAAAATTAAAGTTTAAAAACCTGCCAGTCAGCCACAAGAGCAGCCAACCATCAGTCTCTATTATTTTCAGTGTGTTGTTCATTTGTTTATTTATTTCAGTGCATCAACCACACACACACCAGTCCAATTTCCATCATGATCAGGCTGCGTGAATGGGGCCATAAAAGACGTCCGCTTACCCGGTCACAGGCAGCATCACAGCACTCTCCAGTCCCAGAAACACAGTCCCTCCTCCTCCTTCTGATGGGACATGCCTGGAACACCTCCTGAGGAAGTCACCCAGGAGGCATCTGGAACAGATTCTCGAGCCACCTCAGCTGCTCCTCTCAATGTGGATGAGCAGCAGCTCTACTCCGAGCTCCTCCCATGTGACCGAGCTCCTCACCCTATCTTTAAGGGAGCGCCCAGCCACCCTGCAGAGGAAACCAGTGTTGTGGAAAAAATTGATATAATATCTTGAAGAAAAAAAATAATGAATCTGATGAATGAATTTGTGAAGCTGGATGAGTTCTCAAAGGAAATAGTTAAAACTGATTGCACTAACACTGAATCCACCTCACAATCTTCATCCTACCTTTTCCCAGGACTGTCTGTGGGCGAGCAGGTGCATCGACAGAGGCTGGTTCCTCCCGTACACTCCCGCGGAGAAGGAGTACGGGGCCTGGAAGAAGCACTACGTCTCCTGCGTCTCCACTCTGGACTGGCTCACTCCCAGAGAAGCTCAACAAGTGTACGGAACCCTCAACCAGACGAGGGGCGGAGCTACAGAAGAGGAGGAAGAGAGGAGGAAGGAGCGGAGGATCAGAGACATCATCAGGGAAAGACTCCAGCATGAAAAGAGTAAAAACTGTTGGGATATTTACATTAATATAGTGGGGTTTTCAAATAGTTCAGAACTGGGGCTGCCTTTAGACAAGATGATTTAATAATTGTGTAACTTTTCTGGGGAAGGGTCTGTCACCTGCTTGTCTCCATATTACACTTAAATTACAGGTGTTTTTATTCTGCAAAAATACTTGTATTAGTCAACTGATCAGTAGTTTATGTTATAAGGATTTATATGAGACAACAGCAGAAAGTGACTGAGCAAGTGGTTCTCTAGCTCCACCTAGTGCCTCCACTCAATTTCATTTCTCTCCAGCGACCAGTTCAGGAATCAGAATACACTAGATGTTTTGCAAGAACCCCAGAAGTGTGAGTTCGGGCACCAGCCAATCAGTGAAGAGCCAGACATTCTGTGTGCTGTCAATTCCAGAGATCGAGGATTTAAAGCCGGAACAAAGAGAATGTTTGGTGAATTTTTTCAAGGGGAAAAACATTATTGTCCTCCTTTCTACAGGATTTGAGAAAAGTTTAAAATACCAGTTAACCCTGTTAGTGGAGCATTACATACGGCACAACTAAACAGCAGAGATTGGTTAAATCAGGAGTGTCAAACTCATTTTGGTCCAGGGGCCGTATCCAACCTACTTTGATCCCAAATGGGCCGGATCAAAAAACTCATGTCATATAAACCCCAAAAATAACAATAAGTTCAAATATTTGTGCAGAGAAGAAACACAAATCTATTACAGAAATATTTTTTAATTGATGATGAACTCTTTCTTTTACAAAATATTATAATATTATGAACAACCTGAAACTTGAAGAAAAATACAATTTCAACACAATGTTTTAACATGAACTTGTTTGCAAATAAGAATAAGTCAATTTTTGTTGTAAAATCCTGCACTCGGCTCCACTTTTCTCATGTTGGACATTTTTCTGATGAGGGTGTCACGGTCAACAGTCAAAATGATCGTCCTTTAAGAGCGTTTGGAAAGAGACAAGTCTTCATTTGTGCTGCTCTGGTGGGAGGGGCCACGTACAGAGACGCTGGAGACGCTGCTGTGATAAACACCACAGAAAATTAACAAGATTTTAATAGAAAATATAATTAAAATATTTTAGAAGAAAATCAGCCGAGGGCCAGATTAAAGGTCTTGGAGGGCCAGATCCGGACCCCGGGCCGTATGTTTGACACCCCTGGGTTAAATTAAAAAAGTACTTGCCTACTGTTGAGCGAAACGAATCCTAATGCTGCAAGGTCAGACAGTTTCCACAAACCGGTTGATGAATCAGGCTAGTGGTTCTCTGCAAAAAACACAATATTTTTTATAGATTTTTATTTATTTTTTGTTGTATCTGTAGTTTACACTTCTACAAACATATTCTGACATGCATGGGATTCTTTTCTAAGTTTGTCAGTTCAGATTTTATTCTCTCAAATTTGAATGCTCCTAGAGTTGAAAATGTGAAATCACAAAACTTGTCATTATCCAACCTTCTCTACCTATGATACACTGTGTGATCCTGTCTAATGGGGTTTTGTGTGTGTGTGTGTGTGTGTGCGTGTGTGTGTGTGTGTGTGTGTGTGCGTGTGTGTGTGTGTGTGTGTGTGCGCGTGCAGGAGAGGTGATGAGGACCAGAAGACCGTGGGGCAGCAGCAGTAAGATCCTGTACAGTGGATGTGTCCGGTCCAGAGTGTGTCTGACCTCACAGGGCTTCGGGACCTCGGTGCTCTGGCCTGAACCTGAACCCCAGTCCCCCGTCCTGAGTCCCAGTGTGGAGGAGGACGGACGAAGCTCCAGGACAGGGCACCGCCTGGAGAGGAGCGGGACCTGCAGCTCACTCAGGTATCGGCCGATATCAATACAATACAGCCATTCAGTACTGATATTTTTTCACTGATCGTCCTTTTTAAACAGACTAATGAAAATGTTAAATAGAGAGTGTTTTATGGCTGTATGTTCCACAAACAGAACAAACATTTTATATTCCAGATCAATACATTTTATTATTTTTACAAAAGTGAAAAGTTAATTAGTGATATTTACTTCAACTTAAGAGTTTGCTATTTTGTACCTCATGCAGTTGAATGCCTCTCAAGTCATGCACTTTATTGTTTGGACCATAAGTCGCTCCTTAGTATAGGCAAGTTTCATTGTTGACAAAAGCGTGCGTTGCATGCTGGGAATTATTTTGGTCGGCGGCAAGAAACACTAATTCAACATGACGGACGGAGTGAGAAAGCACGTAAAGGGTATTGATCCTGGTTATTTATCCACTCTAACGGCAGAGGACCAAAGACCATTTGACCAGAAATTGGTCATAAGCATCGACAGACGACAATTCACCCTTTTCAACCCCGACAAAAGGTGGACCAAACCAAATTTCTGGTCAAAATCACCAACTACCTGGACAAATATTCACTTTGGTGATATCCACAATGACTTGGTGGAAACTCCTGGGCCATTCACAGCAGAAAAGATGAAAACCTCCAAGAGTCTCGATGTGTTGTTGAACTTGTTGGAGTCCACGGTTTGTTAGGATCTTCTACGTTTGCTCTGCGAATGTTTGAAAGTCGTTTAATTCACCGTTAGTGGTTCTTTTCACTCGGAATATGAAAAATACATTTTCCTTCTTCCGTGCTTCTATTTGTGCATCCGATAATGCAGCAGGAATTTACCATTATCGGGGATAAATACGCAAGGTTACGCACTGTGTTTGACCACTATCATGTTTCTTGCCTCCGACCAAAATATTTCCCAGCATGCAACGCGGGCTTTTAATAACAATGACGTCAGCTGAAACTCGCCTATAAGTCACACCAGCCCAAAAAAGCATAATGAAGAAAAAAAAAACATATATAAGTCACACTTTTTGGGGGAAATTTATTTTATAAAATCAGAGACCAGGAACCGACATTTCCTGTTGAAAGTGAAGTTCTAGTAAAAACCGCCACTTCCTCTTCTGTGTCGCTGTCGTCAAACTCAGCATCAGTTCCAGTTAGAATTATTCTGGTCTTTCTGAATCCCGACACTGTCCCTGAAGTCCAGGCTTTGTCCATCCATCCAGTGACTTCAGGAAAGTTGCATGCTTGTAATTTGCAAAATCAGATAGACTGACATGATACAGACAGAACAGAGGCTCTTTCTGCAGGAGACACCAGAGTATAAGTCGCAGAAAACACCCAAATCATGAAAAAAGTGTGACTCATCGTCTGAAAAATACGGTAAACCACATCACAATCACATCACAAGAGCGTTTTGAGCTTTGAAGACGTAGACATCCATCCATCCATTTTCTTCCACTTATCTGAGGCGGGGTTGCAGTCTAACCAGGGACTCCCAGACTTCCTTCACCCCAGACATGTCCTCCAGCCGAGAGACATAGTCCCTCCAGCATGTCTCCGGGGCCTCCTCCTTGTGGGACAGGCCCGGAGTAGACAAACTAATAATAACAGTTACTCAAACATGTGAATGAAAACACAACTCCAGGTCTGTTTTTGAGTTGGTAACAACATTAGAACATTATAACATGACTAACACCTCACAAAAGCCAGTTTGCTTTATATAGGACATTTAAACTTGACTAGTCCAGTTGTCTGGTTTTGCTGGTGTGCATGGAAATAGTAGTTGTAGCCACATTTTGAAGCTATGATACAAAATTTTTGAATAATTAAAATATAACTCTAATCTTTCAGGTCTCTTAGCCGATTAGCACTGTCAGAAGTCTCATCTAACCCACAAACCAACCCCCGTCTCCTCCTGCTGATCTCTGACAGACTCCCGGCCTATGAGGTGAATATGAGCACATCCACACCACCAGTCAAAGGTTTATGTTGTATATTCTCACTGACTATGAAAGTATAAAAGACACATGTGGAAACTTTTTTATTTTTTATTTTAGCTTACATTTTTTTAAATGCCACTCTTAACTTTGAACCCTGATTTGCACATTTGGCATTTGACAAGGCACAGCTCTGACGTGAAAACCATTTACAGCTCTGTCAACAAAGTGAAGAGTGACTGCATTGAGAATTTGAATTAAAAATAAAAAAAAAAAAAATGAGCTGAGTTATTTTTCATTGCTACATAATTCCAAATATCATGCTTCATATACTAGTATTTGATTGTCTTCTGTTTCGAAAATATAATCTGAAAAGTACTAAACGTAAAGAAATAAAGATTGATTTGGAGAATGTGCCTAAACGTTTGACTTGTAGTGTACAGTGTGTTCAAATACTTATCCTGCCTCATATTTCTTGTACAGATGGTGCTGAGCGGGGTGAAGGCGGGCGTGGTTTCCATCCTCTACGACCACAGACTCTCCCTGTCCGCTCTCCTGACCCAGGTGGAGAGGACTTTGTGTGGGCAGAGGGTGCAGAGGCTGGGGGTGTTAGCTCCAGGAGGGACAGAGGGAGTACAACTGCTTCAGAGTGAGTTCATACTTTATACAGTATGTAGTGTTATTGGCAGCTGTTAAAAATCTGAAAAAAATAAATTGCCTTTTGAACTTATTAAAAACAGCCAAGAACTGACAAGTGCTGCAATGATGAGTCAGGATAATTGTGACTAATTGACTTTTCAAAGGGCTCAGAAGCAGTGAAAAAGTGAGACTGCCGAACAAAAAATTTAATTTAAAAAACACCTCTAAAATAAAAACAATGCAGCTTTAGTCCAGGCATGAGGTCAAATGATAAAATATGTTTATTTTGTAATTCCAAATGAGCTTAAACAGGCCAGTCAGAGTCAACCAAAGGACTGTATGTGGCCTGGGAGCTGCCCAGGTTTGACATAAGATCTTTTATATGGATGCATCATGAATTATTATTAATTAATTAACAATTTCTGATTTTCCTCATCATTTATTTGATAAGGAGCTGGCTGAGTTATTTGACCTGCTGCCCTCAGGAAGGAGCTACAGGTGCAAAGCTGGGACTCAAAACCAAGGGCCATAACCACTTTGAACACACACATGACACATGAACACACACATGAACACACACATGAACACACACATGCACACACACATGCACACACACATGCACACACACACATGAACACACACATGACACACACACACATGAACACACACACATGAACACACACATGAACACACACATGCACACACACATGAACACACACATGAACACACACACATGCACAACACACACATGAACACACACACATGAACACACACACACATGAAACACACACATGAACACACACATGAACACACACATGAACACACACAAAACACACACATGAACACACACATGCACACACACATGCACACACACATGCACACACACATGACACACACACATGAACACACACATGAACACACACACATGAACACACACATGAACACACACATGAACACACACATGAACACACACACACGAACACACACATGAACACACACATGAACACACACATGAACACACATGCACTGACTGACCCTACTGAAAAAACATTAGTCGACTACTGCAGTGTCTCCCAAAGACTAGGTCGAGACACTCAGGTGGGTGGCCTTGTCACGATCTGCATGTAGGTCTGTGATATACAGTTCTACATTTAAAGTCCAAACAGGCGACTACTGGATCCTTTTATTGCTGTTTCAGTGACTGTTTTTTATTGTTTAAAACTTGAGTAATACTAACTGTTCAGAGACACGATCAGTCAGTCAACAGTAAAATATCCTCATGAATGTTCAATAATGCTCAAATCCACCTTTATTTTGTGATTTACCAATAATGTCTATGGACTTGGGTCGCAAAGGTTTGTGACTTTTAAAATATGGGGCCCCAGAAAAAAAGTTTGGGAAACACTGGACTACTGGAATAATCATTAGTTGCAGCTCTGGACTTGCCTAAATTATGGTACACATAAATACATTACAAATCCATATTTGACAGTGTGCCAATAAATGTTGTCTTAATCAAAATGAGTGGCAGGAGCACTGTGTAATTTTTCAGGTGGAGGCTCCCAAACCCAGGGACAGTTGTAGGCATGCAGTGACCCAAACAAGATTTTGGTTGTGGCCCCTCATTTGCTTTGAGGGCCAACTGGGGTTATATCTCACGGATGTACTTCAAAACAAATCAGTTCATTACAGTTTTCTCTTGACAATTTTATTTAGAAGTGATTTTTATTTTGTAGGAAGCGAGTTATCTGCGCAAACTCTTTTAGCTCCTGATCACAGAGACTTCTGGGAGAAAATGTGTTTGTGGATCAGCCAAAGTGAAGGACGAGGCATCGACATCTTCTGCCCACTGGCTGCTTCAGGTGGGAGGGCGCACACACACACACACGCACACACACACACACGCACACACACACTTGAACACAACCTCTTTAATTTAATAAGTCTTTGATTCCTGTCCTCAGCCTCTGGAGTGTCCCTCATGCAGAGCTTCTCGGTCCTCACTGGGGTGGAGGTCCGAGCACCCATGGGTCTGGCCACTGGCAGCTTCCAAAACAGTCAGTCATCCATGAACACAATGAAAAATGTTTGTTGTTGAATTATAGTCAAACTGTGTGTGTGTGTGTGTGTAGTCCTGGGGGAGTGGTGTGACAGCAGCCTCAGCCCTCGTGTGTCTGGACCCCCCCTCCACGGCCCGCCCTCCCCTCCTCTCCAGTACGTCCACGCTCGTGCGCTGCAGGCCTGGTGCGTGCAGGCGCTGTGGGCGGAGCTCTGTCTGTGTGAGCTCAGGTCGTCTGCTGGCAAACAGCTGCAGAGGCTCAGTGCAGACTCCAGGGGGCGCTCTCTAGGTATGAAGGTCACACTCCATTCTACACAGGCAGGGGTTGGCAACGTTAAATACTCAGAGCCATTTGGAGAATCTCCCACAGAAAAGAAAACTCCAGCAGTCACAAAACCCTTTGAGTCTAAAATGAGGAGAACACTGCAGATTAGGAGAGTAACGGTACAAAAATCACCTGTTTGGTACATACCTCGGTTTTGAGGTTCGGTTCATTTTCAGTACAGTTTGGGAACAAAATGCAAAATCATTTGCTTGTTGTTTATTTGTGTGTTTATTAAACTAACAATTAGTTTGAACATTATACTAACAGGAAAATAAAATAAATAAATAGTGCTGTTTGGTAATACTAAAAAGTTGAATAAAATATGCCCAAATAAGCAACAAATGTATGAAATATTTAAAAAAATTAATTCCTTGTAAACAGTAAACAAAACTTTTCAAAAAGTAAAGTGCAGCACTAACAGTTTTGAGTTTTACTCAATTTTCATATTTTTGGCTAGAAAAAATAACTTGTCTGCAGTAAGTGTCGAAACATGAGAAGCCAAAGGTGAAGGTATTGGTTTTGATGAACATCTGTGTGAATACTGAGCCTCTCTTCTGTCTCTTAGGTTCTTATTTCCAAGACCAAATCTGCCCCAGAGCTCAGTGTATGTCCCCGGATTTAAACACAGCTCTGACTGAAGCTCTGACTGCAGCATCTGCACAAGAGCAGGTACACACACCACACGAGCAGATCTACTATCAACTCTGCTCAAGAACTCTGCTATTTTACATGGTTTATGTCATAAAAACAAGAGTAACATTAGTTTAAGTTATAGAAATGATGCTTTAGTGCAATGTCAGATTTTGGTTTTAGACTGATCAGACTTTTCAAAATAATCTTGTGTCAGTGTACAGCTATTGATTTTTTGTCACAATTGAAAGGAATTTTAAGGCCCTGTACCTGACTTTGAACAAAATTGATCTTGCCTAAATTGAATTAAAATATGGAAAACCTCACGTTGCACACTGAGCCAAGTTGCAGCTAAAACGGACCAAGAACCAAAACAAACATGTTGGCACCAACAGAAGTACTAAGTACTAATACTATTACTACTATTTTGTTTGTGAAAAACTTGCAGAAGCTTTTATGTATTTGTGGACACAAAAAATGGCTGTACTTTTCTCTCACCTGGATGTAACAAAAGATTATTTTTTTAATCTGTTGAGGCAGATTAATGAAAACCATTTGTCTAATCAGATTCATCTTATAACCTCGTCTTGTCTTTTCAACTCAGACAAAACAGTTGGAGTTTGTCGCCTCCTTCCTGTCCAAACATGCAGCTACAGTTGATGGTACAAAGGACAGAACAGGAGCTGAGGTGATGTCTGAAGGCCCTGATGATAGTTCACCCTGTGTCCCTGTCGGTTCTGTCTCTGTGGACCTGCCCCTGGTAAACATGATCCTGCGGTGTGATGGTGTCTTGGTGGAGGTTTGGGGCTGATCTCTGTTCTCTGTTCAGGCTGAGTTGGACTGGAGAGGCTCGGTGGTGAGGGAGCTCTACCACAGTGAGAACTTGTATCTGAGCAGACTCACAGCAGTGCAGAAGGTGCGTGTGTGGAGTTGTATTTCACTGTTATGACTTATAAGTGATAAATTACAGATCCAGAAAGAATAATGATTCTGTTTTTGAGTAAGTTAAATGTAGTATTGTTCTTGAACAGGTTTATGAGAAGCCTCTGACCGCAGCGCTAAACTCTAACAGAGCCATCATCAGCATCGCCGACATCCAGATCATCCTCAGCCCTGTGTCACAAATACTACAACTCAACAGGTACTTTTACACACATGTGTACATGTACATGTGTACACACACATCTGCACACACACGCGCACACATTCATTGCTCTCACACACACTTTCCCTAACGTTCAGATCAAAGCCTGATCTCGTCGGCTCTCAGGAGCTCAGCAGGGCTGGGCCTGGTTAGTACTTGGATGGGAGACACTGGGAAAATCAGGAGCCACAGGGGGGCGCCAGTCACAAAATCTGTGTCCTTAGGCAAGACACTTCACCAACATTGCCTAGTATGAAAGTGATGTGTGTGTGTGTGTGTGTGTGTGTGTGAGTATTGGTGGGGGTCAGAGGGGTCGATGGTGCAGATTGGCAGCGTCACTTTCAGCAGTCTGCCCCAGGGCAGCTGTGGCCACAACAGTAGCAGATTTTAATCCCCACACTATAATAATACCTGCCCACACATCTGTACAGACTTCACATGTGTGTCATGTTCTGTGTTGCTGTTTGTGTCCAGAGTCCTTCAGGCTGATCTAGAGTCCAGACTGAGACAGTGGAGCGCTCAGCAGTGTGTGGGAGACGTGCTGCTTAAGTTCTGCCAAAAACTCAGAGTGTACACCAACTACTTCAATAACTACTGCACTGCTGTACACACCATCGACAAGGTACTAAACTTTTTGGAAATTTAAAACACCTTTAATTGAAAAACAGGTGGCAGATTCTCAACCAAAAATGTTGCATAGTGTTTCTTCAGTTCTAAGTTTTTCATAGTATTTAAGTTGTGTAAGGCAATAATACATGTAAGTTCAATATGTTTGATCAAAACACAACTCTGTTGTGTGAGTTAGAATATCGTGACAGAATGCTCATAAAGGCTCACTAAAGTCCATTTTGCTTCATTTGTCCATTTAAGTGTAATGTTCCTCCTTTTCAGTGCAGAGAGATCAAACCTTCATTCCGGGCGTTTCTGAAGACAACAGACAGAACTCTGGCCACTCACATGCTCAGGTACAACACAAACTACACTTTATACTACAAATGTGACTACAATATACTTTATGGTACTATACTGTACACTTTATAATACTGCACTATAAACTTTATAGTACAAATGTGATTACTGTATACTTGATAGTACTACACTGTACACATTAAAGTACACATGTGCCTGACTGTAGTGGTGCAGTCTGCAGGAGCTGCTGCTGTGCCCCCTGTGGAGGATTCAGGAGTACTGCACACTGCTCCACGCTCTGTCTCTGCACACGCCCCCAGCACACGCTGACCACGCCCACCTCCCGTCTGCACTCAGCACTTTACAGCGATATGAAGTCTTCCTACAGGAGGTAAGTGTTTCACACTACTGGGACGTGCTCCACCAACTCCATGAAGTTATTATTACACTTATCTATGTCAATGGAAACAAGCACCAGGCCAAGTTACAGGTCAGATCTGTGGAGAGGCGACCCTGCTCTCAGCAAGAGCAAGTGATAAAATACCTGTAATACAAAAAAAAAAAGTTAGATATTTATGTTTGTGTAAAATCAAACAAGAAAAGAAAACAGAACAGAACAGAAATGAACAGAAGTAAAAGTATAGTAAAAGTATAATGTATATAATATATAAGTAGAATATTAAAGTTATTATTATTATGTATTAGAGGATTGGGAGTGAGGAACACAATTTCAATTCTTCAGATGTTTCATATGAAAATAAACTTTTTGAATTAGAATTTTGAATAAAACTACTCCATTATAATGCACTTCAAAGATTCAGGAAGTTAAACTGTTTATGTGAATGTGATGATAAAATATGCTGCCAGTGGAAAAGACTCTTCAAACTCTCCTCATGGTTCACTGTAAGAGGCTTTGAAATGTTCAGCCCACAAGTCTGCATCACCCATGACAGAAGTGTAATACCCTCTCTTTAACAGAGCATGTAGTAAAAGTATTACATATATTACAAGTATATTGTACTTGAGTAGAGCTTTTACCATCACTGAGACAATCACCAGATCTTGTTGTGTCTTTGTGCTCATTGTTTCAGTTAAAGCGAAACTCCCAAAGAGAAAAGGTGATGGAGGAGACGCAGCAGATGATACACGGCTGTCCAGTAACACACATCTAAATATTCCATCTGATCATGTTGTTTTAATCTTCTGACATATTCTTAAAGCATGTTCTGTGTTTCCCCAATAGAAGCTCGCAGAAGGAAACCGTCAGCTGGTGACCACTCACCGCTGTGCCCTGTACCGCAGCCTGGAGGATGAGCTCCCGGACAGTGTCAGGTACACAAGTCTAGAACGCAAATCTAGGCTTCTCCATTCTCTTAATGGTTGTGTCAGGGCTGAGTAAGTTAAATTATGACTTGTTCCCAAACTAAAATGGTGGTATGAAAAGACAATATCAAGGACAACTGTTTTATCCCCTTTTGGTAATAAAAAAATTATATATAATATTTTTTGGACTATAAGTGGCACTTTTTTCAGGGTTTGGGTGTTTTCTGCGATTTATACTCTGGTGCGACTTATATATTAAAATATTCACACTGAAGCGTCGAGAGGCTCTAGTCTTGTGTGTGAGAATCTGCTGCTCCTGTTCCTCCTGTACCACTGTCACTTCACTCTACCTACTGAAAACAGTAATCGAGCAGCAGAAAGAAAGTTTGGAGTGAGCGAGAAAGTTGTGAGGAACTGACGGAAAGTGGGGATGGAGACACAGCTTCACAGTAACTGGGAGGATGCACCATGAAACTTTCCTGAAGTCACTGGATGGATGGACAAAGCCTGGACTTCAGTGACACTGAAACCATCCTGTCGGGATTCAGAAAGACCCGAATAATTCTAACTGGAACTGATGCTGAGTCTGACCACAGCGACACAGAAGAGGAAGCGGCGCTCTGTTTACCTCCGGAGGTCGAGGAGTTGCTCAGAAGTGACACCGAGGATGAAGAATTGAATGGATTTAGTGATTTGGAGTGATGTTAACAGTCTGTTGTTCTCTCTTCTATTCCTATAACTAGAACTTGACTTTCTACATGAAATGTTGGTCCCTGGTCTCTGATTTTATCAAATAAATCTCCCCCAAAATGTGTGACTGATAGTTCGATGTAACTTATATGTTTTTTTTTCTTCATTATACATTTTTTGGGCTGGTGTGACTTATACTCTGAAGCGACTTATAGTCCAGAAAATACAGTAACCATTACTTTGGGTCAAAAAATTGCCTTTTTTGGAATTTCCTAATTATGTGTAAATGTAAAATGCTGCTGAGGTGATTAAACAAAAGTAATTTAATGTAACCTGTTTTGGGAGTATGCAAAAATAAGGTATTATTAAGCGTATAATAACAACAAATCAAAAAAGTAGCAAAAATAGATCATTAAATCTACATCTGCAACTTATTAGATTAGATGGAACATTTTTTTCCCAATATCACCCTTGTTATAACTTAGCAGAGGTAAAATGTTCAAATATACGCACATGTAAATAAACTAGTGCAGAAATGTCACTATCTATCCCCAGATTTTAATAAAATATTATAAAGGTCTGATAATGTAATACGTGTGTGTGTGTGTGTGTGTGTGTGTGTGTGTGTGTGTGTGTGCAGGGCTCTGGAGCATGTAGCAGACTTGGGCTTGTTCCTCTTCACAGACGCTCTGGTCTTGACTCGCCTCAGCCTCAGTCACGTCCCCTTCGGCCTGAGTCACAGCTGCACCTACAGTTTTCTGACCTCTGTGGCTCTGACCAGTCTGAACGTCCGAGAGATCAACCACTCCCGCTGTACGTACACACTCACGAGTTTAATACAGACCCTTTTAAAGTCAACAAATATATTTGAAACTCTGAAATGGAGGCAAATTGATGAAGTGAAGTGAAACGTAACTTGATTCCAATGGAGAAACTGGGATTAACCACAGAATATAATCATGATAATGCACTGGATTTATATAGAGGCTTCAAGACACTCAAAGAGCTTTCCAGTGCAGTATTCATTCACTCCAAATTCAGTGGTGATTCTGGGGCAGACTGACGGAAGTGATGCTGCCAGTCTGTGCCATCGGTCCATTTGAACACCACCACATACTAGACAAGGCGGGTAAAGTGTCTTGCTCGACATGTTGGAGCTGCCAGCTGTGTGCCATCTTCAGAACTGTTACCGGTCTTCCAGAAATGATCATTTTGTCTTCTTATGTACATTAATTCTTGGGTTCTTTATAAAGACAATATACCAGAAGGTGGATCAGGGAGGCCAGTGAAATCAGGAAATGAGGCACGGACAGCATTAACCCTGATTATGGAGCGTTCCTCCTTTTCCACACCTGGGAGACTCTTCTCCAGAGCTCGCCGGGCGATTGGAGGCGTGGTCAGTCTGACAACAGGAAGTAACAACAGCTGATATATGGCACGTGACAGTTCTGAAGATGGTGTACACCTCCTACTGTACTGTCTTTCAAAATAACCCGAGAAGTAAATGTCACCAGTCTTGATGGTGATGTGTCACGTATCAGCTGTTGATCTTTTCTGTCGGTGTAGTCAACCTGATGTACCAATGGCGCTGCTCAGACTGGCCATGCCTCCTTTCGCCCGGTGGTCTCTGATTTCAATGGCCTCCCTGATCCAGCGTTGGAATTTGTTTTCCTACACGTATCCTGTCCCAGGCCATGATGTGTCTATTCCTTCTACAGTGACACTATGATTTTACTGTATTTTTTGGACTATAAGGCGCACTTAAAATCCTTTAATTTCCTCAAAAATCGACAGGGAGCCTTAGAATCCAGTAACGCTTGATGGATTGTCGAGCATTACAGCTACCGTAGTCAGGAGCCTCGTGGAGTAAAGGACGAAGTATAGTTCTGTGTCGGCATTTACATCAATGAAATGCTACAGAGGACATATGTCATATATATGGTCTATGCGTATGACCTGCAGACTTATAATCTCTGAAAAGTTTAACATGAACCATCTTCAACGCAATACACGCACAGAACCATCAGCAGCTCATCCTCTGCCACAGAAAGAACACTCATATTCCACTGAGTTGTGTCCTTTAGTCCAACAGAAGCTGAACCACATCAGCGCACAAGAGCGAGCTGTTTTTTCAGAGCTTATATTTTATGCAAATGAGCCATGTGGTTTTAAGTTTCATTTTGTAATATTACATAAACAAATGTGCACAAAGCTGCATTAAACACATTATTACTCAATGTATATTTGAGTCGTCATCATAGGTTAAATGATCCACCCACATTCACATTCATAATCCACATTCACCAAGACAGGGAGGCAACGCTGAGCGAATTATGCCATGATCTGCCGATGGATGATAGACGCCTGAGCTAAGAATCAGTCTCAAGTGTCGTCTGTTTGTTTCGCTTTATGTGCCTTATAATCCAGTGTCTTCTGTATGAAAATAGATGAGACAATTCATCATTATTGATATTGTGCCTTATAATCCAGTGCGCTTAATAGTACAAAAAATACAGTAGATTTTGTTGCTCTGCTTCTTTGTTTTTGTTCTGGTCAGTCTGCCAGATGTTTTTATAAGAATCTGAAAAAGAAACATCTAGAAGACTAAATTTGCCTCCTGTTGTCTCTATTTCAGAGTTTTGCACATTCCGATCACATTTGAAAGCATCTTTAAGCATAACACTGTGATGTGATGTTCTGTGCCGTGTGACTTGTGCAGATGTGTCCCATGCCTACGTCCTGGAGGGGCCGTGCCGCTCGTGGGTGTGTGCTGCCGACAGTGACCAGGAGAGGGCGCTGTTCCTGTCTGTGCTGGAGACCACCATAGAGAGCACACTCAAAGGACACCAGTGAGAGCACAAAATCAGGTGAACAGCGACGATAAACTGCAGTCCCCAAAACTATGAGAGTAAAATATACAAATGATGAATGTGAGCATATTATGCATAATTTGTACTGGATATTTTCTTTGGCATTAATGAAAACATTTTAAGCAGCAGACTGCCCCCCCTCCCGTGTGCTGTGTGGACTGTCCCCTGTCCCGTACGCCGTGCTGACCGTCCCTCCCAAGTCCTGTACATCACGCAGACCACCCTCCCATATGCCACTCAGAGGGACTGTCCCTCCACCCGTACGTCGTGTGGGCTGCACCACTAAACCAGGTCTAAACCGGGTCTAAACCGGGTCTAAATCGGGTCTAAACCGGGTCTAAACCGGGTCTAAAACGGGTCTAAAACGGGTCTAAACCAGGTCTAAACCAGGTCTAACGTCCAACTTCCTCCAGTCTGCCAAATATTGTCTGATATAAAACCCAAAAACCCCAAAAAACACAGTTTTAGACAATTCCTTTCTGCTTCTCCGTGTTTGATAGAGCTGAAGAAAGCAAACGACCCCATCTTGCAGGATTTGCGGGAGGGAGCGGGACTGAACATTACAATTCTTTGCGGGAGCGGGAGGGAGCGGGACTGCACAGTGCGGGAGCGGGCGGGAGTGGGACTGACCTCTACTTTAAACTTCTAAATCATGCTAAGACACATCTCGTTGTAAAAACTGCAAAAAAAACCAAAAAAGAATGATATGTATAATAGTACTAGCTCATATGTGCATGTAAAACTGTTATGTAATATTCCTTTTAAATGTTTATTTTGATAATTAAATTCCATTGCACTGCTCCTATAAAAGTGTAATATTTTAATGAATTTTATATGTAAAAAACCCAAAACAAAACATTGGAATAAGCACTAGAGCACTGACTATGACAAAATGAACAACACAGGACTACATTTAGTGCCTATCAGACGTTCTTGTGGCTGACTGGCCGGCACACGATGCATTTTTAAACTTCTTTTTGAGTTCCATGTTACATTTTTAACTCAATATTTTGGGATTTTGACCAATGAAGAAGTACAACACGTGCAGGTCAAAGGATGTGTGATTGGAGCAGGTTGTTTTTCGTGTATCCATGGCACCCCTGCTTGGAGATCTGAAATCCTACAGACTTTTACGTCAATGCAACGGGCTTTCTTCACCAAATATGTAAGAAAATGTTCAATCACTGACCGAAACAACAGAGCAGAGTGAGAGAGAAGCTTTGGAGATACCACAGAGGACACAGAGGAGGGGCACTTTTGTCTTGGGGGCTGTTCCTCTCCTCAAACTGCCCTGACATTGGATCTGAACTCTACCTGCTGAGCTGCACTGAGACTTTTATTTAAGCTTTTCTCTTCTTTTTGTATTTTACTGCTCAGTGTGCTTAAATCGCCAACTGGAGACAAATAAAGTGACATTGTTTGATTGAATATGAGAAGCACAAAATGATGGAATACACTGCCAGAGCACATCAGAAACTGTGACAACTCAGCCTTCAAAAACATTCATAAAAAGTGTTTGAAAAATGACCAGTCAGACACCCACAGATGATCTTTGGCTTTTTCTTTGTCTCTTTCACTGTATATAGTCTTTTTTAGGTTAGGTTTGGTTGCCTTATTTGTACCTTTAGTCAGTGTTGGGGAGTAACAGATGACATGTACCGGAGTTATGTAATCAGAGTACAAATTATGAGTAACTGTATTCAGTTACAGTTACTGTTTCAGTGAGTGGTAATAGGATTACAGTTACTTTGTTGAAATAAATGGATTACAAGGCAGTATTTTTTCTGTTTTCCTGTTTTCACATTTTGAGCTTTAGCCCCCCTTTTTTTTTTTTTTTTTTTTTTCGGTAATTCCAGTCCTTGCCGGAAACTAAACCAGGTTTAAACTGGATCTAAACCAGGTCTAAAACCAGGACTAAACCAGGACTAAAACCAGGACTAAACCAGGACTAAACCAGGACTAAACCAGGACTAAACCAGGCTAAAACCAGGACTAAACCAGGACTAAACCAGGGCTAAACCAGGACTAAACCAGGACTAAAACCAGGACTAAACCAGGGCTAAACCAGGACTAAACCAGGACTAAAACCAGGACTAAACCAGGACTAAACCAGGGCTAAACCAGGATTTAACAGGACTAAACCAGGACTAAAACAAGGACTAAACAAGGGCTAAACCAGGACTAAACCAGGACTATAACAGGATTTAACAGGACTAAACCAGAACTAAACCAGAACTAAACCAGGACTAAACCAGGACTAGACCACACTGCGTGGACGTATCTCCTCATCTTCTATCAATAATATTTTTAATTTGGTTCAGTAAAGTCTGGGCTTTTTATTTTCTTTTAACAGACAAAACATCTTATGTTACAATATCCTCGTTTGCTTCTCTACAGCAAATCAAGTAATCCAAAGTATTCAGATTACGTTACTCACTTTAAGTAATTTAATGGATTCCGTTACAAACTACATTTTGGGGTATGTAATCTGTAATCTGTAGGGGAATACATTTTAAAAGTCACCTTCCCAACACTGCCTTTAGGTAAATTTGTTTTGCAGATTTGAGAGGCAGGTCCCACATTTATCCACATTATATCCAGACGTATAAAAACACAATTACAAAAAAATAGTAAAAAAGTGTTTCAGTGCTCCAGAGCAGAATGGTTTGTTCCGTAAACAATTAACAGTTAAATTCATTCATCACACTTGGCTAAAATCACAATAAATATTAAATGTATTTAAAAACACATGATTTTTCCAAGAGAAACGTACTAAAAGAATGAGAACTTCGCACATCAATTCCTTGAGATGGGTGGAGGAGAGGGAGCAGCTCAAGAACTAGGGCTGGGCATCATTAAGGAGTTGTTGATACGATACATACCTCGATACACAGGCCACGATACGATACATATCTCAATACAGTGCACTTTCGATTCGATATGATATATTTCAAATCGATTCGATACGGTTCAATAAAAAATAAAGGCTAAATCGTGGCTGTGACACTAAAAGGCTTTGTTAAATTACTTCTTGTGCAAAGTTCATATGAAACACAAACATTTTAATCATCAAAACAGTAAAAATGTCAAATGTGTAGTTTCCTTTCACTCCACAAGCAACAAAACTGTAGCATTGCAACAAAATAATTTAGTAAAACACACCTAAAAATACTCTTGGTGATATATCGATACAGTAGCCCACAATATTGATACTGTATCATCACATTAAACGATATGATATATCGACATTCCAATATTTTTGCACACCCCTATCAAGAACATGGAGAAAAATCCCACACACCGTCCCACTTGCAAATTGTGAGATTTATTAGGACAAACCGTGCAATGTTTCGGTACTATGACTTCATCAGGTAAACAGAATGAGAGCTCAGGTGGAATTTTCAACGTACAAATCTGATTTACTTTGCTTCTCTGTTAAAGGTTGTACAGAGGATTTTTGTAAGGGAAGAGAAGTACAGCGACAGTCCATGTGCATGCGTGACACCACCGTCCTCCTCCACAGCTCCTCAGTAGAAACACCTCCTCCCGCCTCTTTACTCTAGAAATCACGCTTGTTTACAGCCAGTGCGCGTTCAGAATTACTGTTGAAGTGACCTGTCTAGAAGTAATTTAGCGACCGATGCGTCAGTTTTTAGACCCTTTGTCTGCTTCACTTGTGCAATCACTGGAAGGAATCTCCAAGAATCACCTCAGTTTGACTTTGCTCCTTTTCCCCTTCTCTTCTTCTTTCAGCGACCTCAAAAATGGACTTTGGTAACACTTTATAATAACTACATCTTATTTAGCCTTAATAAAGCATGAACAAAGGCTTAATTAATAATGAACAAAGACTTAATTAATGATGATTCATGCTTAGTAACTACTTAATTACTACCTTAATTAGCACTTGCACTTAATTTGCCTGTGCTGTAAATAGTTACTCATAATTATTTCATACTTAATTACTCATGGACTAACCATTTGAGCATTTATTAAAGATTAATAAGCTATGAGAAAATGATTTACTAATAATGTAATGCAATGATAATTCAGGCTGTTAGTCAAATCTTTTTGAGAGCTTTTATAAAGTGAACATAAATTATGCTTTATTAAGCATTTACTAAGTGTGAATCATTATTAATTAAATCTTTGTTCATTATTAATTCTTTGTTCATGCTTTATTAAGGCTAAGTAAGGTGTAGTTATTATAAAGTGTTACCCGGACTTTCTTTTGCGGCGAACTGGTCGTGGATTCTCGTCCACCATCGCAACAAACTTTGTGCAAAATGCGAGGAAGCGACAGTTTGAAAAAGCCTCTAAGAACCGCTGCATAAACCACGTAATCCCCGCACGCCGGCGAGTCAGTTACACTAGAGAGTTTGATTGACATCCTAACAGCCAATAGATAAAGAGGGAGCCTCATTTTCTATTGGCTGATGTTTATCTGGCCTCACTACATCCACAGTTGATAGATTTTCATTCTTTTTTTTTTGGTCATCAGAATTACAAGGCTGCTGTGTCTCTGTAATGGTATTTTAAACTTTCAATGACAATTTGAAACTAAAAAAATACAACCTTTAAGAAGGATGGAAAAATATACAGTTTTCTAACCCTAAAATAGTATTTTTGTCCTAATAAATCTCACAATTTGCAAGTGGGACGGTGTGTGGGATTTTTCTCCAAGACAAACGTACTAAAATTGATAGATAAATAGATTACAATTTATTCATAAGTACGATAGCAGCTGGAATGAAGCTCCCTTTAAAACGTTGTTCTAGATCTTGAGACAAAAACAGTTTAGTGGATGTTGCACGTCTTTTAGAATCTTCTGGGACGTCCTCTGTAAGTGTCTTGAGTCCAGGGAGTCCAGGATGTTCTGAGGATGAACAATCACCTCACTCACCCATTTAACCAACTTCTTGTTTTTAGCAGAGATGCTCCCAAACCATGAGACCAATGAAAACGTTAAAACTGATTCCATAAATGTCTCTCTGTAATGTCTCATCTGTGTCATGTCATGAGAGGTATGCAGTACTGTAGAAGACCTACTGAGGACCTCAGAGGTAGAGCGCTCTGTGTTAGTTGCAAAGAACAGTGGACTACAGCAGGAAGTGAAGCAGCTGACACAAAGCAAAGCTGCACTAGTAGAGGAGAAAATAGATCTCTTAAAGACCTGTGAGGAGCTAAAGACAGAGCGCTCCCTGCAGGTGGAGAGATGCAGCGCCCTAGAGCAGCATCTGAGGAGGACAGAAGAACAGTGCTCCCTGCTGGAGGACATAAACACAGCACTGGAGCAGGAGGTGCAGAAGAAGAGGAGGAGGTGGTACAGGAGGTTGTTCTGTGTCTCGACTCTGTGTCAGCCCCCCTCACTGTTGTGCACAGAAACAATAAACCAGAGCAAAACAAAACAAAAGGATTCTTGTATTATTTGTATTGTATTCACATTTGAATGATGGAAATATGATTGAACATACATTATTATACTGTACTAGAATGACTTCTCTAATTAAATCCTCCTGATTGGGATGGTTATAAAACATATTAATACCTGATAGTATCAATATGAAACTATTAGCAAAACTAGATTCTGATTTGA